GGGGATAAAAGGCATGATGTAACGATGGTATTTTTTAATAATATTCTACATTTTTATACCAAATGAAACCTGCATTTTTATTATTAGGTATTTCTATTCAAACAGACAAGAGCAACGACTTATGTTCTATAAAAAGTCTAGTAACTATTATTTTTACCAGTTCTTGGTATTCCTAGTTAACTTGTTTTTAAATTACCTTAGTTTTTCTTTGGCCCCAAAAAGCTTTACATAGAGAGGAGTGGGAGGAGGGTAGGGAGGCCTTTGCCCTGCAGTGGGACGATCATGGCTGAAAATAAAATAAATAAATAATAGTTTTTCTTCAGCATAATATTTTCTCTGCGTGCATATTTTAAAATACAGAAGAAATTGGTTCTATTTTTTTATTTAAATTTAGTTTCATGTGTTATTTCCTCAGTATTACAACCAGTACCTTAGCTATGTGACTTCATATAATATTAAGATTACAATAACTGTAGTTTCGCGTAAATAATACGCAAATGTGAATCGGGTTATAACGGTGGCGATTGACGAGTAACGAGCTGACATGTTGGCTGTGTGTCTGTGTGTGCGTTATCGAAGGCTTAACCGCAGTACTCCACAGCGAATACACAGGTATCCGCGGTAACAATGAAATTATTACAGTGGCTGACTTAGATTAACTGGATATTATATATGTTTGACTAAATAAAGTTCGTCTATTCAATATTCATTTGACCTAACTACACGTGGTTACTTATAACCAGGGTCTTGACAATAACGCACATAACAAAGACAACTATAAACATAAAGACAGTATTATTTTTAAATAATGCACCCTATTTACAATTCGTTGTTTATGTTTGTTAAATAGAAAATAATTAAGATTGATAAAAACAGATACGATGTTTGGCCTATTATTTTAGTAGATTCACAATTTCACATGTAATATGTAACGTATGTACACGCAAGTAAAACAAAACAAATATTAAGATTTACCTATGTAAAATGCAAACAAACCATCCTGAACAAGCTGAAGCACTGTTGCACGACCTGTGTCGCTTTTCGACTAAAACATTAGATAAGCTCGTAATACGCTAAAATAATGATGCAATTAACAGTAGAGGCAACATAACAAACCGGTATGGGACAGGAAGGCACGACGCGGCGCGGTGCGGCGGCGGGGCCACGCGCCACGCAGCGACACGGGCTCGGCACGTCAGCTCCTGCTCACTTGGTCAGGATTACGGGCTGACAGCGTCTGCACCCATAAATCTAGTGACGTGACGTCACTAAGCTCCATACTCACTCGCTAATTAGTGTAAAAGCGTTATCAATGGATTACAACCTTACCCGTCTACTGTAACCACGTAAATTCTAAAATATGTGGATAACTGCTCACAAATCTCCTTTGCGGTTCTGAGATTAACACCGATGAGGGTTTTTTAGGGTTCGAAATTAACAGCTATTTGAAACCAAACAAGATTTAAGCATTGACTTTTGAGCTTGGTAAGTTTATTTTATGTTTGTTACCTCTTATATTTGTAGGTGCCTTCTTTCTCCTAGGTTTTTCTCAACAATATTATGGTTGGCACTAAGTCTCTGTGAGAATCGGATAACTGTCAGAATTCTACGTACAGCGACGGCCATCTGATTTCATAACTAACTTGGCACATATGACATTCTCGGTTAGATAGTCCGACTCGCACGAAGCGCTTCGCAACAAGCTTCCTTGTGCGTACTGCTAAAGAGTGAAATTCTTTGTCAGAGTCTGTATTTCCTGAAGGGAGTCTTCAAGGGCCCGAGTAAATAGATTGCTTATGGGACGTGCTACATCGTAGACCCTATCATCGCTTACCACCAGGCGAGATAGTGGTCAAACGTCGGTCCATCAAATATAAAAAAGACTAAAGTGTAAATAAATACTTTAGTCTACACGAGATGTAAATTAGTATTTAACACTATCTGATATACAAAAGGTAACTTTTCATAACTGTAAGATGATGAGCAGAAACGGTCACAATGTCCAGTTTAATCAAGAGTAGTCACTGGCGCTATCCCTACCTACCTACAAATAATAATAATTATGACAGGAGATTTCGATTTAGGAATTTTCAGATATATTACAAGATGCATGAAAAATATGTCTTGCGACAATAATATATAACCATAAAATGTTTAACTATCGTAGTTGTATCGATGAGGCAAATCTAATTCATATATTATTGTATTCCTATAAAATACATGGCTAAATGGCATTATGGCATACATGACATGCGTGGACATAATGCCGCAGGCATCTTCCACCAGTCTGACCCTTAGGTGATGCAGAGAAAGTAATCAGAGGGTTCAAAGAGCATGCATTGAATTTAACATTGTTTAATTATGATCGTGACTCGTGAAATAAAATAACGTATATGAATCTGTTATAGATACTATGTAGTTATACAGATACTCCTATATTTCTTTTTCACATGCAAAGTTATTTGCAAAGTGTTAGAATTAGAAACATATAAAAACACACATGATCTTAACTGAAAAACTTACGAGAAAATTTAAACTACAAAATTAGACGCACCTGTCACTTAAATTATTTAAAATTCCACACTGAAATACAGACAAACAAATCTACGAATGTATATAAAATTTCTGCTTTTACATACTAAATGTGTGTTTCTTTTTTCTGGTTTGACAGGTCCTTTCTGTGAGGCGTAATAAAGGAGCTGACGACCTGCTGCCATGCTACGCTGTCATTTACTTCAGTAAGTGCAGCAATAATATGTACCTACATTATGTATATATTTTTAGTACATACGCGATATACATCAATAAATAAACAATTTAAATTTAAAAACTATGGTTTGTACTAGTCTTTTCTACATGACGCACACATATGTCAAGATCTACTAAACTCGCCAAAGAACCTACGTATCATCGGCTACACACGTTGTCTATAAGCTAATCGATAAAGGTTTTTTATATATATGACTGTATATATTTTTTCCAATATATCAATATTATTCTACACTTACTACGTATGTATATGTATACATATATAGGAAAATAATTTCATACGTAACAATGTTGACGATTGTCTTCACAAAGATTAATGCTACGAAGCTACAACATACGTAGTCGTGTGTAGCACATACGTAGCGCACACGTAGCACTGCTACGCCACTGTTCTACGCTACGAAAGTTACATAAATTAGTCTTGATCAAATTATTTGCTTTATAATTGAAACTGGGTGTCATGTGTATGTAAAATTAAATGTTTCTAAACGTACTTAAGACACATCTTTAAAGAAAATATCAGTATGAGTAGGTATTCTGGGTTATTCTTTCCATTACTACACTACAGTAACTAACTAAGTTTACTAGTTTAGCTGTTGTTGACACCAAGATAATATAGATTTTACGAAGTTACTTAAGTTTGTGAAAATACTAGCTGATCGATAACCACGGCTCTATTGACAAAAGAAAATAAACTAGCGAAAGACGGATATGAATTGAATAATATAATGCCATTTTACTTCATCCACTTTACGTTTTTTTTTGGAAATATTATTTTTCCTTTATAGGTATGAGATTATTTTTTCGCCATAAAACTTATTTAAACCTACGTCACTTTAGGCTAACGAGTCCTTTTTCTATGTGTACCTAAGTATATAATTTTCTTTTGCTTCGCCATAAAATGAAATGTAGTGAAGAAGTATAAGAATACAATTAGTAACATTGATTTTATAAAAGTAGTACGATCTGAAACTATCATTCGGTCATATGTATGTAACTGAGAAACAAAAACGTTTCAATATGTAAGTCAGCTGTTAAAATATTTACGTATGCAACACCACTAAACAATAGACTGTCGGTTGTGCGGGAAAGAGTGGTCCCATAACATATGTACATAGAATAACATACGGACAATGGACTGAACTGGTTGTGGGTAAAACGACAGCTTGATTGAGTCGCTCGCACGCACACTACTGGACCTCATTCACTTTTAATCCTTGACCGACACGTTGTTCGACCAGATATCCATCGTATAACTGAACCCTTAATCGTTCAATCCGTCAGCTAGCGACATCGATCCAATATCACGCTATTTAGCTTCGCAGGTGAGCAGAAATCCAAGCGTGACAAATCCGGGGCAAGGTGTGACAATGACTAGAGTCAATGTGATTCTGTCTGACAATGACAATGCTGTAGAAATTGAAGAACACGACAATACGAGGTTAATAATAATTGACTGTTTGGTAACACGAGTCGATGACCTTCTTAATTTTGATCAATGCAGACACTATTATTTGCAGACCAAGTCAATAGATGACATTCTAAATAATGGATGCTACATCAAAGTAATTATACATAACGTAATAATATGTATTTAATGATATCGGTTAAAAACAAACAAACAATTGGTAGCCCATAATGTAGCCTTGACAGATTACATGGTGTTTTAAATGTTAGAAAATCTGACACACTGTAGCCGTGGCCGCTCTCAATGCCCTAGTCAGATATATTAGGCGCACCAATTTGATTACCAAACATCTATGAGATTTTAGTACCGCAGAGTAAGCATAATACATATTTACATAAGTAATTATTATTACGGTGCGAAAGTCTCACGATCCTGAGTGGTGGTTGCCAACCTTAATTAGTTTAAAAGCGTACTTAGATCACCGACGGAGGCGACAGATTTTGTGTTCACACCATCTAAAATGTCGGGATCAAGCTGTAATAGTGTGTAAGTTCTAATCTATGTATAATATTTTAAAGAGGTTTTTGTTAAATACTCAACATTATGCTGTACATATTTATTCAATTACTTATGTAGTTTCTTAGTATAAAAAATAATAATTTAATTATTAATTATCTACAAAATTATTTTTATGTCGCCACATAGTATTTAACGGAATACTACTGTATGTATCACCGTCATATAAATTACCAAAAAATAAATTAGTCCATAATTACTAGCGTCGTCTGTTAGAGACTGCTCCCCACTCGGCCAGCAGTTGAGCTCAGTGACCTTTTTTGTATCCATATTTCTTATGGTGCTCGTGGTCGCCTTTCTTGCCATGGTCATGATGATGTTTATAGTGCGAATCGTGTCCACCGGCTTCTTTATGTCCTTTGTGTTCATGGTGGTGACCACCTTTTTCATGAAAACCTTTTTCACCGTGTTCTTTTTCGTGGTGGTCACCATGATGATGACCTTTGTGGAAGTGGCCACCCTTCTTGTGACCATGTTCTTCGTGGAAACCTCCGTGTTTCTCTTCGTGGCCTGAATCTCCCTCTTCATCAAAGAAATGTTTATCTTTTTTGAATTCATCAAGTTTGTGAATTTCATGATGTCCTTTGGTTGAATGGCCCTTATCGTAATGCCCCTTTTCTTCGTACTTGTGCCCTTTTTCACCCTTTTCACCTTTATGGAACTCATCGTAATGACCATCTTCATGGTGATGATCTTTTTTGTGACCACCATGGTCATCGTACTCGCCTTTGTGGTGCTCCTTATCGTGATGACCCTTCTCACCCTTCTCGTGATGATGATGTCCCTTGTACCCCTTCACCCCTTTTTCTTCATGGTCGTGATGATGATGTGCGTGATGCTCCTTTCCACCTCCTTTTTTATACTCATGGTTCTTTGGTGCTTCTTTTTTATGATCCGTCGCAGCAGGTTGCTGATCCTTAGCTTCTAGGTCTGCACTCTGTTCAAGACGTCGCGCGGGTAAACGTCGTGAATGCACAACTGCCAAAATCGTTAGAAAACCTAACACTAATAGCACCCTCATAGTGCGAGGCTTCTGTTATCCCGCGGCGCTGAGACTGTACTGTACTCTTAATATTGACAACATCATTGATGGTGCAGCAGTTTTATATAAGGCATTGTGTAAGCTGTGCTAATCGCTGCGTCGGCCGTCTCACGTCAGACTCGGTGACCGCGAGTTGCAACAAGCGCTAGTTAGGAGATGCTTTGTATCCAAATTAACTTGATAAAATATTTTGTACTACTCTTATATATAAGTAGTTCAATGACATAATCAGAAATAATGTAGGTACATTTTATATTTATAAAACGTTATTTTAAATAAGAAAAATATTATAAACGGTTCAATATTTAGATCAAATGTATGTTTGTGGGCATTTTGTTTAGCGTTTTATTTGGTTTATGATAAAATAATATTAATATTTTCATATATGCAATTCTGTAAACTATTTTATTATTTAAAATTTCTAATCACATGTTTGTACTTATTATAAATAACTGACATTGTGTCAATATTTCTTACCAAAATATTATCAAATCGTCATATTTTTAATTTATGATGGTCAGTTCAGATAAATGTTATAAAATAATAAAATTAAATCGCGTAATCTTCCATATTTACATGCCCTTCTTCACCCTTCTCACCAGGGGCGTAGCTAGCGCCGTATCTGCCGTATCAATTATACGGGGCCCCCGGACTAAGAGGGCGTAAGCCAAACTTAAAAACTTTCCAGTAATAAAAGTCAAAGTAAACAATATTTTTCTTATACCTATAACTATCGTGTGATATACTAAATTGGCTTTAAAAATTGCGGGTTTCTCACACGATGCGCGACATCGCCGCGATGGCGCACGCTGCTCATGAGGAAGAACTGCTATGGCTGTAGAACTTTTCTCAGTATATTCGTGTGAGTAATCCGCGATTTTTTGTTAATCGTTATCTTGCGTAAAGCATGCGTTCAAAAGTTGAAAGAAACTTATAAACAACTAAAGTAGGTAATTATAGTCCGATAATTTGGGTAGAGGGAGTTGCCTGGAAAGTTGTCCGATTTTTACACAAATTGTACTTGTACTATAATATTACTATTGTACTTGTACTATACTATAATACTATTGTAATTGTACTATTTTATGCATAACTTTTTTTTAAATATTGATTTTCGGCTTACTTACGTAATCATTATTTAACACGACTAGTTTTGCTGAGCACTGTCGCGCTACCCAGTGGCAGCGCGACACTCGCAGCGTCGCGGGTCGTGAAATGCTGCTCATGAATATGACTCTCTAGCATAGCTTGAAACTAGTCGAGTTCTTCCTTAAATAATTACGTGAACAAGCCGAAAATCATAATAATTCATTTTTACGGTCTTACGAAAGTTATAATATAAATTTTTTTTTCATCTTTACTCTTTATAAGGGCCCCCAAATATATATTTATACGGGGGCCCCGCCAAGACACGCTACGCCACTGCTTCTCACCTTTATGGAACTCATCTTATTGACCATCTTCATGGTGGCGTTCCTTTTTGTGACCGTCATGGTCATTGTACATACCTACTTGGCCTTGTGGTGCTTTCCTTATCGTCATGAACCTTTTCACTCTTGTAAATTCAAATTGTTCTATTATTCTACAACAGACACAAAACTCGATTTAGATAGAATCCTTTGTATAGTAGGTTAAAAAAATTGAAAGGTGTACAATGTGGAAATGAATAGGTATATTACTTTACTCACACTAACAAATCTTTATTACCTATTGGTGATACGATTCGCGGTAGAACGCTAGCCTCAAGATTCAACCACTTGTTGCGCAGGATAACATTAACCACACAACGCAATGTACATTATTCTTAAAATATTACTAACTCGAAACATACTAATCTCTGGACAAAAATACAGCTGAAACTAAACTCATTCGTGAGAGCCATACTCGTAGTGGCAGTATGCCAACACAGCTAACTGCATTTCTTGTCATTTACAAGCGACGAAGTCCAATATCGTGCAAAGTGGAAAATAATTATCATAACACTTTTTATCGACTTAAAAATGATATCTGAAAAAAAGAAATGTATGAGAATTCCGAGATTTTTCTAATCTTTGTAGGTATAAATATTTTTAAAAATACCCAGACACCAGAAACATTTCATCAATTTTAAAGTTGTTCATTGGCTGTGATTATGAATCAGTCTTCAAATCTTATATTATACACAGATTACGCTAATAGGTATTTAAATTATAAATAGTACTAAAATAAACCTGAATCCAAAATGTCGACTGAAAAAATCATGAAAGTTGGTAAATGTCAAGGCCGCTAAGTGTGCTGTGAATTGGAAGTTAAAGTTAATTAAGTAGGTACTTTTTTAAATAGTATTAGTAGCTCATTAAATTAATGTTTAAATAGAATACTTACTTATGTCAAATACTATAAACATCACTCGTTAGTAGGCAAAAGTACTTGAACGTTAATTCATGTTGTTTATGCATGATTATGTTTTCTTCAAACGGAATTGGTATCACAAATAAAGCTTTGCCCACTTGAGATGCTCAATAAAGCGTGACATCGAAAATAATCGTACGTGCTATTGAAAATATCCGACCTAGCCGGTCTGGCTACTATTATTTTGCCCAGTGATTTTCTGAAACGGATCACAACGTTGGCTGAGATGCTCTCTGTTGCTGCTAACATGCTTGGGACTATTTCATGTGGCTTTTGTTAGTGTATTGGTACTGACAAGCTGTGGCTATTGAGAAATGTTATCAATTTCAGTAGCTGCAAGTGTTTTCTATAGGAAACGGTTGATTGCAACCACGACTAATTCGTTGCCCAGTAAAATGTAGGCCAATCTCGGGCAGCGCTCTAGTTTCTCAACGCTGAGTTACTTATCTCGTCGGGAGCTGTTGCCAACGGACCAACGCCAACTATTTTATGTAACTTTGTTGTCGAAACGTGCTGTGAAATTGATAAGTTTATTTTGTATCGCACCCAATTGCCAACATATTTTTTTATAATTTATTATTAAAGGACTTTTTTCTTGATTTCTTTCGATCGCAATTAAGTCTAGGTCATTGAAATAGGTACACGAAACCGTTGTTTATGTTTCAAAAACATTTATTTTTATTAATAAAAACATCACAGTCAACAAAACTTAACACAGTATGAAAGCTTAATTAGATACAACTAATAAAGACTTCATTAACTCGAATCGATAGATTTCAGTCTCAGAGAAACATTTACTTGTGTCCCTTCTTGTGACCCCAGTGCTTATGGTGCTCATGGCCACCCTTCTTTCCATGGTCATGATGGTGATGATGATGATGGTGGTGACCATCTTCCTCATGATGTCCCTTATGGTCGTGGTGATGTCCTCCCTCTTCGTGGTGACCCTTCTTACCATGTTCATGCTCATGGTGGCCATGGTGCTTGTGTCCCTTGTGGAACTCTCCTCCCTTTTTGTGTCCATGCTCCTCGTGATGCCCACCGTGGTGCTCATGGTGACCGCCGTCATGATGATGATCATGGAAGTGCTTTTCCTTCTTAAACTCGTCGTGCTTGTGTACGCCGTGATGACCCTTGGTGGAGTGTCCTTTATGGTAGTGACCCTCTTCATGATGACCATGGCCCTTATGGCCCTTCTCGCCATGATGGTGTTCATGGTGATGTCCATCATCGTGATGATGATGCTTCTTGTGGCCACCATGCTCGTCGTGGTGACCTTTGTGCCCTTCATGGTGGTGATGACCCTTCTTGCCATGCTCGTGGTGATGATGTCCTTTGTATCCTTTGTGTCCCTTTTCTCCATGGTCGTGGTGATGATGAGCATGATGTTCATGGCCGCCACCCTTATCCCACTTGCCACCATGATGGCTGGCCGCTACTTCCAAATCTGCATCACGTTTCTCACGAGTAGTTCTACAGCTTACATATGCTAACGCCGCTAGGGCTACGCAGCAGACCAGTGAAGCTCTCATATTTCCAGTGCACTGATCTGATCTAAGCAGTTGACTGATACTTGTGTTCGTGACTGCTTAGTTTTATACTGGTAGCCCGTTTAGTTGGTATTGTAGAAAAATTGTGTAAAGCTCCAAGGTTGCAGCTACATGGCGTAGCTGTCGTACAACGGGTTGCGCAGTTCCACCCGGTGTCTCAACTTTAAAATTGGTACTGTACTCACTAGTAAAAACATGTATACCTACATACCTATGACCCTACATCACAACTATCTCAAAAATCCCAACAAGTTATCATAGAAACTTTAATGGAATTTGGGTAATAGACCTAAACACTTAAACAGAACCGTATTTGCAACCAATATCTATCATACAAATGAGTGCTAGTCACCTGAACTACTCCATAAATATGTTCTTTTCAATGCTACAAAATTTGAACCCAACCATATTAACTCTTTAAATATAATATTTTTGTTATGACTTAGTGGGCTATTGAAAGCAGGCTTGTATTGCGATATTATTGAGAAAGCGGCTTGGGAAATAATCGGAAAAGTATAGAACTAAGCAAGTAAGCAGTTCAACGGTGAAACAAACATAGATACCTTAATAACAATTGGATCTCAATCCATATAATATCCATTAAATCAAGTGTATGGAAAATTATGTGCATAAAATAATAATACCTATTCAAACTGTTTTATCAGAAGAAAATACACTGAGCACAAGGTACCAGGATCAATTTATTATTGGCGGTTTGGTTTAAGAAAATATGTATAGGTATTACTAGAGTATGTATAAATGTGTAGAGTAAAAATTTGTAGGTATATTGTGTAGTTGAGTTTTGAATCGGGCTTCTTGAATTATGAATAATCTGGGCATAATTATGAGTTCTTATACCTCTATAAATTAATCCCGCGGTCCAGTGGTCACCATTAGCACCTTGAATACTCCCAGGTCCATTAAAATGCCAACTTTGAAGCTCCATTGTTCAACGGGTATTACCAATCATGAAATTGATAATCACATAATTGATATTTCAAAAAATACCAGGTGAGACGTTGGTCAAACGCTATACTATTAAATATAAAAGAATACTCATACTTCTAAAGGAATTTCGGATGATCTTCATCTCTAGAAGTAAGGGAGATGCTGTAATTTACGATAGATTTTGGTACAGCCATCTATGCCCTTATACTGAGTGGTGACGACTTATACAGAGTGCATTAATACTTTTTTCACGGCCCCTACTCTTTCACGGGTGTCGTAAAATACGAATCAGGGACAGCAGCTGAAATCATGTACCTTTTGAACTACGATCTTCAACCCGCCTGCCAAGCGTGGAAACGTAAAACCTTCCCATGGACTGTAAACAGTCCACAGAGGACTGTCACTATGAAGTTCTGGTTAAACTGATTTTATCTACTTTACTCTCTTTTTTATCGGCCTTTTTAATTGATAAATTCTTTTAATTTTAATTATGATTTTACTACCCATTCATGACGAAATATTTAATAACTACCCAAAAATGCATAAAATTGTTGCTCTAGGGCAGTCATAGTCAGTTTGGACATCTCTGTTTTAAAACGAGTTGATTTCACTATTGCACCCATCCGCCCGTCCATCACTAAAATGTTAATGTGTTATTATAATTTAGTTGCAGGTCATGGTTTCCTGCTTTCCTCGTTTCTGGGTTATCGCAAGTTATGAAAAAGCCAAATGATTTTTACTTAATTTATTGATACAATCCTCAACAACAATTACATGAGCACTACATGATGCCATTATGGTTAATAGTTTAATCTAAATACCTATTGAATTTAAACTAAATATATTAATTCGTAAAGTAGTTTATATTTATAAATCACAATATATACCAACTTACAGTTGACAAAATTATTATTTAACTAAAGGAACATATCTAAATATCTTTCGTAGAAACGCATTAGTGTTTCACACCCTAAAGTTAAAATTTACTTCAGTCCTAATTATGGTTTCACAAAAACATATTAAGTGCAACGATCTCAGCTTACATCGTAGGCACTGTGATTTACTGCTCCAGCTACATGTTTTTGTATTATAAATGAAATAATCGTGCCTAACGAACATTTCAACCGTTACACAAATATATGATTTGAATACCAAATAGCAGCATTTTTGGTTCCAATACAAATGTTTTTTTTAAATTGTTTAACTTTAAAAGGTTATTACTTTCGCTGTGGTTAATAACAGCTGTGGTTAATGCTTTCGGACGAACGAGTACTATAAAATAATATTATTGGAAGCACAAACTGAAATCAAAATAATTGGTAAAAGTTTCTTTTTTTATTACTGATCAGATTACAAACTCAACTAAACTCGTCTTGGAACAACTTACATAATCTGAAAATAAAACTAAATATCACCACGCCATACACAAACATTTATCTAAAATTTGCTTGAAACGCTAGATGCCTACTATTTTTATAAATATATCATTAAACACACTCAAATAAAGTTACTAAAACAAGTTACATATAAAGCAAAGACCAATTGGTGTAAAAAATATTTATCTTATATTATTATAATATCAAATACTAGTTTAATTTTTGAATACTTTAGTTAGAATGTTGCAATATTATATGTTTCAAAGTTATACGCAATATTATGTTTTTTTTATTCGAATATTGCCAATATTTTTTTACCAATCATAAATAGGCAGCCTCTTACACTTTCATTCATTCACCCCAATCTATAAAACTAATATTTGAATTCCATGCAATTATTTAACATAATATAATATTAAAATAAAATATATTATTGCATGATAATAACGAAAATCACGACGTACGACACTTTTATCTTTCAATGAATAAGATCAATCAATCTTGATATAATAAAATACTATTTATTCCATAGAGTAAATATTAATGTCTTGAAAAAATATGCTTCAAGAGATCAGTTCTACATTATGAGCTGACATACTATAATGTTACATATCTATGTTAGAAATAACTAAGTTCTTATGTACTCAGTAAGGTCAATAAGTCTGGCGAGCACTATGGTTTTGTTTCGCTTAGCAGTCAAGGATAAAAGCTACTGATGTTGAATAAATAGATAATTATTTCTAATTCCGCGTGTTCATAGGCGAATGCGTGAGTAATAATAGTGTAAAGTTATTCTCAACATATTTCCAAACACCGCAACACCAACAGATTCAGAGCTCTTCAGTAGTCTAGTTGAGATGGAAACCGCGCTCATTGGTAGCTGCCAGGAGCCTTTCTCGAAGTACCTCTTTGCATGAATACTCCGGCAATTTCAAGTAGTGTACGCACGTATTCACAGATGGGTAGGATCCGTCTCCGGCATCGACCTGTGAAAACAAATTTCGTTAAAATGTATGTTTTGTATATCTCTCTACCATATATTTCGGTCTTTGAATTCAATGCGTTTAGGGGCTCAAGATCAAAATTTATAGAACTTACCTTGCGCACTACAGTAAGTCGCGGATGCAAGTTAGCAAGTCCTCCTGGTGGCAGGCTACTGCAGCCCGTGGCAAACTGCAAGAACGCTTTACGTTCGCGGAGCGACATCTCTACCAGCACATCCACGAGACGAAGGAATCCGGGACTGTAAATAAAATTGTTCTGTTTTAACATCTCTGTTAAATTGTATACTAACTTTCACAATGGATAAGTTATAAAGCAGCTCTAGTAACAAGTTCCAGGGAGCGAAGTACCTGTCGCGCGTGTAGCCCAGCTTGGGTTCCGTGTACTGCAACAGATGGTCCCTGGTCCACACGGGCCCGCGCTCCCCGCACAGCAACAGACGCAGCTCGGCGGCGCAGAAGGCGCGCAGGCGGCGCGGCGGGAACACGGCGCCGAAGCCGCGGCGGAAGGCATTGGTCTGGCGGCGCACGCCGGCGCGCACGGCCCAGCGCGCGGCCGCCTCGGCGTAGGCGCGCGCGTTGTGCGGCCGCACGTCCAGCAGCTCGCCGCCGTCGCACAGCGGCTGCAGCGCGGCGCGCGGGTCGGGGTGCGCCGCCACGTGCGTCATGCTCAGCGCGAGCTGCTCGAACGTGGCGCCCTCCACGCAGATGTCGGCGACGCGCTGCGACCGCTCCTCCTCGCTCAGCGTACCGTCGCGCATGATGCTGTCGTACTCGTCCGCCGCCGCCAACACGCTCTGCAGGAACCTGCGCACGGAAACGTTTGTAACTACCGTCGCAATTCTTTCTCTCTAGATACTTGCCATACTAGTATGTAGACTATAGGTGACTATAGACTATAGGTTATGATAAAGTAATTATTAAAATTTAATCAAATTAAATAACCAGAAATATCTTACCGATGCCTAATAGGGTCGATCTCCTCTAAGCATTCATTGGATAGTTCTTCGCCACACATGATACGTAAAAACGGCTCCGAGAGCGGTAGATCGACGAGTCGGCCATCTTGCAAAACCTGAGAAACAACATAGACTTCCGATAGTCTCATCTCTTATCTCGTAAAGAACTACGTTAAATAAGAATTTGATTATACCTTAGCTAAAAATACTCCTAAGAACCAGAAATATTTGCAAATTTTATCACAGATCGGTGAATCTTGCGGCAAGGGTGACGGGAATAAACCACCTGCACGTGTCACATAGTATCCCGGAGGTTTTTCTGGAAATAAAAAAGAGCAGTTATATTAAGTTCTTACACATGATCTATTGTAGAGCGTGTAGCAATGAGAGTGGTGTTGTACCGTCGGGTAAGACGAGATGGTGCGGCGCGCTGTCGAGGTCGGCGTGCGCGGCGTCCCCGAGCCACATGCCGAGGTCCGCGCGCTGCAGCTCGGCGGCGACGAGCGCGTAGAACTCCAGCGTGGGGCCCAGCCCCGTGCCCTCCTCGCCCGCGAACTCCACCTCCAGCACTGACTTGCGCCCCGCGTGCACGCGCATCACCTGCAATAATCATTTGCTCGCGTCATTTTTTATAACAATCACTGATACCCTAATTCAAAATCAATGCGGGATTAACATAGGAGGACAAAAAATATAATTTCAGAGCCTAATGCCTAAGTCGCTTTTGTCAATCAAAACATACCTGCATAGCTGACCGCAACAGATCGGGTTGGCGCGGTATCCGCACTCGCTCGTGTCGCAGTCGACCCATGCGGAACTCGGTTGCTTCCAACTCCGCGCGACGAGGCGACACAGTATTACCAGATCTAAAATAAAAAACCCCTCGTCTAGTAAACTATTTACCACACCACAATGACTGATATAACTAGGAATTTAAAGTCTGTTATTAACCAGTTAAGTTAAAAATACCTTTGTCTGTCGAGAGCACGATCCCTCTGAGCCTGAAGCCAGACAATAGTGCGGGATGTGCCGAACGCAGTGCACGCGAAGAACATCTGGCGAGTCTCCAGGGGGAACAGGAACGGACACCAGTCATTCAACTGCTGGCACCTGTGGGGACAAGTAACCAGTGTTAGGTAATAGTCTGAGGGGATACAGGGTAGAGTAGTGGGTATGTATAGTGCGTACCAGAGCGGCGTGGCGGCGGCGGCAGCGTGAGCGGGTCCTGCAGCTGCTGGTGCAGCTTGTTGGTGAGCTTGGTGGACACGAAGTGCTCGGCCGCCAGCGCCGGCGCCGCCGCGCGCAGGCGCCGCAGCACGCGCACGCAGCACGTCGCCATCGCGCCCTCCGCGCCCTCCGCGCCCGCGATGCCGCGCTCTGCGCCCACACGCATACACATTACGTTCGGCGCACGACGGTTACAGACTACAGTGCGTCGGCCATTACATATTTCATATTGCAAGAGTTCAATTTTTTTTACCTGGATCACATGGTTCGTCGTCCTCACTATCACTTGACGATGCGAACGTTTCCATTCCCTCGATTTCTTTGTAGGTCAATCTAAAAGAAGAAACAATAGACACGAATTAAATAGGTACATGACGTTCTTGGAATGGTACAGTATAGAAGGGAAGCGTGCAGGTGACGTACGTGTAGGTGAGGTCGCGGTGCGTGTCGAGGAGCGGCAGACGCGAGTTGAGTGCGAGCACGGCGCGGTACAGTGTCCACGAGGGCCGCTCCAGCGGCAGCGCCGCGCCGGCCGCGCTGAGCACGAGGCGCAGCGCGGGCAGGCGGCCGGCGGCGCGGCGGCGGCGGACGCGCCCGCTGTATCCGTGCTGCTGCTCTCCTCTCCGTCCGATGACTCATTTAAAGGAATTTCTAAATCTGTAGATAATAACAGACAACATGTGACACCATTCTCTACGCAACTATGACGCCTATGTTTTCTTTACATTTTGTTGAACCACTTACCGACGGTTTGATTCAAATTGGTTCTTCCTGGGCGAGGATCGAAAGCCGGTATGAGCGCTGAAAACTGTCGCTTTAGCACAAAATCATCATCCCAAGGTTTACGCTGGCGGCTTCCCTGGCCGCTGTTACCACGAACTGCTTCTAATGCCTCTTCCTCCATTAAGGACAAAAGATTCCGTGATACCTAAAAACATATGTGTGTGACATTTAAAATGCATTTTGACCAAAATTTAACATTTCAAAAGTGCCTGTGTGGTTTAATTGAATAAATATTTTGACTTTGCACTCCTATCGATATCGAGCAGTATGATAATAGAAGAGAGCTGTTCATCGATGTGCTGTATGAACTAAAAGTAAATTGACCATATCTACAGTGAGAAGTTGTACTTACTACCTCCTGATAGGTGGGCTCGTTCTCCTTATCACTGTCGAGTGCGTCATCTCCCTCGTCGTCATCTTCCAGCTCAGTGAGCAGGGCGGGAGCTCGGCAAGACTCCAGGAAGTCCTCTAACGACACCTGCAGCCACTTTTAATATTTATACCCTAATTTAATATTTTTCTACTACTGCTACTACTACAATAACCAAGAAGCAATAAACAAATAATTTTATTGTTCACACAAAAAATATATTTTGTATTTAAGAAAGATAGCAGCACACACAAACATTTAAAAACACTTCTCACTCACCTGTTCACTTTCACTGGATGTAGAAGTCAGAGACAGTGTGAGCGCATTTTGAGCATTTGGTACTAGAGACGGATAGCTCTGGGCAGCTGATAGCAGACCTCCTGGGAAGTTACTTGATAGAGCTAAACGCACCAAACTGGAAATTCATAAGAAACATATTTTATCTTATAGCAATCACTATTTTTATTAATAAACATAATGATATTTTAAGTACAATGAAAGCTTACCTAGGGAAAAGACTAGTTGAGTGGTTAGTTCTCGTTGCGCGCTGCGGGTTGTTGCCGCGCCCTGCGCCAGAACCACGACCTACTCCAAGAGATTCCAGTAATCTTGCGGCACCCTGCGTAAGTTTTGTTGAGTCATATCTTTATCATTTTCTTCAAATTTTTTATTGTTAATGTGAGCACTACCGGACTCTACAATATACTTTATCTAAAACCTTGTATGAATGTTCAAAAAATTTAAGATAATAATTTATTCATGTAAACATGTAAAATAAAAGATACACAAATCTAACCCAACACTGCGACAACAATGAAGACAATGTAAGCTTAATACATGTAACGGCCTTTAACTAATTCGATAAAGATACTTTTATTTTGCAAATATGGGTCACAATTATAGGTGACATAAAAATACAGGTTCAGCCATATTTTACCATTTAAGCATGCAAATGATATACATAGTGAAATGCTTTGGATAATGTTTTACAATTGAAGACAAACAACACAAAAAACATAAACAAAAAAAGAAGAATATAAATTAGGAACAGTTTTCAACTGAAGTATTCACTAAAAAAATCATTCTCATTTAGATACTCAGTCAAACTAAAATATGCTTTAGCTACTAAATAGCCTCGAAGTATTGTTTTAAATAAGATAGCGGAAGCTCCTTTCAACCCTTAGGTATCCTATTATAAATAACTGAAATGCAGTAGACACTCTTGCGCGTCTTAGCTGGCTCTTTACATAGCGACTATCTTATATAAAATGAGTGGACTCCGTATACTATTTACCTGTTGCGTTAGATCTGGTTCACTAGCGCTCATGGCTCCCGAGCCGCCGGACTGAGTGTCCTTCTTGTGGTCGCCGTACTGACCGTCGGCACCTTCGTTGTCCTCACACTGCAAACAACTCGTTAGTCAATTACAAGTTCCACCGTGAAATGATTTCAACGCATAGATTCGTTTGTATAACTAAACAAATTAAAACTAAACACTGCCATAATTTGATTTGATCTGGATTTTTTAAAGTAAAATGCATCTATCTGAAAATTATTACTGTATCACTCTAAAGGATAAAGGTAAAGGCTTACTCTAAAGGATAAAGGTACCCCTTTCTGAATAAGCTGCAGATAAGGATAACTTTATTTAAAAATTCGTGTGGGATTATACAAATGTAAGCATTTAAAACCACGACATACCTCTTGACTAGTAGTTTCTGGTACCGGTTCTTTGGCTGGATATGGTTTAGTAATGTCTGTGATACTTGTGGGTCCCATTTCCATGTTTGTAAATGACGTGTTGGCCAAATCAATGCAGTTATTGCTCTCAGCTCCCAAGGTTAGAGATTCACTATTGTTGCTAGATCTAAAACAAAGTTAATGAATTCATTATATTACATTCTATTGGGATAGAAATTATTCTACTCTCTTTTTCCATATTGTTTTTGATTTATTGATCATTTATTATACAGGCTTAGATTGATTGATTGAAGGATCATGTAGGACAATTGCCTTACCTGTGTTGATATGGTGTGTAGAGTTGTTGATAGCGGAGAGATCGGTGGCGTGGGTGCGAGGCCGCGACATGTTGCTGGCCATCTCTTCGCTGGAGATGTTGTCCGCAGACGACGCCTGCTCCGTCGATGCTACCGATACCTAGCAACCACATCCATGTTCATGTTAAAATAACTTAAACAAATAAAACGAATCTCTTGTACTATTGTATAAACTGTTTTTGACTAATAAGTCAAAAACAATTTATCATGATTGAAGAGCAAAGAAAATGAAAAATAAAGAGAGAGTACCTGGTGATCTACAGCCGTAGCGTCGGGCAAACTAGGAGTGGAGTGGCTCTTACGACCTTGTTTGGCCTCACCACCAGTGGCGCCACCGCTCACCACTTTGAGATCAAATTTACCTTCCGCGCCCATGCGGTAAGAGTTGCGTCCGCCATGGTCCCACCTTTTGAATAATATAAAATTATAAGTCGAATACATTACAAGTTCTTGCCATAAGTACTTGTATGTAAACTTTTATCAGCAGAAATTATATTTACTCAAAACTTAAAAGACATTTAAAGGTTTTATAAAGTAAACAAAAGGAGTATATGAAAGGATTATTGCAGAACTGTGTTCGTGGGGTACAATATGTGCGAGCGGACCTGACGTCGACCCATCCGTTGTGGAGGTCGGAGGTGACGGTGCCGAGCGCGGGGTGCGGGCCGTCCTGGTCGCGCCACTTCCAGTCGGGGCCGCGCAGCACGCGCGCGCCCGCGCACACGCCGCGCGCCCCGCGCGACCAGCGCCGCGCGCGCGCCCCGCCCACCGCCGCGCCCACCGCCGAGCTAGCCCCGCCCATCTGACGCGGACCCACTCGTTCACGCTCAAACCTGTCGATGTCGACGAGTACGTCAATTAATGGTTATACTATTTTTTTGTAACCACTCTATAATTTGACTCAAGTACGAATTTTTGATAAGTGAAAGTTGTTACCTTGCCATATATCTCAAGTCCAGACAGTGACAAGTAATGGCTTTGTCCACTGGCATTCTTCCCATTTTGTTGTATTCTTAAGAAGCGATATGGCGCGTCGGATCTTATCCGCCAGGTAGCCGTGCTACCTGGTTCTTGTAATGTTTGCTCATCATTGTGAGCCAACAGAGTAGTCCATGTCACACCATCGGCCGACATCTGTGAAACGATTACAAATATTTATGACAAATCAATTTTAAAAGAGACTGTAGAATTACAAAATTGATTTAGCTCAACTATTCTTACTTGGAAAAGCCAATTCCTCAGAGCGAGCGCCCGTATCCACGAGCATGACGCATCGTGTAAGCAGTAGGGATTACTTGTAAACCTAAGTCTACAGCTATAAAAGCTCGTCTGTCATCATTGGTATGAACGTTCAAAGGTTCAGGCGACCTCGACAACACATCCTCAGCCCGACCATAAGGTAACTGCCTTCCATCAGATGACCAAACACTGACTAAGCCATGTGCACCAGGGTTAACCCATTCGCAAGTGCCTGCATTGCTGCCGATGAAGTAAATAATCCCATTTTCGTCAAAATCGTGCTAAAAATAACAAATAAATATGAGTTATTTGTTACATATATTCAAAAAATACCAAACACAAGAAAAGTGTGAAATGTCTTCAAGGTACTTACATCATAAGTGAATGTGATAGGTGCTTCTGCCTTTATTTTCTGCACGAAATTGAAAGTGGCTCTGTCCATATCGTACCACTGGCGGGCGACAGATTTAGCGAGGAATCTCTCGAGCTGTCGGACTGTTGTAAGTGCTTCTACTTTCAACTACGGCCGGCGTTGTTGCCGTTATTTGACATTGTATCTCGGTAGCTTCATCATTAGCACGTTCGACACGCAAACTGAAAATTAAAATATGTTAAATATATTGTAATAGTGGAAGTTACAGCACAGGGACGTGTTATTTAAGAGTTGGAAGTCCAACATAATATATCCGTCATTCAATATTAATAACGTAATTCACAAGTTCAACATTATACATCACATCCGTCCAGGATATCGATTGAATCTCAAGATTGAACCTGAAAATCAAGATTCAAGTTAAGCAACTGTACATTTACAGTTAGTAATTTATTGAAATCAATGAAAAAATAACGGATTAAGTTCTGAAGTGGTACAAGTGTATAGCAAAGTTTGCCTAAAGAGGCCTACTCGTTCGATGACATCGAGTGTACGGGAGTAGACGTTTGTTACCGTATGCGCTTGGTGAGCGTGTGCAGCGAGCTGCTGGGCGGCTGCGGCGCGTCGTGCGGCGCGTGCACGGGCAGGCGCTCCACCGACTCCAGCACGGCCACCAGCCGCGCCGCCAGCACGCCGCCCGCCGCGCCGCCGCGCCGCGCCAGCCACGCCCGCACCAGCCGCGCGCGCGCCGCCGCCTGCCCCGCCCCATCTGCAACCAGTCCATCTACGTCTAACCTCAGGTTTACACTGGGACATTGCCGATGACTTAAATCATTCTATAAGGTGTTGTTCGTAACTCGTGACATTCTCTAGGAGGTATCGGCTCAGTTATCGACTCTGAGTCCGAATCAATAAAAAAATTTAGGTTTATTCTTATTTTTTTTTTGTAAATTACGTAAATCCGTAAGTGCGAACTACGCCGGATTACACGGCGCCGTTTGTATATTATAACACAAACTGAAATACGTATAATTGTTTTTATTATTCAGACCTTAAATTACCAACTTTAGAATTATCAGTATTCATCAGGATTGCAATAAAAAGTAATAAGTAAAGCATTACACAATGTTACAAATCAGCTGATGACTAACGTTGATACCTACGTGAACTTTTCTTTGAAGATAGGTAGGTACGTGTACTACTGATTTCATTGATTGTTTCTGAATTCAGGATTATTAAAAATGTTATTATCAATTAAAAATCATAATGTCTATGAGATTAAGTACTCGTGCGATTCTCGCGTAGAGGGCCGCGCCCACTGAGCTTCACGCTGTCTTGACCATTGTTTTGCTACGTACACATTTATTTAAATAGCTATCACTTATTCTGAAATATTGGCAAACGTAAACAATTTATTATACCGCACATTTTAACTATTGGCCAGAAACCTTTTCTTAAATTGAACATTTATGACTTCTGTGACATGCCCCCGAGAAAGTTATGGTTTAAAAACTACACATTTTGTATAACAATGTAAGTGGGTGCCATAAGATTACATAGTTACTCGGTACCACGAGTCCTAACCAAATTATTTTACTAAGTCGAAACAAGGCGATAATTAGCGATGATTAGACAAGAATTTATCCTTAGGGCTTGTGTTAATTTGTAAACAGTAAACAGATCTTTCATGGCGTTTATTAGGAAAAATTTTTCAAAGACCAGCTTCAAACATTTAAGCTTTTGTGACGCATGTGGTTTCTTGAAAATGTTTTTAAAATATAATTTTAATGATTATTTGTACCTAGCTAATTTTAATTAGTTCTATAATAATAAAAAAAATGTTGAAGTTCAACTTCCGCACCAAATACCTACAGTAAAGGTTTTATATCATTGTCATACAAAATAAATTTGCACTTACCATTAGCTTGTGGTGAAAGTACTTGCAGCAAGGAAGGTGCAAGTCCAGACGACTGCAATTCGTAGGCAGAGAGTAATTCCTCACCGCACAATAACTCAGTTAACTGATCCAGAGACTCATTTAGCTCATTTTGCCAATCATCTGTACACAAAAGACACATCACAGTTAATATGAGTACATTCTCAATAAATATGGAATTAAGCTATTTATATAGGGAGGCCCTTGAAATATGAATCCTTTGGACCTTCCTTTCAGGGTTACCTATAATTATGATTCTCTGACTCTGAACAACGTGTTTGACTGAGGATATAATATTGTATAGCATAGCATGTATAGTAAGTAGTGACCCGTGGGTTGCGTGGCGAGGCGCTGCATGCGCGCCAGCAGGGCCCGCAGGCGCGCCACGGGCGGGCGCGGCTGGCGCGTCGCCGCGTTGGCCAGGTGGCGCGAGTACAGGGCGCGGGCTCGCTCGCAAACCTACGATAAACATTATTATTATTAACGCGACTAATGGACAATCCAACACAAAAATATTATTCAAGTTGGACCAGTAGTTCCGGAGATCAACGCATGCAAACGAACGAACTCTTTGGCTTTATATAATAGTTTCAAGATATTGATTTACCATTATTATATTAATGGGGATGATGACAGGGTATGAAAATTAAAAATATAATTAGTCCGTAAGTTAGGTAATGAAAAAATATTAGACACGTATTTTTTTATTTTGTCGTATAATAAAACAATACTTAGATAAAACGAATCAAAGTTCAGGAGTGGGTGGCTAAAACGTCATTTCTTAGTATAAAATGTACTGAGAAGTGACGTCACGCGACATTTCAAATCAATATATCTTGGAAACTATTCGTTTCTGTGAGAAAATAAAAAATACGTGTCTAATGTTTTTAAATAATCTATCAGATGGACATTAAAATAAAAATTAGTCGTCTACCCTATTGTATTAGCAATCAATGTTTTCGAAGTTTAGTCTAATCAAACCTGTGCTTTCAATGCCTCTGCTTTAGCTGCTAATCGGGAACGGCTTGCATTCACCGCGTTATGAGGAGTCACATTCCTGCGGTCAGTCCAACCGCTTGCTAACTCAGGTCCTAGTAAGAATAATATACAAATGAATAAACAAAGATTTAAAATCAAAATTGCCTATTGATATTTTATATCAATAGGCAATTTTATTATTCAGATTACAGCAATAGATAGACACTTAAGTTCTTACCCAAAAATGTTTCAGCGGTAAATGAGTGTTTAGTGCCCCTGTTGGATTCGAAAATGAAGCCAGGCAAGTCTTCTCTGAGTATGGTAGTTTGTTGCTGACCATCTGTATTGTGAATTTGAAGTTCTTTTTCCCTAAAAAAAAACAGTATTATTTAAATAATACGATCAAAATGCGTTTTTTTATGGGATATCTAGGCTATGGGATCACCTGATGGTAAGCAATCGCCCATGGACACCTGAAACACCAGAGGCGTTACAAGTACGATACCGGCCTTTTGGGGACTAGGAATTTGAGGAGTGTTGGGGATTCGGGGTTTGGGGACATAGGGGAGGGGGCTAATTGTGTCTCCGGTAACCTCACTCACACGACGAAACACAACGCAAACGTTGTTTCACGTCAGTTTTCTGTGAGGCCGTGTTATCGCTCCGGTTGAGCCAGCTCATTCGTGCCGAAGCATGGCTCTCCCACATTCAATGAGATGTATGTCTGTTTAACTTACTTTTTACATGAGAGAGACCAGTTGCCTATAATTAGTTTAGATGGTCCAGGTTTGGAGAGGATCGGTTGAGGAACGGTATTCTTCACAGAGGCTCGCGCTCTTTGCAGTTTGTCTATGAACTCTCCACGATTTTCTGCAAATAATGCAGACATAAATATTAACGAGAAAGAAATAGAGGCTCTGGTACATCAAGTAATTTATTAGAGAAAACAAATAATAAACGTTGAAAAATTAGAAGTCATGACGAAAACATACCGGTGTTGTCAGTCTGATGCTCGGGGCTGCCACTGGAGTACATGGTGGCCAGCTTGCCGTCCAGCAGGAAGCGGAACCAGCCGTTGCTGCCCGTGCTGAGCTCCAGCGCGGCCGCGTCGCTCCAGACGTAGAGCGCGTCGCGGCCGCGGCACAGCGCCCACTCGGCCCACGAGTAGCCCACGCCGCTCGCCAGGCACGACGCGTCCTCGCTGCTCCCTGCAGACACCTCGCGTTAGCACTCCTTCTCTGCTTACAACGTGTACTGGTTACTCTTGCGAGTACCCCACTTACCCCACTTACCAGGAATATTGGAACTTTCACTATCCGACGACAAGAAAGCAGCCGGAGCGGCAGCGAGACTCTCCACTTTACTGAAGACGCCGAGGCGCGCGAACTGTTCTAAATATATGTCCGAAGCCTTCACCATCAACTCCTCGGCTATACCGAGAACTATGAGATGGCCGTCGTCGTCGTCCTAAATATAATCATTTTTACATTATTTTCAATTCAAAAACGATGTTTCCTATGATTCATGAAATGTTCATAGTTTTGTATCACTGCTTTTATGATATTAATACACCGAACATACCACAATAGTTAATTAAACATAAAATACAACAATAAAAAATACACTTCTTGTTTTTAGTCATTGCCGTAATTTGATTACTAATAGTACGCTGTTGTATGAAAGATACAACTTAATTCAGGCATCACAAACTAATGAAATACGCAACACGCGATGGTTATTTACGGATTTAATGTATTAAATTGGATTCGATTTACATAGTCATAGTTTTTGTCATGAGACGTGTATTAATTATTAAACACAAACATAATAAACACAAAAGAAAGATTGTTGATGCAGGTAAGTTTCGATGGTGTGATGTCTTTACAAAAATGTAAATGCTTCAAGAATAAATGATTGTGAAAAAAAAAACAAGAAACCAGTATCGTAAAAACTCAGCATACAACAAATGAAAATAAAAATTAGTAGTATAAGTTATGATTATGGTCATTGACACAAATTATGTACCAGCTATCATTCTAGGATCTAAGCTGAGCGCAATTAATGGCATCGTTCGACGGATACAAACCAAAACATTATGTCAAGTTCCAAACGATAAACATAAAGAATCCGTGCAACGGTGTCTCAAGCAATATGAGGTTACGGCTCTAAAATAATTAGGTTTATTTTTTACCTGTTTTTTTTCTATGCAATTTCATAATTATTAACTAGATGCAAACTTTATAGGTTATGAATAACAATATACCATAAATAATTTGGAAATATTAAAGTTAAAACTGATTCATATACAGCTAAGAGTCTAATCAACATTATGAAATTTTATCGTAGGTATAAGAAATTAGAACCAATCGAGTCAGTCAGCGAGTCATTTTAGAGCCGGTGCTCAAGTCAGGTTCGTGGGAGCATCACACCATCGTAACGTTACCGCAGGCGGGCGGATATAGCGGCAGCGCAGCAAGCGGCCCGCGCGCCGCGCCCCGCCCGGCTCCGCCTGCACACACACAACGTCAGCGCCAGCCCGCTCCGCGCGCGCGCGCGCCCCCCGCACTCACCGCGTTGTCCAGCACGGCCGCCACCAGCTGCGTCAGCAGCGCGGCGGGCGGCGCTCGCGGCGCAGCGACAGCGCGCGCAGCAGCCGCGCCGGCGCGTAGTGCACCATCTTGCGCACCAGCGACAGGCAGGCGCGCCGCACGCCCGCGCCGCCCGCGCCCAGGTAGCGCGCCGAGAACACCGGCACCAGGCGTCTGCACACCGCCACGCGTCAATTAACATCCTATCCATCGGTCGGAGCCCGGTGAACTCTGATACGTCAGCAATTTAACAAAAACTATCTTACTCGAGGTATACTGCTGCCATTTCCTTGTCGCCAGTTTCAGGGAAATCGTCATCATTGGTCGGTGAAGGCGAATCGTGATTACCGACTACCAACCACTCTCCAGGACACTGCAGGATCGCTGCCACTTCTCTATGACCTATATTTAAAATATATTTTAAAAAAGTTGAAGAACATTTCGTGGTAATGTAATAATCATAAATAGATTAATATTCACCTTGGTCATGTCTTTCCCGGGCCTTGTCAAGAGGTGTTTTTCCATCTTCGTCGCGTAGATCAGCATTTGCACCATAACGAAGTAGCACTTTAGCAATAGCAGGACGACCGAAGCAAGCCGCGTAATGCAAAGATGAACTACGTTGACCACGATTCACGTCAGCACCTTTAATGAAATTTTAACCCATTAAAAATTAAAACATTAATTCTTATATAAGTCTGATGAGCAATATAAGGGTACTGTAGCAGAGATACTCGTATATTAAACGCTTACCTTTCTCGCACAAGAATTCAACCATTTCCCTTGTGCCGAAGGCTGAGGCCCAGTTGAGTAGGGTTTGTCCGACGTCATCAGTGAAGTTGACATCGACTGCGCCGCTGGAGACGGCGGCCAGTAAGGCGTCGGTGTCCTTGCCGCGGATGCAGTCGATGAGCTGTCGGTGCGACTTGTCCCCGCGCGCGCCGCTGCCGCCGCCCGACGAGCCCTCGCCGCTGGCTCCGCCCGACGCACTCGACCCCGACGTCGAACTACCGTTACGGTTGGACCCACTGATGCATAACCACAATTCCATCAATAAAATGTTTACTTCGAAGTTTAATGTCAAATGAACAATTCAATTGCAAATAGTATTATTACACCAATATGATTAATTCATTAAATTACTAATTATTATTATTGTTTGAACAGATTCAATGTAGATGTTAGATGTAAGATATGTAGATGTCTTACTTCTGTATAGCATGTCGTCCTTCACACAAGAGAACAAGCAGCAAGTCCACGAGCCGCATACATTCCAGACACCAACGCTCATCAGCCTGTACTGCCGCCTCCACAGCTGAGCACAACTCCAAGCGGACGAGATCCTACAATGTAATATAGTGATCAAAAGTAATGATACAAAAAACCATTAAGTACATGATGTATGTTGCAGTTGCAGGTTTAAATACAAAAACGTTATAACTTACATGAGTAATTTGTGCAGAACCACGACACAATGTAGATAATAAGCTAACAGTAGTAGACACAGCTGGAGCTGAACATTTATCATCGCCACTCTCGGCACTGCCCAGGCGGCGCACTAATTCCTCTATTAAACCTGTCAATAGAATAGAATGTTTAATAATAATACTTCATCAAGACAATTATCTATAGAAAATGTTATTAATCAATACGCATTCTTTAGAATTAAACAATTATAAACCAGAGTGCAATCACTCTGGTTTAAAATAGTATTTCTCGTTTACCTGGTCTCGTTAGAAAAAATGAATAGTAACATACCATGTTCAGCGAGAGGAGCCGGGTCAGCGTGCGCACGCGCAAATCTATCAGCTAGCGATGCGAAACAGCGCAGTGCTGCGTCTGCGACCCGCGCGTCATTGTGACGTAGAAGTGCTGATAGAGACGAAACTGCGTCACCCACGCGAGCGTCACCTGGCTCCATTTTGCCACAAACCCTAATAATATTAAATATTCATGATATTACTTCATGACCGTAATAAATAAAACCTACGAAAATCAATCACACAATTTAAATGGATTTAATCAACAAACCTTGATACTACTGCCATAGCTGAGTGGAGAGTGTCCTTGTGCACAGATGTACCATGATGCGTAATGAAGTGTAACACTGCAGGTAGGCCACCACCTTCCCAAACAGCACCAGCCTCCCTAGTGCAAACTAACTCCAACACCTGGGATTAAAATCACCATTCAGTCAAAGTCAAACTTGATGTTATGAATATATTATCCTAAATTACACATTATAGGATCTTACTTTAATGCACTGTTCTGCGAGATCCTTGCTGGTACGGTTGTTGGGATCAACAGTGAGCAATCTGCTGCAAATAGCTTTGACTGCTCCCTCAATGGCTACAATTCTTCTTGTGCATTCCGCTGCAATAATATTTATGTGGTTAGATCTCACAATGAACTTTTGTGTGATAAATTCAAGTATCTTTAATTTATATAGTGAATATAAGGGGGGTCCACGATGACATTTCTGGGATATACCTATAGAATAAAATTATGTCAGCGGTTATGATACAAGATTTATATTCATAAGAGGGTGTCATTTGAAATTGTTTATGTGTGTATGAAATTGTATATTTGTAAATGCACCCATGACACAGGAAAAAACACTAATGGGGCAAGTTTTAAAAAAAAATGCAAAGTGAAATGCAATGTAACGGTAGATTTTGAGAGTATATTGCTAAGTTACAATATGAAATTGGCTATAAGAGAACCTACTAGAATAGTAAGCAAAACATGTATCGACAACTTTGCTCATAATTTTACAAAATCGTGTAAGACGGAAGTGTTGGAGTTTGCTTTGTCAGATCATACTGCACAGCTAATAAACATTCCTATTAAAGTACCTGTCATAAAATTATGGAAGAAACGTATTCGTGATTTCGCTAGTGAAAATGTCCTGAAATTCAAAGAGTGTATTGATGGTTTGTCTTTTTCTGATATGTATTGCGAGTGTGATGCAAATAAGGCATATAATTGCTTTGTAGATAGCTTTAAGTTATATTATGACCTCTGCTTTCCTTATAAAACTATTGTTATACGTGTTGATGGGAAACCAAAATGGATATCTCGTGGGTTAAAGAAATGTAGTGCAAAGAAAAAATATTTACTTTGGAAGTTTAGATTTAAACCTACCGTCAGCAATAAAACCATATACATGACTTACTCAAAATTGTTTAAAAAGATTATTAAATTAACACAACTTGCTCAAAATAATTATAAAATTAAAACCTCATTCAACAAACCCAAAACTATGTGAACTTCATAAACAGGTCAAAGACTAATATTCCTCGCGACTCAATTAATAGAATTAAGGTAAATGACAATATTGTTACCGATCCTGGTGCAATAGCTAATGCTTTCAATAACTTTTTTATTGACAAAATAAAGCCCATATCAAACTGCGGCAAAAATGTGACATCAAAAATTGTAAGTACTAGTAATTCTATTTTTATACCCCTAGCATACCAAATGACATTCAACAAATTATTAATGGACTAAAAAACACAAATAGTGTAGGAGTTGATGACATTTGTACTAAAATAATAAAATTAGTTAACATAAGTATTTCTGGACATTTGAGTCATATATTAAATTTGTGTATTTGCAATGGTATTTTTCCGCATAGATTGAAAACCACAATAATAAAACCTATATTTAAAAAAGCTGACAAAGAGTCAATGGAATTCTACAGACCCATTGCATTAGTTCCTATCATATCAAAAATCTTTGAAAAGTACATACATAATAAAATTTATACATATTTAGAAAAAAATAATTTACTGTGTCAAGAACAGAAGGGATTTAGAAAAAGTAAAAGCATTAATTTGGCTATTTATGATTTCTATAAGACAATAATGGGTAACGTCGATAAGAGGACCCCAGTATGCGCTATTTACTGCGATATGACACAGGCATTTGATTATGTGGATCATCGCATACTTTTAAATAAATTACAAGCTTATGGAATCAGGGGAACAATTTTAAAATTGATTGAATCGTATATTTCTAATAGATCTCAATTGACCGCAATAAATAGAGTGAACTTAAGAACCAGGTTCGAGGTTGAATATAGGTCAGAACCGCGAGGTAGCAGCTATGGTGTTCCGCAGGGAAGTGTATTAGGCCCCCTTTTATTCATAATATATATTAACGATCTACCTAAATTTACACACCATCCAATGTCATTGTTTGCTGACGATAGTACAGTTTCCATCCAATGTAGAGCAAGTGAAATGTACCAAAATGACATAAATAAGTGTCTATCCGCAATAATCCACTGGTTGGACAATAACAATTTAAAAATCAATTTGGAAAAAACCCAAGTTATGCACTTCAGTCAAAGACCCCAATACCAAAACATAGTTGTTAGTTACGATGGTCACCCCTTACAGGAAGCAGATTCAGCCAAATTTCTGGGCTTAATTATTGACAAAAAACTAAACTGGAAAAACCATGTAGCTGACCTCTCCAAAAAACTAAGTAGCACTGCTTACGCTCTCTACAAAATAGCCTCGATAGTTAATACTGAAGCTGTGCTTACCGCCTATCATGGACTCGCAGCGTCTAGATTGCGATATGGAATAGTTTTTTGGGGAAACTCTACAGATAGTGATATTGCTTTTAGGGCACAAAAACGATGCGTACGAGCTATGTTTGGCATTCAACCAACAGACAGCTGTAAGCCGTACTTTATCAGGCATGGCATCCTTACACTTCCGTCTCTGTATATACTTGAGGTAGCAATGTTTGTGTATAGAAATCCTCACCTTTTCGAACGGCTGCGTGATATTGTGCCGCGAAATCGGCGGAACAATAATAAACTGTGTCTTCACACAGCAGTAACGAGTCTTATGGGAAAGAGTCTTTTATGTATGGCGCCAAAAATATACAATAAAATCCCAAACGACATAAAACATTTGAATATTAGTATATTCAAAAATAAATTAAAATCAATTTTATCCAAGAAATGTTATTATACTGTAAACGACTTCTTGAATGACGGTAATTTGTAGGACATTTATAAGTTTAACTTTTATTTATTTAAGCACTGACATTTTAATGTATTATACTATGACATTTTTATTTTATTTTTTTGTTATATTACCTTTATTGACCTAAGCTAACAATATTTCATACGCCTGTGAGGGCAGATTTTGGTGGTACTATCATAATACTGTGATCATAATTATTTACCCAAAATGTAATGAATAAATGATTTTGATTTTGATTTGATTTTTTTGATTTGAAATGAAGAATACCAGTGTTGTTGTTGGGGAGTAGGCTCCCCAAGTATTAATGAATGTTCTTTATTGCATCAGCATGATCTTAACACTTAGTAAACTTACCAGAAACATCGAGATAGTATGTAATGGCTCTGGCTGTCACTTCCAATACATTGTCAGGTGCACATTCATCTAAGAAGATTTTACATAATGCTGGGAGAAATGTTCGAGGAGGACAGCTGAAACAAAGATCATACAAAGATGATTATTTATCATTCTCAATAGTTTTCTCATCACTGCTATTTTAAAGGAATGTAGAATTCAAGTAAACTTAAACAATGCTGAACGAAAAAATATCTATTTTGAATGAAATTAAATTATGTATGTTGTACTGTAGAAAGAAATAGTAGGTTAATTTTATATACAACTAAGCACCTATGACCAATAGAAACATCATACTTTCAACTAAAAACAATTTACATAGTGAGAAAATGTTAATTAAAAAATACCATTTCATTTTTGGTTTGTAAATTAAAAAATATTAAATATAGCTTTTTCTATAGTTTTTTAGTAAGTAATAAAATCCGTTTTTCTAACAGTTTTAAAAGATAGTTACAAATATTCTTGGTCTTAGGATTGATTGACTACAAATGTGAATATGAATAACGTTGAGGAAAATGTGAATTGTGGTTTCTTTCTCTTGGAACTAAATACTAAGGCTTATATTTCACATATTCAAACTTTATTCCACTAATTTCTTTGTTTATGATTGTATATTGTATAATGTGTTTTGAATATATATATGAATTTATTGCATAATATAAGTCAAATATGTAAATAAAAGTTCTATGTTTTTAAAATGTGCTATTATTTTGAATTCTTATCCCTCCACATTTTTATCTAAACACACTGACTCACAACAGGGCATGTCAAGACTATCAATAATCACAATAATCATAATGCTAATGGTTACAGTGTCAATATTATTGACACTGTAACCATTAGCATTCCACCATACTTACCTAATGAATGTGGTTAATAAGCTGTTTCACAAATACATAGTATTATTATTATGTAAAATATTGTAAAACTTAACAAATTACATTTTAACTGTGAGACTAGTTATGTATGCATTAGCATACATAACTAGTAAAATATCAATTTTACACAAGCCTTAGTTGCTTTATGAAGCGTTCAACACTTAACTTCCCCAAGTATTCAGAAAACACCGAAGCAGCCAAGTTTCTTACTTGGCTCATGGTGTTACTGCTGTTTATTTATTTATATGAAAAGAATGGTTCAAAAAACCAATTACACTACTCAATACATATACAATCGAAAAAACAATACATTTAAATAAAAAACTTAATCATTATTAGATACTATAGTTTATTTCATCTCTTTCGCAAAACTTCAAGCATTCGGACAAAAATAATCTTCTTTTACTTGAAAACACATCACACTCTGGCGTTGTATCCAAGAATCGGTTTAAAAGTTTTATCATGTGTGGTAACGGGGATTTAGCTCTACTGACTGTTCTGCAAGATGGTACAGCAAATAACTGGTGCTTTCTTTTGCGACATAAATGTCAGGAGCAAAAATACGAAGGAACTCATTGTGCAAATCAGGAGCATCAATTCGACCGTGAACAATTTTGTATATTATTAAAATTTATTGCATTTCCTGTCTAATTTTTAGAGAGTTATACCCCAGATAACCAAGTAAAAATAGCGGTGGGTATAAGTATGGATAATAACCATTTTCGCGTGTACAGAGATCGGAGAAATGCTTAATGCACTTTTTCGAGGATTATTTTTTGTTAATTTTTCCTTTACAAAACCGATTTCAATACTTTGCATAGTAAAATATGTAAAAATAAATATAACACATGCATACTTTTTTACTTATTTATTTAACACATGATGAGCTAATTATTATTTATAGCTTAATTCAGTAGTCATAGTAATTAAAATTATAGTCATGGCACAGTGTAATATGTTGCTATAATTCTAGATGTATCATACAGTGCACTTTTGTACCTTTACTTTATGTTGACCTCTGGCTGTGTTTATATATTATTTATTTATATACATATTATATTATCTAAAAGTACTTGAATTAAGTCTTGTATTAACGGGCCTATACAATAAAAGAATTTGTTAAGGTTGCTTTAATATGAGTATAACTGTAACACTTTTACTATACCTTTCAAAGCATCTGTCCACATTATCGGACATGAGAAGCAGCATGCACAGCTGCTCAAGAGCAATGAGCTGCATGTCACGCTCATCACCCTGCCCGGTCAGCAACCATTCTAAAAGGGTTTCTGGATCCACTTCCGCCATCTAATTCAAATATAATTTTACAATAAATATTATAAAACAAACTTCTAACATTATATAATCAATTAGATATTAAAGCATTTAGCTACCTTCTTTATTTAGTGGCCCAGGTCACCTGTAATAGGCATATTTCCTTGTGAAAACTGAGATACTGATTATTATTACAAGTGTGGAAAGTGGTAAAACAGTAATGATGTCTTTGTTAAAACTGTGAAGGTTAAAGTATATAACAATTAACCATGAGGATGTTGTGATAGTTATGAAATTGGTTAAATAAACTAGAGCACTACATAATTTCTATAATAAATACTCCAAAACTGTTGACCTATGTCAGAAAATATAAAGTTTAAAGTTAGTTAAAATAAAATTCAATAATGATGAGAAAAATATTGTGACATAGATTTTAAAATAATGTATCTATGTAGGTTACGGAATAATACGACTGTGAATATGAACAGAATAGACCTTTCTCTTTCGTAATATTAGAACGAGTGATCACAAACGTGATTAAAGAAATATAGCAAAGATATGATATAGTAAACAGAAAATAATAATCAAAAACATAAACAATGATAAAATAAGCACAATAAATAAATAAAGTTTTAGGGCAAGAGTGAAGGTGACAATGTATTCCTTACCACTTGTAATCAATTCGGATTAACCATCGATGTCAAATAAAATCCACAACAAATTATTTAACTAAATCTAAAGCTCAAGTTATAATTACACCAAGCTGATAATGCAACGCAATTACTCGCACAAGATTTTCTAAAATCTTTTGACACCAAAATCATCAATCGCCATTCCCACAGATGAAATAGGAAAATAAAATATAAATGAGAATGATTTTTTGTGAAATTACTTTAGGTTGGCAACCCTGTTCATTTTACCAAAGACCACAGAACATAGACAAAATAAATGATAGAAATAAATGATCCCGCGTCACCCCCATAGAGCAACACGGGCCACCGGCGGACCGGAGGGGAGTAGCCATACGCAGGCGTTCCCCTCTGTCAAAGTATAAGTCCAAATGGTCCTATGCGTACAATAAAACTAGTTGCAACTCAACTGCTCACCAGACTAAATCTAGTTGCGTTAGTGAATCGACGGCGTCGTAAAAATGTCGAATTGTTCTGTTTTTTGCTGCAAAAAGAGATCTGCCACGTCAAATTTACAAAAACATGGTGTTACCTTTCATATTAAGTAATTTTTAATCACATTATTGCTATTTACTTCTTATAAACTTAAAAAAACTACAATATTATCAATCGTGTTGTTTCGGATTTGTTTACCAACAAATCCGTGCGTCCTCACACAAAACGCGGATCGGTCGAGCGACAGATCCCAGTTTTTTTCCTAGAATTCGCTGTCGCCGAGCGATAGCGTTGTTGGCGGTTTGTTTGTAGATAGTTATCGATAAAAATGTAAAAGGTGAAGTCAAATTTAATGTGAGATTTTTTGGGATTAAGTTTTCTGATTTAAATAAAATACTGAGTGAGAACTTCAACTATATTTATTATTATTATTATTTTATTTATTTATTGCAGATTTCCTAAAGATCCAAATTTAAGAGATATATGTAAGACATTTTGTTATAACAGACCAACCCGGGTTTCCCACAAGAAATATTGCAATTTGCTTAAATCAAGATGAATTAACAAGATTAATAATGCAAAAATATACTGATACAATAATTTCTAACTTATTGAAAAAAACAAACCCCCAAAAATGTATTCGTCATATTTATAGAAAATTAATCTATTTTAAAAACCAGTTATAGTTCCGTATCAGTATTTCATCACTGGTTTTTAAATGGGATTAGTAATTTAACTTATTTCAAAAAATTAAAATTTTATTTTTTGTAATTATCTTGTCTGATTATTGTACTAGTAGGTAGTTAAGGGTATAATAATTAATTAGGTATAAAAAAGGGTATAATAATTAAAGTCAATAATAATATCTGTCTTTGAATAAATTTTTAAAGCTAATTTCCTTAACGGAGTTCTTGAATTTATCGATAATGCGTATCGATAATTGTTACAACTGCGGGTGTAAGTGTAGTTGCGTCATATTATTACACTATAACGACAGGGATTGTTTAAATGTGTGTGTGAAATTGTCAGTGTATTTTTCAATTGTCATAGTGTGAGTTTCGTAGTGACATAGAATGTTTTTGTGTGAGAATTTGAGAATGTGTAATTTCCCCGCGCAAAAAATGACAGACAGTTTTGTATCGGTTTATAACGCAATGGCTACTCCCCTCCGTGTTGCTCTATGGTCACCCCAAATAATTCTTCGATGATAAGACAATTTAGTAAATTAATAACATACGTGACTGTTATTTATTAATTATAATAAAATATTTATTTATTTACACTTCTTATTAATGAATAGTGGGATTCTCTAACGGTGATGCAGAGAGACACAATAGTACGTATAAAAATTTAACATTGTGACTTTTTTTAACATTATTGAAATGCATTTAAAATGTTATCCTCTAAAATTATGACGATAAGATTAAATGGTTGCAAAAGTATTTACGAAAGAGATTATGGTTAGCACTAGTAGTGACTACCCCCAAGCTGAACACACAGACTTAAAATAGATAAGCAGACCCAACATTACCTAAAATATTGGTAAAGCCAAAAACACACATGCGCAATTTGTAGCTTAAACGGGGCCAGACTACGGTCGGCATTAGCAATGAAGGCCATTATTAGGTACCTACATAGAGATAAGCATGTTTTTGGGATAAATAGTTAATATTTATAATTAATGTATAAATATCCATTTTTACTATAATTTTTATGTTTGTGTTACCGGAAAAGTATGAGAATCCTATGAAATTTATATAATTCCGAAACTATATTTTTACAGTTCCTGAATGCCTATTCAGGAACTGCAAAAAATATAGTTTTAAAAATTATTAAATAGGTACGTAGGTATTTACCACAGATATATTATATATTATTTTAATATTTCTGTGGTATGGTACTTACTAAATAATTTTAATATTCTCGTAATATAGAAAATATATCAAAGATTGCTTTTTCAAATAAAACACGTTGAAGAGAGAGTAATAATTATTATTAAGGCAATTGTTATGGTTAAAAATAGCAGGTAATATTCACTTCCCACCTCTCAATAACACTCACCACTCCCAAGACAAGTTCTTTCCTTGTCCTCTCTTGTTAAATTTTGTTGTACATTCCTAATTCAGGTATAAGATGATATTATTTGATGATAATAGGCAATTGTGTAAAATTGATACATATTGGGTACATAATATAACAACTATACCTAATACTATTGAAAAAAAAAACAAGCATGATAGATTATACAACTTTGTAGTACTTAACTATTACTTAATTTAAAAACAATAATATTTATTAGTTTATTCTTTAGAAACACTAAATCCGTCCTCTGTTAATTCTATAAGTACCTAAGTGAACTGTCATTCAAATGAAAAATTAAGTTGATTTTATTTGTTTATTATTTTTGTACACTGTATTCTAAGTAAACTTATGTTAGTAAGTTAGTAGTACCTAATTAAAATATAAATAGTTGATAAGGCTTCGTTATAAACGATTAAACATTTTATCAAAACAGTAGTTTTATTTAAAAAAATCAACAATTTGTTTTATTCAACCACAACATAAATAAAAACCTACTGATGAAAGATTATTCCAGGTACTTTTTTATAGCTATTGCTGTCACATCGGTACGCACTGCACTCCATTAAAAGCCACCATTTTATTTTAGATTATTTAAACGTTTAATGGTAGAAATAATTAATATTTTCTTTTCGAGTTATAGGTCAGTTATAGGTAAAGATAACAATATGGCAGCACGCGAAAAACTAGCTACATGTCAATATTTGTCTATAGTCAGAATTTTAATTTGATTCCAGATTTGACATTAGCTACTGTCATTTTGTGAAATAATGATGAACACAAAAATCGATAAACAATCAGTGTGTGTGTTTTATAATAAATGTTACAGAAAGTGACAGCGATAGCGATTGCGATGACGGCGACAATTTATAAAATAAATTATCACCATAATACATCTGTTCATGGTTACATTTTTTTATTTATTTCACACACAATTATAAAAGAGAAGTCTCAGATCGTTAATTAATCGTCAAAAATTATCGATCAGAAATATTTAATTTCCTGATAATCTTAGTTTACGAGAGTAAAATTATAAACGAGAAGAATCGATCCGGAAAAATTCAATTTCCGTATCGAATAATTTCGCAACGTCACTACTTAGTACTTGTCATAACGTTGCAACACTGAAATTGTCAAATCTGGAATCGAATTAAAATTCCGAGCAGTGTGGCTACAGGTAAAAGAACGAGACGCCATTATTAGGTTGTACTTGACAGAACAAGGACAAAGAATGATGGATATCATAAATAATATAACTAAGAATTAATGTTTGGTCTGCGTATTGTACGTCTATGCCTGGACATTGTTTATTTATGCAGATGTTGTATAAGCGTAGTCCTAACATACCAAAAGTTGGGCTCGCTGCCATTGCAGCGGTAAGACCCCTCTTTGAGGAGTGGCTTGAGAGACGCTACGGCGTCCTCACCTACCGCCTGACGCAGGTCCTCACCGGACATGGAAGTTTCGGGAGGTACCTGTGTCTGATGGGGCGGGAGGAAACGCCCGGGTGTCATCACTGCGAGGACCGCCCTGAGGACACGGTGGAACACACCGTAGCGGAATGCCCTGCGTGGGCTGAGCACCGCCGTGCCCTCAGGGAAGTGATCGGCGATGGCGACCTCTCGCGTCCGGGCCTTGTGCAGGCCATGATGCGAAGCGAGGGGGACTGGGATGCCGTCTCCTCCTTTTGCGAAGCAGTCGTGCTAGCTAAGGAGAGGCGGGACGCGTGAGGCAGCGAAGCGCTGCCTCCTCGCAACCCAGCCATCGCGAAGGACACACCAGGGGATCGCGGGACGATCTCCGGCCACCGTAAGCGCGGGCCTGCGGACGGCGAGCATGGGTGGCTCCCCGTCCGACCAGAAACAGACCCGAGCGTACGGACTCAAAGAGCCATCAGACCACCACAGATGGGGCCCAATAGGGCCGATGCCTATTCGGAGTCGCGGAGAACCTAACGGGTAACCGGGGCTCCGGCTCGACGTGCAGGAGAAGGAACGGGTGGTTTTTAGTCAGTAAAGTCTGACACTCCCTTCCGCCTCACCCAGGCGGGAGCAGTCATTCGATGATTTTCCCCCTAAAAAAAAAAAAAAACAAAAACATACCAAAAGTGAGATACTAGAAATAGGTTAGTTGGAAATGATGAAATCTAACCGGCTATACTTCTAAGCGCGTATATGCAATCAATCGTGATCGTGCTAATCAAATACTTCTCCCTTATTTAGATGTATCAAGAATGTACAGTTTGTCTATTCATTAATGAAAATCAATGAGGGCGCCACAGGTCGTAAGTTCCCACCAAATACAATCCAAAACTAACCAATAAATATGCAATGTAAACAATCCTAATTTAAGACATAAAATCGTTTGCTTTGTAGATTTTTCACTTCTGGTACATAAAATATAAACAGTAATGAGATTCCTACCCAGCATAGCCCCTGTTGGAACAAAAACAATCTTTATTTGATGAAAGTCCAGATTCTTGTTCTATTGAAAATCACTTTATATTCGAAATACAATCAGTCGAGCTCCACTCCGAATTGAGTCCTTTTGCATATTTAACAAAGTTTTAAGTTTTATTTAGGTACTTTAATTGCAATCTAGTACCTTTTTAACAAAAAACGATTCACAAAACAAACTCGATCATCTCATCTGATGACATTCAACGTATTTTTGTGGGTTTCGTTTTCTTATTTTTAAAAGCGGTGGTATTATCAAAATATAAATCCAAGGCGAAATTTTTAACTTCTCTTTATCGCCCTTGAAAATCTCGAGTACGTCACCTAATCGAGAACAATAATATTATTGAGGATCAAGAGCATAACGAGCACTCTGTGCGACGACTAGAGTAATAACTGGCGGATTTTTACTCTAGTCGTCTAGCATTTGTATTACAAACTGGTTTTGAACGGGTAGCCGTAACTTGATATGGCGGCTTTTACAATCCCTCTGCGACACATCTACCCCTATACTTATTATAGGTGTCGCGGAGAACCTAAGGGGTTACCGGGGCTCCGGCTCGAAGTGCAGGAAAAAGAACGGGGTGGTTTTTAGTCAGTAAGAGTCTTACACTCCCTCCCGCCTAGAGTATTATAAGTATAGGGGGCCTCACCCAGGCGGGAGCAGTCATTCGATGACTTTCCCCATAGATGTACTCTTATCATATTATTAGAAGTGGTACTTTCCCCCTTTAAAAAAAATCTTATCGTAGGTACTCTTTTGACACATCGACTAGTTGCCAAGCAACGAAGCACTATCAGAAAAGAAAACACAAACATTGAAAGTTCTTTTATTATAGTCTAAAGTTATGCTCGAAATCTTTTAGGTAAAGTGATATAGTATAATATTAATCGCAAATACAAGAAAATACATAACATGTTATCAATTCCTGAAATAGCTACACAGTTAATTGATAAAACACTTACAAATGTGAACGAATTTAATTCGCGAACAATCTTTCTTGTTGGAAGCAAATCTGTTGTGAGTGATATATATTGAATGCATTTTAATTTATTCGTTCTTCAACTACGTCTCATAAATATCCCAAATCTAACTCTCAAACCGAAGAGGATAGGGTCGGTTCCTGATTCGAGCAACGTTTTATAGAGGTGTTCCTAAAGTCGACGATCAAATGGCACCAGGTGGTCGGCAAGGTTCCAACAGTTATCAGATATAAAAGAAATTCTAAGTCATATAGTTTTTATCTATTGACTCTTGCTTCTGCAATTCTTTTTTTTTCGTCTATAGATAATTGACTCTTGCTTCTGCAATTCTTTTTTTTTCGTCTATAGATATTATTGCTTACTTATCCTGAATAGTGTTCCAATATTATGAAATCATAAATTCTGGACCAATTGCTTTAATTTGGAAAATAATATAATTTTTTAGTGAACAAAGTATTCTCAATAAATTGTTCATCTTACTTTAAGTGACTGTACTAAAAAAAATTGTGTTATACTAGTAGTGGTAAATCTCACCAAAGTTGGCGCATTTTTTTTTTAAGGGGGGAAAATCATCGAATGGCTGCTCCCGCCTGGGTGAGGCGGAAGGGAGTGTCAGACTCTTACTGACTAAAAACCACCCCGTTCCTTCTCCTGCACGTCGAGCCGGAGCCCCGGTTACCCGTTAGGTTCTCAGCGACTCCGAATCGGCATCGGCCCTATTGGGCCCCATCTGTGGTGGTCTGATGGCTCTTTGAGGCGCGCGTGGAACGCTACGCGCCGTACGCTCGGGTCTGTTTCTGGTCGGACGAGGAGCCACGCATGCTCGCCGTCCGCAGTCCCGCGCTTACGGTGGCCGGAGATCGTCCCGCGATCCTCGACGCCCGGTGTGTCCTTCGCGACGGCTGGGTTGCGAGGAGGCAGCGCTTCGATGCCTCACGCGTCCCGCCTCCTCCTTAGCTAGCATGACTGCTTCGCAAAAGGAGGAGACGGCATCCCAGTCCCCCTCGCTCCGCATCATGGCCTGCACTAGGCCCGGACGCGAGAGGTCGCCATCGCCGATCACTTCCCTGAGGGCACGGCGGTGCTCAGCCCACGCAGGGCATTCCGCAACAGTGTGTTCCACCGTGTCCTCAGGGTGGTCCTCGCAGTGATGACACCCGGGCGTTTCCTCCCGCCCCATCAGACACAGGTACCTCCCGAAACTTCCATGTCCGGTGAGGACCTGCGTCAGGCGGTAGGTGAGGACGCCGTAGCTTCTCTCAAGCCACTCCTCAAAGAGGGGACTTACCGCTGCAATGGCAGCGAGCCCAAAGTTGGCGCATTTAATAAGAATTTCACGATACGACTGACTGATGGAAGCAAAGAATCGACAGTAGGGTTAATACTGGTCTATAGGTAATCTATGAGAAAATAATGTTCGTTTCAATATTTTTAGGGAAAAACAACGTTATTGTATTCTTTTTTGGAAAAGAACGACCAGCCGCGAGAGACACTTGTAGTGGAATACTCTTTTGGGAGGAAATCGAATCAAAAACAAGGAATTGACAAAATCTTGTGTCACATTTGGGAGTACGGTGGTAAATTAGAAACTTTGAATAATGTGTTGCAATCAATACCTATATGCGGGAAGTTCTTCTTTTGCATTATGATTGATCTAAGTAAAATCAAAAATATATGGGAAACTTTAGAGACCTGTACTCAAGTAATGAATGACGTCTATTCGACAATTAATAATTCACCTGAATTAATAATAATTTGTGGAAAATATGATCTTTTTAAGAATTATGGTAAGCAACCAGTCGCTTCTACATTTAGAAAAAAAAAATATTTTCATCATCTGAGTGTCTATATATCTGTAATCCTAATCACGAATATTTTTGTTTCAGACAGTGAAATTAAGAAATTTATTTGCACGACTCTAAGAAGTTTCGCATTGCTTAATCATGCGCACTTGATATTTTATTCATCTAAAGAAGCACAACTTCTAAGACGCGCTAAAGATATGTTGTTTAACATAGGTTTCGGAAACTGTATTCCTATGAAAGAAAAGAATACTAATTACACAAAACCTTTATTTATTCCAAAAGATTCCGATAATTGGGAAAGTATAGGTATTCCGACTTCTACGATAGATCAAGTGAGTTATTTTAGCTACAGAATTCTCTCGTAACAACTACAGCGTAGTACCTGTCACCTGTGGTAGTACTGTAGCTACTACAGCGTGAAACCGTAGCAACTACGGCGTAGTACCGGAGTAATTGCAGCGTAGTACTGTAGCAAGCAAGGAATACGTACATAACTTTACGCCTTTTATCTCCGAAGGGATAGGCAGAGGTGCACATAACGGCCACTTAATCCAACTGTCTGCCTCGTTGGTCGAGTGGTCGCAATTGCGACTGCCGAGCAAGGGGTCTCGGGTTCGATTCCCGGGTCGGGCAACGTATTACTGGGTTTTTAAAAATTCTCAGTAGTAGCACGGAGTCTGGAACTGTGCCCGGTATATGGCAATAGGCTCACCCCCTATTACATGGGACTCATAACATAAATAGTGAAAAGTGGGTGTTACATTGTACAGTGGTATAATGTGCACCTCTGCCTACCCCTTCGAGGATAAAAGGCGTGATGATGTGATGTTTATTAATCCAACTGTTCAATGTAACACCTACTTTTCACTATTTTATGTTATGGTCCCGTGTAATAAGGGAAGCCTATTGCCATATACTGGCCACATTTCCAGACTCCGTACTACTATTGAAATTTTTTAAAACCCAGTAATACTTTGTCCGACCCGGAAATCGAACCTGAGAGACCCGGCAGTCGCACTTGCGACCACTCGGCCAATGAGGCAGTTTTGTAAGCAAGCAAGAAATAGTACTGTAGTAATACTATATAAACGGGAGCAGTCATTTGACTGCAATTTGATTTTAAATGTTGAATAACTCTAAAACATTTGAGTTATTCAACTGAGATTTTGCGGCTTTTATTTATTTTATTAGTAGTTAAACTAAGTTGCGTAACACTGTGTTTGAGACTGCTATAACTTAGGTAGAAACAATAGTGCAGCACTGTAGCAACTACAGCGAAGTAGCTTTTTTTAAGGGGTGAAAATCATCGAATGACTGCTCCCGCCTGGGTGAGGCGGAAGGGAGTGTCAGACTCTTACTGACTAAAAACCACCCCGTTCCTTCTCCTGCACGTCGAGCCGGAGCCCCGGTTACCCGTTAGGTTCTCCGCGACACAGCGTAGTAGCTTAGCGATGTGTCTTAGCACCGTAGCAACTACGGCGTAGCGACTATGGCGTACCGCCGTGGCAACTACGGAACAGTACGGTAGCAAAAATAGCGTAGTAACTACAGAGTGGTAAGAAGACATTGCGTAACGCTGTGTTGACTGTCCCTTCTTGGTTTCATTTTTGAAGTTTGTATTGATGCAAAGTCACTAACATAGAGAACAGTGTGACATTATTAGTGAAGTGAAATACCTCTATATTAATGGGGCAATAATAATGTTTACTTATTTTTTTCAGGTGAAGGTTAGACACATGTCCAGAATACCGCCTAATGCAGTAAGTAGTAACTCGCCTACAGTGATGTCGTCACAAATGCATGGTTATCCCGAAGCAACGTTGGATTCAGTTGTGGCTTTTAAATACAATGAACTTCGTAATATGGAATCATTGGACATTCCTATAGATTATTTATTATCTTTGAGTACATAAATTATTAATACCTTCTTCATGTGAGAAGAGGCTTTTGCACAATTTTGGGCCCATATAGGCTGATGAATAAATAAATTATAAAATTGATGAGTAGTTTTCATTGCAAAAACTGTGTGTTCTTTATTTTATTACTCGGTGCTTTTCTGGTTAGAACAACATTAAGTTTTGGTACCGACGCAAGTTGGTTTCGTGCCGAGCACACGATAGGTTTATGGTAATTTTTTAAAATAAAAACAAGTCTAATTGTTCAAAATCTTTGTTCATAATTGTAATTAATTGGCGTTCTTCCTTCTTGCACGTAATCTAGCGTCTAGGGCTTGTAACGCATGTTGAGAAGCTTCATTCTTCGAGTCTATTGCCAGGCTTACTTGCAGGCATCTGTAAGATAATGTTATATCACCCGTGGACTGAAACAATAATTACAGATTGAAAATAATGTCAATAAGTATACTAATAATCACTATACATTACATACAAAGAAATTAATTTATATACCAGGGCCACATGAGCAAGATTAAACCAAATATTTGAACGAATATCAGGATCTGCAGAGAAGTAGAGTGCCTGACGAAAACATGGTATTGTCAAGTCCCATTGATTGCAGTACAAACAGCAGAGTCCTAAATTATTGTATATTTCTGGTCCTGCTGCATTTGTGGCCAACAACCTCCTGTAGATATTGAAAAAAAATTGTATTTTTAACATCCAACAGTGCGAGTATTTACTCGTTACCCACCCTTCGTTTGTCTTACCTATAATATCTCAAAGCAATTTCTGGTTGATCATTATAAAAATTGTACATAGCTATGTTAGCTATAGCCTCCATGTTCGACGGATCTTCTAAAGCTACCAATCGATATTCTTTGACAGCCAGAGCGGCGTTACCCATTTGCTCATGGATTCTGGCTTGCTCAATTAATAATGGCGTGTACTCATGAAACACTGACAGTCCTTGTTTACAGATATCTAGTGCCGATATTGGTTGATTTAATCCTACGTACATTGCCACCAGCCTGAGATATATGGAGATGTGTTTATTTTGTTTCAGAGCTTGACGTAAACAGTCTTCTGTGTTTCTGTACATTCCGAGTGCGTAATAGCATCGAGCTAAAGAAAAGTTCCACCACCAATCAGTGACTACATCATCAGACTTCTGTGCTTGAAATGCCACCTCCATAGCCTGTTCAAGACTTATAAAATAAAAATGTTTATCGGCATAATATTTTTTATAAATACCTAAGGTAGGACCCATTGAAGAGATTCACACAGAAACATTATGTTATAATGTGATTCACACAAAATAATTCAAAGTAAAACCTAATTAAGAGAAGGTATAATGCATTTTTATATTAAGAAATTAGTAAGTATAAAATATATTTACTTCACCTTTCTAACGTCACCTTCACAATAAAACACATATTCAAAAAGTGTCTTCGATGCTGGAATAAAAAGTTTGTCTTCTTTTGAAAGAAATCGTAGAGACAATGGTGCCCCTGGTGTGTAGGGGGCTCCTCCAGCAAGGGCTGTGGCTGCGCGGGACATCCGCGATGCTGTATTGAGTGCTGTACGTACGCTGCGCGCACCAGCCGTGTTGGTCCCAGCCCGAGATCGTACCGTGGCTGTTGCTCTTTTCTTAAATAACGAGTAGATTTAACATTTTTTATACATCAGAAGTATCTTAGAGTCAGTTATGTAAATGGATATAAAAGCGCGAATTTACCTGATATGATGTATCAACATTACGCGCTGTTTTAGCTTCGCGGAGAAATGAAGTTCCTGGTCTCGGAGTTTTAGCTACCGCCGTTGATACCAGGTCATCTTGCTGAGGATAATATTCTACCTCTTCATACCCATTACCAACGACCTTCGCTTGTATAGTCATAGCCCGCATTCGTATAAATTCTATCATACGGTCATCTTTACTGCGTAAGGCCGTTTCACATAATTTAAGACATTCATCGAATTGCTTTGTTTTGTAAAGATTTAATATTCGATATTCAATTTCCATTGCAGCGATGCTCTCAATGTTTTTGTTAAATTTCACCTGTGTATTGGGTGCCTAGCAACTGATTCCGTCAACAAACGAACAGGTACATTATGTTTACCCACAGGGTTTACCTATTAATATATGTATACCTAGTCTTATAATAAATACTTTGGTCAGTTATCTATAAATTATAACATAATTATACACTGCATACTTGCGTTTAGAAAATATGTATGTTCTGTATTATCCATGGTTCCATTAATACTAAACTAAAATCTGTTCCTATATTTTATGTGAATATGTACTACAAGTCTACTTTGTTTGTTTAAGTATATTTAAGTCTAACTTTCTATCTTGACATGAGAACAATACTTTACGAATTTACGTAAAGCTTTACAAATTTAATACAGTCCGTTGGCTTGTTTGCTATGCGCCCCATTGCCTCGTAGCACTTTAACGCCCAGCGTCAGCAAAATTTATGAACTGAAAACAAATGCCCTCTTAATCAGAGATTACCAACCTTTTGTGTGATAAACACTTCTTAAACACAAGTTAAAAGAATTTCAAGTATTGTTTTTTACCGAAGTAAAGTTGACCTACTCTACTAATAGGGGTTAAATTGAAACTCCGTAATTAGTGCTTGAACTGCTGGTTTATAATTATATTCGTTTTGGTGCGAACTCAGTACATACAAAAAATGACCATCTTAAGCAAATCGATGTAACGAAACCATAGCTTGCATTTAATCGCGGCAACGCCATCAAGTTATAAAAATTGAACTAAATTAATGAATATGCATTTTATGGTTTCGTTACTTTGGTCTTGAGTTTTGGTCATCAACAAGTATCTAAAATCTTGTTATGCCATTAACCCGTCGTGTGTCTAAACGTGGATCCACGCGAGACACAATGTATTTTCTATTGTGTCATATACGGGTAATCAAGCGGTTAAGGCAATAGACACGTAGGTATACCTTATTTTACCTTACTCATTATCATATCTGATTACCTACTCAGTTCATATGCACTCCATATAAGATTTTATTATATTTTTAAAAGGGATCATAAATCGATTGCTAATTAGAAATACGTAGACTTACTACAAACTTATTTTTGTTACACCTAAACAAACCGAACTTGTCAATCTCTGCCAACGAGCAAGATAAAAGGAAAACTTGACAAAAGATTTTTCATTCGCAAACTGAAGTTTGACAAGAATTACAATGCTTTTGAGGAGTTTACTCTTACTGATATCTCTCAGCAACGTATTCACTGCAGAATCATGGAGGAAGCCTGGGTGTCATCGAATCGGTTAGTGTCGATCCTAATGAAATATTATAAAACATTTTGCCTTTAAATTGTGGTTAACTTTACAATTCTTTATAGAAATAATAATTTTGACTGTAAATAATTTCAGGTCATACCAGAAATATAAGCATACCGGATTGCGTAGAATTCAAAATAACTACAAACGCTTGTCGCGGATTTTGCGAATCCTGGTCACTTCCTAGCATCATGTTAGGCTTCAAGCGTCATCCCGTTACATCTCTGGGTCAATGCTGCAACATAATGGAATCCGAAGACGTGAGTATCTTTTTTTCTCTATTTCGTGAACATATTAAAGTCATCAGGTTTTGCCAATAATATCTACAGAAACAGTGTAATTTCAATACAACGACTGTAGCAATTAATAAAGTCGTATGTGAAAAATCACTACTTTACAGGACGGCCACTTGAAGTTTCAACTGTGTATAAAATGAACATTAATAATCAATGTATCTTGAACTAAATTTGTATGAAGTTTGGATATTATAATTACCTGACAAAACGATGTACTCTTATCAAAAAGGTATTTGAAATATGAAAAATTGCGCATACAACATAACGCAGTTTTTGGTGGACGTGGCAGATCCCAGATTATTTTTACAGTCGATTTTTTCATCTGATTAAATAAATACTTTCTCTTTTTAATTTCAGGTACCAGTCAAGGTGTTATGTTTAGATGGAGAAAGAAACTTGATATTCAAATCAGCTGTTACGTGCGCATGTTATCACTGTCAAAAAGAATAAAAATGTACTAAATATAAAAAGTTAGGAGTAGTTATATTACCTAATATTATATAACAAATAATATTGACAATTTATTATACTATCTAAAGGATTTATTGTAATGAAATGTAAAATAATGTTAACTTATCATTAATGTAACTTGCAACATGTTTTTATTAATAACTGCGATTAAACATATCGAACAATATTTCATATTTCTATGTACCTACCTAAGTACTTACTTAATTAATCCCTTATTTATCGTGTGTATGATGATTTACATGTACCTACCTAAATATTGTAACCATCGACACCCCCTAACTTTTCAAGCTGTATGTTGGCGTGTTCACGGACACTATATGCAGTCCTACAAATATAACGAGCATCCAGAAGTCCACCACAAATATGTTCCGTCCGTTCTAAGTTCATGGTGAAATGCCATTTCCGTGTATTTAGAGATTAACCCCTCATAACTTTATCTTCTTTTCTTTTAAACGGTACACACACACAATAAGGTTTTCTTTTTGTTATGGTTATAGTTACGGTTAACCATATAGTTATGGTTGCGTACAAGGGCGTAGCCAGGATTTTTTACAGGGGGGGGGGGGCAGGTTGAGAAAATCTTAGACTGAATTGATTTTTTTATACATTAGGTATAAATGCGAAAGTTTGTAAGTGTGTGTGGATGAATGTTTGCCTCTTTCTCGCAAAAGCTATTGAACAGATTACGATGAAATTTGGTATGTAGGTAGCTGAAGACCCAGAATAACACATACATTACATACATAGGGGTATAGCAGATTTAGTTTAGGGTAGGTATAGGATTGATTACTTGGCAGGACGACGTCCACCGGGTCAGCTAGTGTAACAATAAAAAAAACTAATTTTAACCAGAAACAATATACCTTTAATTACGCAAACATTAACCTGCGTGCTTGTTCACAAAATCTATTTATAACTTTTTTAATAACTTCGTCTTTCTTTTCTTGTACTAGCAAAAAGTATTATATGATTAAAAAATAAGTATCTAAGAATGGTTGAGAATAGTAGAGGTATGTTGTGGAATGTTGATCACCATTTTAGCAATTTCCTACTGTCTGTTTTTCCTTGTCTTTTTTAGATCACCTCTTTCCAAACGTTTTTTCTTTGGTGTACTAGCACCAGAGCACCCGGCACCGCCATCACAATTCATGAATTCACTAACACTCATGAAAGGAACTGAAGAAACTTTTAAAACTTACAGGGTCCCCTATAAGCAATGACCAAAATACATGCAAATTCTAATATGTAGTGTCCTACTCAACTATGATAGTTTCGTCCCGTCCCTGTCGCACTTACTGATTTTTATAGTTAAGTAATTGTACCTATGTTGATCATACTCTATTGAATGCGTGATTATGCGTGGGGAATCCCCGCATAGTGGAAGCTTTTATCATGTGTACATGTCACCAAATGTAAAATTTCAGCTTAAAATAAGGGTGAATGGAACGGAACGCAAAAAATATAGTATTATCTCGTCATTAAGATATGAAATGATAGTACAAATATTATATATTTTTTTTTATATATTTGATGGGGCGACGTTTGACCACTATCTCACCTGAAGGTAAGCGATGATGCGGTCTACGATGGAGCACGCCGTCCCATAAGCAACCTATTCACTCGGGCCTTGAAGACTCCCAGGTTATACCCTTCAGGAAATACAGACTCTGGCAAAGAATTCCACTCTTTAGCAGTACGCACAAGGAAGCTTGAAGCGAAGCGCTTCGTGCGTGTGGGCGGAACATCTACCATGAATCGGTGACGCTTCGCGGATTGTCTTGTGGTACGATGATGGAAAGGACTAGGGGGGAATCAAGTTGTGCAATTCCACCGCACACTCCCCGAAATGTATCCGGTAGAAAACCGAAAGGCTTGCAACCTTACGCCTGTGTTCGAGGCTTTACAGCCGAGCCTTCACAAGCGCATCATCGTCGATGAGCCTCCTGGCACGCCTCTCAATGTGCTCTAACGCGTCCAGCTGATATTTTGCCGAGCCGTCCCAAAGATGAGAGCAGTACTCCATACAGGACCGAACCTGTGCTTGGTAAAGGCTCAGCAATTGTTTCGGCGTGAAGTACCGTCTCACCCTCCATAGGACACCCAACTTCCTACCAGCTAGTTGCGCTTTTGACTCTATATAGGAGCCAAAGTTGAGTGTGGGCGTCAGAGTTACACCAAGAAGCTCAAGACCACCAAGAATCGGCTATCCGTACGGATACATTCCGGAAAGTAGGAGTCAGCGGAAATTGACTCCGTTTGGTGGAGAATAGACACGCCTGGGTTTTGCTAGCATTGAACCTCACCAAGTTGGCGTCACCCCAGTCGGAGACCGCCTTCAAGGTCGAGTTCAAACGTTCGACCACGGATTCTCTTAAAGACTGGATCTGTGTTTCGCTAGGCCGCGCACCGGACACATACCTTTCAACAACTGTGCTGTCATCTGCATACCCAAAGATACCGGGCTTAAGCAGGTCGTTTATGTGCAGCAAAAAGAGTGTCGCATCGCGCAGAGAGCGCGCAATTGTTAGGGTCGGCACGACTACCTTTTTTAGGCACAGGCTGTACGTTGGCCAGCTTCCATGCAACCGGTACTAGACCCGTCTCTAAGGAAAGGCAAAACAGACGTGTCAAGATTGGAGACAACTCAAACGCACAGGTTTTTAAAATCAGGGCTGGGATTCCGTCGGGACCACTGGCCTTGTTCACGTCCAGATCGCGTAGCGTCCTATATACCTCCCTCTGTCGAATGCGAATTTGCGACATACTCGTCTTGCATACGCTATTAATAGAAGGAGGCAAGGCGCCACCAGTGTCAAGACACGAAGACTCCGCAAATAGAGAAGCAAATAGATTCGCTTTCTCTACCGCAGTGTGGGCCAGCGTCCCGTCAGACCTCAGGAGCGGAGGAAGTGAGGAGCGACAGAAGTTCGATTCAACCGCCTTGGCCAGGGACCAAAAAACTTTACTTCTCGCTGGGTAGTAAGCTAGTTTGTTCCCTATACGGCCAATGTGGTTAAATCGAGCCATCCGTAATGCCTTTTTGGCATGACTTGGCAGCCAGATTAAAAGCTCTCATCTTTTGATGAATGTCATCAGCCCTACGGCGCCTGGCATCCGCCCATACCAAGTATGCCGCCTGCTTTTGCGCTTCGGCACGTCCGCAGTCGGCATCGAACCAAGGACGGGTCCCACCAAAGGATGCCACGTCCGAGAATGGAATGTAGTATTCCATGCCCTGGCGCAGCACCCCTGTTACGGCTTCTGCACAAGCTGACGGGTCATCAGAAGAGAAGCAGACAGGCCGCCAAGGATAGGAAGCGAAAAAAGATCGCATCCCATCCCAGTCCGCTGACTTGTATCGCCACATCCGCCGAGGTCCTCTGAGACTCGGATCTGATGGGGAGTGTGTGGATACAGATTTCACCAGACAGTGGTCGGAGCTACCTAGAGGTGATGAGACTGTCACCGAGTAGCGGTCTGGATCAGTTGTCAGCAGAAGGTCTAAGCAATTGGCAGTGTGCGTATCGACATCGGGCACCTTTGTGGCTTCCTGGACCACCTGGGTCAGGCCAAGCGAAAGGCAAGCTTACGCATTTCCCATCCAGCATGGTCGGTGCACTATTATGGGAATAACCACTCTTGATGATGAGCGTTAAAGCATAGTATAAAGAACAAAGTAGGTTATCTTCATACAAATGCTCCGCGCGCGGCTTATATGTGTGCGCCATAGTATCTATGCGTCGACGCACGCACACTATAACAAAATCTCGACCCGTTTCTCAGTGCGCCAGGCAGGGCTGACACTGTACGAGGATTGCGCGCGCTTCACGGCTTTTCGGCACTGTTCAATGAAACAAAAAATGTCTGATAATCGTAGAAGAACGTATTGCTGTGTGTTTGGGTGTCTTAATAATTAATCGATTCCAGAACTGTCTCTGTTCAGATTAGGTACCTATTGAACAGGAAAGGTAAGCTAGTCGCTTTTTCTAGCATAAATAATTGTAGGTACTTGATGATGAGATACCTATACTTATTTTTACTCTTATCATTCTTCATAGTTCCTACTCAACCAGAAATGTAATTACCTACTATACTTAAATATTATAAGAAAATGTGGTATTGTATTGTTTATTTCACAGTTTATCTGATTTGTTAAGAGCGTAGCCGAGTCGCAATTTTCCATATAAATGTATTCCCAAATTTACTTTCTGAATACTATGTATAGAGCTAAAGTTTATTTTAAGAAGTTAATAATCTTTTTATAAGCTTTTAATTTTTACTAAATTTATAAATTGATAAAATATTCAATCATAATATGCTTTTCATTTCATAAATTTAGGTCAAGTGCTGCTTGTTCGAAAATATTAACTAAAAGTAAAAGTGACAACCCTGGGGATCAACGCAAGAGTAGGCTAATAACTCGGCGGGCGGCCTTAGATAACCTACTGTGTTCTTTCTACTATGGTTAAAGTCCCCCAGTAACACCAACTGGGCCGAAGGGTACGCCTGACGAGCCGCATCCGCCGCTTCGCCGAGGTATTGCGCTAATCTGGTCGCCTCCAAATCTCCGCTGTGCGACCGATAGATACAGACATAAAGAATTTTCTCCATGCCTATGTCTACCAGTATCCAGAGAGCAGAAAAACTTGGGTCTTCAAGGTTTCGGAGACGCCGGTAACAGATGCCGTCTCGGACGTATACGCATACATCTGCATGCGGAACAAAATTGTGCTCCAGGGAAAAACCAGGATAGTTCAGGTAGGATACGTCCGACGGGCACCTGATCTGGGTCTCCGAGAGAAACAAGAGTTATAATTAAAGTACGAATTCCAACACTGCACGCATACGCGCTGTGCATCAGTTGCGTCCCCTCTAACCCCGTATACGCCCCGCTCCGGCTCGTGTATAGCTACGACGACGGCGCACGGCGCGTGCGGCGGCGGCGGAGGCGCGGCAGAACGACTACCGACCAACTATACCATAGATTAACACTAAACTATGCTAGCGAGGCGAAAGATAACAATAATTACCATAATTATGAGTATGACACAGCTTAGCTCAGTAAATTATAAAGAGGTGAAATAAAGTTCGCTCAGATCGCCAGCCCCACACGCCCATGGTTGCGTATGCGTACATAATAAAATAAAAACTGCGTTAAAAAAACCGACATCAAAAACCCAAAAACTAATAAAACCATAAACAAACAAAAAGTCAAAACTAAAAAGCAAAAAATAACTACTATTAGTACTGATAGGTTACCCACCCACTGATAGGTAAGAAGTCCAAATGGCTCAACAATATGATTACGGTATAAAAGTATCATATTTGCGCCACGAGTGGTTTCTGCAGAGGCAGCAGCCCAATGAGTCATCGACGATGTCGATGAGGGTTGCGTCTCGCACCAAAAACTTTTCCAACTTCCAGGGCATAATGGATATGGCATCAGCTGTCTTACCATAGTCGCGTGCCAAGCTTTTCAGTTCTAAAACTTCGGCACTCCAGCAATTAAATAAAACTGGACGGATAATGGTCGTTAATGCTATCCGGTCGGCGCTTCTGGGACCCAATAGGCCGTGGTGTTCGAGGCAGTCAATTAAAACTCTTTTCATATTAGACAAGATAAATAACACCTCATTAACAACCTTTTCTTCCCGAAAGGCATAATAGGATAGTCCCTCTTATAAATGGCTATTTAAAACTCTTCGTTTTTAATCAGAATTTAGAAAGCAATTAGGATGTTATAATAATTTACTATATCGGTCACAAGACTGAGGTTTTCAACCAGGCTACTAAGGCAGTCTACTTTCTCAAACAATTTACAATGTAAGTATATGGATACTTTTGTTTATTCGTGTACAATACCTTCACAAACAGGCCGAGCCATTTTTGTATAATACGTTCCCTTATACCTACGTTATACTTATTATGATACCTAATTTTGATAATAGACAGGGTAAGCTCGAAAGTGTGTTAATCATACGCCCGCGAGGGTCATACAAAAGTAATTCGTGACGAATGCCCCCCACAAACTGCGTATCATTCTAAATCTATTTAGGTACTAGGTAGGAATGCCTCGTTGGCCAAGTGTTCGCAAGTGTGACTGCCGGGCAAGGGGTCTCGGGTTCGATTGCCGGATTTTTTTAAAGTTCTCAGTAGTAGTAGGTACGGAGTCTGGAATTGTGCCGGGTATATGGCAATAGGCTGTTACATGGGAGTCATAACATAAAAAGTGAAAAGTGGGTGTTACATTACTTTGTACAGTGCCATAATGTGTACCTCTGCCTATCTCTTCGAGGATAAAAGGCGTGATGTTATGTTATGTCTATTTAGGTACTGGCTCACGTTATTATTTTGCTGGTCGTTTTTGTTTACCTACGTAATATTAAATTAAGTTATTCATCAATAGGTACTACTGTATGCACACCATCATAGTTGAAGAAAGGACACTTACACCATGCTCACGCGTTGACGCAGGTACCCGCCTGGACGCAGTTTGAACCATATAATAAAAGTTCCCCTATACTTATTATCTTTGAATCTAACAAGTTCTTATTTTTGATTCGTAGTTGCCCTCGAGACCTTCTTTATTTGTTCTGTGGTCGAGATCAAGTCGAGACACCCGCCCAGCAAACTTAACTATTTTGCAATTTTTGCAACTGGTAGCCCCAATACTTATTATACTCTTTGCTGGTAACCCTTGATTACTCGCTGGCAACTGTCTGAGCCGTCTACCTGCTGATCTGTCAACCAAATGTCAAATTCAGGCTGTATGCTAATGCCTGTATGGTCTGTCATTTTTATTTACCATGTCATAAAATTATTATGTGGATTTACAGAATTTAATATATTTAAGTCAATGTTAATTGCTTCGCAAATATAATTAATTGTTTCCACTCCATAAGACAAAGATGGTATGGAGGACAACTCTACAACTTGTAAGAAGCCAACATGGCAAAACTGTGTTCACTGTCCTCGACTACTTTTCACTTCTGCCACGGAATTTGAAAGGTTATTTGATTATATTATTATAATAATAACGATAAGCCCATTTTAACGTCGTAGTTTAATGAATGTTCTTAATTCCAGGCACATACAAGATAAGCACAGCATCAAAGAGGGATCTATCATACTGTGTCAGTATGGGCAAAATGGTATGTGTTCCTCTCTGCAGTTTGGTGATTTACGGAAAGCAGGCTTTAAATACCACGTAAGGGAATACCACTTGTACATAAAGGATTCTAATGACGACTGGACCTTCTATTCTTCCTCACAAAATCTTCCAGCAGTATTAAATGATCCTAACAGAGGTAAACAAAGTAATTTTTTTACTAAGACGTGGGGCGACAGTTTTGTTGAAAAGATTGATATATACCCTAGTCCATATTTACCTGAAATCACATTAGCACATTTCGAATCATATTGCAAACGAGTTGCTAAAAAATATCGTCGTCATTGCAGACTGAAAGAAAGTGTTCCAGTTAAAAATAAAACACCTGTGGTCGAAAATGTTGTGAGGTGCCTAATATATTCTATGAACAATCATTACCATTAAATAATCCAGAAGTATTTAGCCAAGTATTTCCTAGTCTATGTAATTCTGAAGAACCTAGTATTGCAATTAGATCTCTTCAGGAAACACTAAGTACATACCTCGACGTTATTGAAATGAAAATTCTAAGCAAGTAGCTCAAAAATCAGATGCATTTTTTCATGCTATGTTGTCTCATGACACCATAATGGAGCAGATGGCTAGAGCTGTGAATACTGTAAGAAAAACCAGACAAAACATAACCCATGTTAAAGGGAATTTAACTGAATGTCCTCTGAAATTAGCAAGTTTGACAAGAATTAATCAAAATTTGAACACTGTCCATGATCTTTTAAAATTGATGGGGACTGTACAGCAAACGCAACCAATGATACAACTTCTATTAAGCACCTCCGATTATGTAGCAGCCTTGGACTTAATTAGCTCCACACAAAAGGTATTATCAACACGTTTGTCAGGAATACAAGCATTTCGTCATTTATCCCCCCAACTGACTGAAATGAAAAGATTGATTCACAAGATGTTGAGCAATGAATTTTTAAGATTCATTGTCACAGACCTTAATAGACCTCCGAAAGATGAAACAGAAATACCGGAAAGAGAAAAAATTGTATCAATAGTTTCTGGAATCCTTCGTCTTAAGGAATTAGATTTTATTGATACTTTCAAAACCGAAGCAATGACGTCTATTCAAGCTACAATCAAACAATCTGTTATAGAAATAATTTCTGAAAGAGATGGGAACACAGAAATTGTTTTAAGAGGATCTAATGCAGACAACATGTGGCTGCTGTGTAATGAAGGTATAACATTTCTGCAAAAAGTTACTCCAAATTTAATCATTTTATTCAAAAGAATATTGTCCTTACACAACCTGATATTAGAAATTACTCAAATGGATGATGTTACTGGAAATGATAGTGAAGATGTGTGGTCACCTGAGGAACTCGTTGCTGTGGAAGAAAAGTTAAAAAAAATGATAGGATCCCTCTCTGACTATTGCAATGAAAGATGTGCTAATCTATAGTAACTAAAACTGACAAAGACTATGTTTTTTCTGATATGTCTCAATTATCAACCTTGTCTAAACTCATCGAAAACTTCTGTGATGAATGTGAAGAAATCACTGGACATTGTAGTAATGCAATGAAGCTAGCTCTAAGAAGCTATGCTATGAAGTATATACAATGTTTACATGCTGAAAGAAGAACTCAATTGACTTCTGCTCTAAATACAGAGAGATGGAAAGCTGCAGATGTACCTTGTGAGCTACAGAGTGCAATAAATATTATTTATGAATCAGGCGAAATACCAAGTGCTGTACAATATGACAGTGGCAAACCCGATGGAAAATATTTATTAATTAATAAGGAAAGTTATGCTGTTGTAGCAACAGTACAACTATTAATAAAAATATTGTTGGAATATTGTGATGCAACTAAACAATCTCCTGTCATTGTTCAGTATTTGGTTCATTGCATGTTAGAATTGATCCGGTTATTCAATTCTCGGTGCTGCCAATTAGTCTTAGGTGCTGGAGCAATACAGAGTGCTGGCTTAAAAACTATTTCTACATCAAACCTTGCTTTGGTTTCTAGATCCCTACAGGTTGTCATGTGGTTTTTACCTAAGATAAGAGGGTTGCTTGAGAAACAGCACTCTAAAGATTTGTCACTTAATGGTTTTAGTAATATAGAGAGTGATATAGTCAGCCATAAGCAAGAAATAGAGAATAAGATTTGTCTCATAGTAAGTAATATGCTTGCATCTCAACTGAACGGGTGGGATGCTAAACCACCAGTACCATCTCAAACATTCCGAAATATTTCTAAACATTTAGTTAAATTACATGAAGCACTTATTGATATATTTCCCAATGAACAAATAAGAACTGTTTATAAAAGAGTACATGATAATTTCAAAGACAAGCTTAGAGAACAATTAGTAAAGATGAATATTGTAGCAAATGGAAGCCCTCAGCATGGTGTGGTCACTTCAGAATTAACTTTCTACTTACAAACCCTTAAAACATTACGGGTCATAAATGACAATGACGCAGAGGACAATATATTGTATGATATTTGGTTAAATTAAATTTATATTATAGAAAAAATATTCTATAGCCATTTACGTTAAAAAAGTACTTTATCATTTTAAAAAATATTTATACCTAGTTAAAAAATTAATGATTTTTTAACTCTGGAACAAAATAAACTTGGTAAAGGCCAAAGAAAACATTGTAAAACCTAATACTTACTTACTAATATGATTACTGGAATTGATGTATTTATGTATTGTGTAAATAAACATATAAGTTTAAATGATAAATGTACTTATTATATCTTATTATTTAAAGTGTAGTTTAAGCAGGACATCCCTAAAATTAAAGTATCCAAAACCTTTTTGGCTGATTGCTTACTAAGAAAATTGTAGTGGATGCTGTATATATTTCAGTTGTTAATAAAAAACATCACATGTTGCACTTGCTTAACTTATTTTCATAATTGTATTATATAATAAATATCATCCTGTTAGATATTATATCTGTGTGAACCGTGCGAACTAATAACCGCGAGGAAAATACATATAATGCTTCAAAAGGCAAATCTAATTGTAAAAATTAGATTTGCCCTTTGAATCAATCAAAAATTAAATAACTTATTTTATAAAAATTATTTTTACGCAATGAATTTTAATAGCCAAACGCTTGGATATATTTATACACATGACACGACATGACATAACATCACGCCTTTTATCCACCAAGGGGTAAGGCAGAGGTGCATATTACGGCACTGTACAATATAACACTTTTCACTATTTATGTTATGAATCCCATGTAATAGGGGGTGAGCCTGTTGCCATATACCGTGCAGAATTCCAGACTCCCTGCTACTAATTTGAGATTTTTAAAAACCCAGTAATACTTTGCCCGTCCTGGGAATCGAACCCGAGACCCCTTGCCCGGCAGTCGCACTTGCGACCACTCTGCCAACAAGGCAGTCATCAGTATTTTATTTGAAAGAAGGTACCATGGTACCTTCACTCTCCGGCTCCACTGGGCATGCCCAGTGGAGCTTGCCCTTCTCAGCCCTTCTGATAGGCAAGATGGGAGGATGTGTATATGACCTAGCAATAATCCATTAATCCAATATCGAGTACATTACTAAAAATATATCAAATTCAAAGTCAAAATCATTTATTTTAATTAGACCAAAAAGGTACTTTTGAATAAATAATACTTTGCCCGACCCGTGAATCGAACCCGAGACCCGTTTGCCCGGCAGTCGCGCTTGCGACCAATTAGCCAACAAGGCAGTCCTCTCGAGTGATGTTTTGATACTCTGAGTTCATATACTCTTTCGAAGTTTGCTTTTTGCAATAGTTCACCAGTTATTTTTTCGTTCTTTTAATTAATAAATGTGATGAATGAAATTATTGTATTGTATCGAAAATAAATAACGTGATTTTGTTATTCCTTATCATTTATTGTATATATTTAATAAACAACATATAAAAATATTAACAGCCATTACTATTTTTAAAGGAACTAAATAACACTAACTATGTACCATTAAACAAAGAGCAATGAATGAGTTAATTAATGTAAATTGTTTACATTGTGAAAATTTATTATTTTTATCACATTCATTTTTATCTTTGGCTATCCTCCTATATAATACATCCCTAAAATAAAATGTAGATTACAATGAACTGAATCTGAACATTCAGATTTGATTATTGCCTGCTTATCACTCACAAAATAGGTAAATACTCCATGACCCTGTATTTATCAGCATCCATGGATTTGCAATATTGTTGGGAAATTTATAATGCATACCTACATAAATATGTTAAAATAAAAATTAATGAGCTACTATATATAAACATAACATCGTGCCTTATAACCCCCAAAGTTGTAGGTAGCGGTGCACAAATTAAAGTAAACAGAAATATGAATTCACACTGAGGTTGTTAATTGGCTCAGATTGGTAATCTAGTGGACAACCACTACTTGCGTCTCTCCACGCCCATAGCTAGGACGAAGTAGTACAGCAGTATCAGTCTAATTACAAGAACTTGAAGAACTAATAAGGTTACAATATGTCATGTGCTTAATTCAAATTAAATTACTTTGATCAACTTTTAACTATCATAAAAATATGATGCTAATGGATATCTTATAATGAAAGCTACACCTGTACAAAAACCTTGAAACATCATAAGCTTTTTGGTTAATTGTACTTCAGGTATTGGCCCTAATTTTATTAAAAATAAATTTATAAGTGTCATATTGTTTATAGTTATACTTTCTTCATCTTCAATCTTATCGATAAGATGTAACATAGTTAAGACACGAAGTATTAATTTAGTTAGTGCAGTCATTTCTTTTTTTACTATTATTGTTCTGCTTGCATGAAGTAAATCAGTCTCCTCACTATATTTTGGTAAACGATGCCTTGGGCATGGAATAATGTGGAATAGTTGAGGCACAGAGTATAGAAAGTTTATAATTTGTGGCAAGAAAAACAGTAAAACTGTCTTACTAAAGTGACTTAATATAGCTACAACTGCAAATGTCATTCCAGAAACATAGCAAAATGTATCTCCTACAAACACCTTGGAAGGATACCTGAAAATAAAAAACAAAATATACATTTTTATACACAGAAATAAAGGTTTATCAAACTTATAGTAGTATAGCCATATTATTCATGATAAATATACAAAGTTTGCAGTGTTGAGTTAAATATATGTTTGAAATCAGCAAATTTTCCTTCCTTGTGACATCACATCATCATATCTGCATAGGTATTTAATAATATTACAAAAAAAAGTCGCTTAGTTCAATTAGCCTTTCAACCGTCTACATAAACATATAAAATAAATAGTGCTGCTGGCAACAAAAAATATTGATCATACTTCTGCAATATTCTACACTAATAATAAAAACTTACTGTTGTGTATCTGTGGTATACTCTATGGTCATATATAGTCTATGGTGATAGTTTATCTATGTGCGTGGCGGAGCCCGCGGATTTTGTAAAACAATTGAATGTGAATAAAGGCGTGTGTCGATAGCCTTCTCTCTTTTACTGATATTTCGTTTGATTAAATAACATATATAACATTGGCGACGAGTTTACCCACACTTTTAATTCCAAAATGAATAGTTTTGGAATTTTGTCCACGTTCGATCACAATGTGCAAGAATGGAAGTCATACAAAGGCCGAATTACGCAATGGTTTATTGCAATGATATCGTCTCGAAAAATGATGCAGTTGGAGCCAAGAGACGGGCGATCTTGCTCAGCGCACTAAGCGACGGTACTTATAAGTTGGCGGCAGACCTGGCACTGCCGAAGGATATCCAAGAAGTACCGTATGATGAGTTAGTGCAATTATTGGATGAGCATTTTCTCCCAAAGATATGTGGATTCAGCGAGCGTTACAATTTTTATGCGGCTGTGCAGCAGCCGGGTGAGTCGTACACGCAATGGGCGTCCAGGCTGAGAGGACTTACAGCACATTGTAAGTTTAGTAACGTCGAGGAAGCGTTACGAGATCGATTCGTCATGGGTATGTTAGCGGGACATGAACGGGAGAAGCTGTTCGCGCAGGACATCGACAAGCTGACCCTGGCCAAGGCAGTAGAGCTGGCAGAGAGCGTGCGGTGTGCGCGTGCGGGAGCCGCCAGTACTACGGTTGTCCACGGGCAGCAGGCACCGGTCTTCAAGATCACCAAACAAGGAAACAGTGCTAAAATCGTTAGTGCCGGTAAAATAAAGTGTACAGTGTTTTTTTTTAAGGGGGGAAAATCATCGAATGACTGCTCCCGCCTGGGTGAGGCGGAAGGGAGTGTCAGACTCTTACTGACTAAAAAACCACCCGTTCCTTCTCCTGCACGTCGAGCCGGAGCCCCGGTTACCCGTTAGGTTCTCCGCGACTCCGAATCGGCATCGGCCCTATTGGGCCCCATCTGTGGTGGTCTGATGGCTCTTTGAGGCGCGCGCGGAACGCGACGCGCCGTACGCTCGGGTCTGTTTCTGGTCGGACGGGGAGCCACCCATGCTCGCCGTCCGCAGGCCCGCGCTTACGGTGGCCGGAGATCGTCCCGCGATCCCCGACCCCGGTGTGTCCTTCGCGATGGCTGGGTTGCGAGGAGGCAGCGCTTCGCTGCCTCACGCGTCCCGCCTCCTCCTTAGCCAGCATGACTGCTTCGCAAAAGGAGGAGACGGCATCCCAGTCCCCCTCGCTCCGCATCATGGCCTGAACTAGGCCCGGACGCGAGAGGTCTCCATCGCCGATCACTTCCCTGAGGGCACGGCGGTGCTCAGCCCACGCAGGGCATTCACCGAACAGTGTGTTCCACCGTGTCCTCTCAGGGGGCCTCGCAGTGATGACACCCGGGCGTTTCCTCCCGCCCCATCAGACACAGGTACCTCCCGAAACTTCCATGTCCGGTGAGGACCTGCGTCAGGCGGTAGGTGAGGACGCCGTAGCGTCTCTCAAGCCACTCCTCAAAGAGGGGACTTACCGCTGCAATGGCAGCGAGCCCAGCCCATCGGTTGCGACAGTCGTTGCTGCCATTCCGCCATGAGATCGCGCCGGAGCTCATCCCGCCACGCACTTATCTGGCGCGGCAGCGGAGTTTCGCCCCGGCGACGTGCCTCCGCGCGCATGCGATACACGCGCGCGAGCACCTTCGCCTCCAGATCCCACGGCGGTAATCCGGCAAGGAGGTTCGCCGACTCCCCAGAGATCGTGCGGTATCCGCGGATCATTCGGATCGCCATGACCCTCTGTGCCATAAGCAGCGCCCGAGCGGGCCGCTGCAGCAGGTTCGGCGCCCAAACAGGGGCGCCGTAGAGGGCCATGGACCGCACGACCCCGGCGTATAACCTCCGGCAGGAGGCGTTTGGCCCCCCGAGGTTGGGGAGGATGCGCTTAAACGCAGCCCCCACCCTCGCCAACTTTGGAGCCAAACGTCGGAAGTGCTCCACGAAGTTCCATCGACTGTCGAGGACGAGTCCCAGGTACTTCATCGCCGTCTCGACGCCGATGGTAACCCCTCCCGCCATTATTTGAGACCCACCAGGAGGTGGCGCATTCCCGCGGCCATGAAAACACATGGCCTCGGACTTGTGGAGCGCCACCTCGAGTCCCAACTGCCGGATTCTCTCAACGACTGTCGCAACCGCTGTCGCCATTAAATCGGCCGCCGCCTGGTAAAGTGTACAGTGTGCGGTCGTAATAATCACGAGTCATCCCAGTGTCGGTTTGCAAGCTATAAATGCAATAAGTGTAACATGAAGGGTCACCTGCGTAAAGTTTGTAATAAGGTGAATTACGTGTCTGCGGGTGATGTGAGCGGGGATGACGACGACGGTAAGTCATTGTTTAACATACGCTCAGTCCGTGGGGAACCAATGACGGAATTAGTTTCAATTTACGGGAAGAATTTACAATTTCAAATAGATAGTGGATCAGCGGTGACGGTTATATCCGAAAGTACGTATAAAAAGATGTTCAGTAATGTTCCGTTGCTTGATTCAAATAAAAGTTTTTTTAGTTACACTGGCAATATTATACATTGTGTTGGATACGTAAACTTGCCAGTGACGTACATGCAACACACTCACTCACTGGATGTATACGTCATCCGTAACGGCGGACCACCGTTATTAGGCAGAGATTTTATATCAAAATTTAAACTTAATCTGACGCCTTGTCACTTTCTGAGAGGTCAGAGTATGGTGGACCAGTTGCAATTAAGATTCCCAGAACTATTTTCTGATAAGCTTGGTACCTTTAATAAATATCGTGTTAAATTAAAATTAAAGGATAATGTGAAACCGATATTCTGTAAAGCGCGTCCAATTGCGTTTGCGTTGCGTGATAGGGTGGACAAAGAGTTAACACGTTTAGTTGATCTAGGTGTCCTGAAACCGGTATCGCACTCTGAGTACGCGTCACCTATTGTTCCCGTGCTGAAGCACAACGGCTCGGTTAGGTTGTGCGCCGACTATTCGGTTACTATTAACAAACAGCTATTGATAGAACAATATCCTTTACCCACGGTACATGAACTGTTTTCAAGACTGTACGGAGGTCAACAGTTCTCAAAAATTGATTTGTCTATGGCCTATAATCAGTTTGTGTTAGACGAAGAGTCCCAACCAGTTACATGTATTAATACACATCGAGGTCTATTTAATTATACTCGACTAGTTTTTGGGTTGTCTAGCGCCCCGTCTATATTCCAACGCGCTATGGAAACAATACTTTCGGGACTAGACGGTGTCTTATGTTTGCTCGACGACATTTTAGTCACTGACCAAACCCCGGAGAGACATTTGAAGAAGTTGAACATAGTTCTGCAAAGGCTTCAGGATGCGGGGTTAACAGTGCAAAAAGAAAAATGTGAATTTTTTAAAAATGAAATTAAATATTTAGGTTATATAATAACCAAGGATGGGTTACAGAAAGACCCTGCAAAGGTTAAAGCTATAGCTGAGGCGCCTGTTCCTTCCGATATTAATACCCTACAGTCATTTTTAGGACTGGTAAATTACTACAGAAATTTTGTGGCTGGGGCATCCTATATCCTGAGTCCTTTGTATGAACTATTAAAAAAAGGAGTAAAGTGGAACTGGTCTACGTTACATCAACATGCATTTGATAAAATTAAGAAATGTTTAACGTCTGATCAGGTTCTAACACACTTTAACCCAAATGCCAAAGTAGTGTTAACTGTGGATGCGTCTCCGAATGGCTTGGGAGGTATTTTGTCTCAAATAGATAAGGACGGGGTAGAGCGCCCAGTAGCATTCGCTTCCCGCACATTGAACGCGGCTGAGAAAAATTATTCACAAATACAGAAGGAAGCGACTGCAATAATATTTGGTATACGTCGGTTCCATCAGTACTTATACGGGAGATCAGATCCTTTTATATTACGCACGGATCATAAGCCATTAATATCTATCTTTGGTCCTCATAAAGGTATACCAGAGGTATCCGCTAACAGATTGCAGAGATATGCGATGTTTTTAGGGGCATATAATTACGTTATTGAGTATGTTCGTAGTGCTGATAACAACGCGGATTACCTTTCTCGGGCAAGTTTGCAGTGTGAGTTAGGACGTGATCGCGCCATGAGCGAGGGCGACAACATCGGCGTACACGCCGCCGCGGCCGCCGCCCCCATTGATCGAGCATCATATGTCAACTTTGTTGTCGATGGCGACATGCCGTTGACTTTGAAGGAGTTACGTAATGCCACTAATGAGGATACTGTTTTACAGTTAGTTGTGAAATATGTTCAAAACGGTTGGCCTAACAAATTAGTGAACTCACAGTTAAAACCATATCATTTGTGTAAGACACAATTGTCCTACGAAGATGGTTGTTTGATGAGGGGCCACAAGGTGGTACTTCCCGAAGTATTGCGCTCGAAGGTTTTAGCAGAGTTACATACTTCACATTTAGGCATGGTAAAAACGAAATCAGAAGCTAGATCACGTTTTTGGTTCCCAGGCATTGATGCGGCGCTGGAAAGAATGATACATTCGTGTGAAATATGCAAACAGCTACGGCCGTCGCCGCCCCGGGCACCCCTAGCACCTTGGAAGTTTCCACTTACACCATTTCATAGATTACATATAGACTTCCTCGGCCCCTTGAATAATCAAATGTTCTTGGTAGTGGTAGATGCTCACACTAAATGGTTAGAAGTGTACGACGTGAGCAGCTCTACCGCTTCGGCAACTGTTGTTGAAAAACTCTACGATTTTATGTCCAAATATGGATTACCTCACGTAATAGTTAGCGATAACGGTACTGCGTTTACATCCGCTGAATTCACGAAATTTTGTTTATTAAATGGGATTACTCATCTTACATCACCCCCTTACAACCCTGCTAGTAATGGACAAGCAGAAAGCTTCGTAAAAATTGTAAAGAAGGGTATAAAATCAAGTATTTTAGGTTCTCGCAGTAGGAATGAGTGTAAATTAAAATTGTTAAAGTATTTGTTCGATTATAGAAATTCAGTGCATTCCGTCACGGGCTTCTCACCCGCTGAGTTGGTGTTTGGGCGAAAACTCAGAACACGTCTGGATTTAATCCACCCAAATTTAACGTCTACCCCACTCACATCACTAATTAACGATGTTAATAAAAAGCAGTGCTCGCAAATTAAGTACTATGGTGGCAATAACAAACATGTGTATGAACCGGGAGATGAAGTCATGTTTAAAAAATATATGAACAATTCTAAATATATGTGGTGCAAAGGTACCATTATTAGAAGACTCGGTAAAGTGTTGTATTTGATCAAAGACCACATAACTTCAACAGATGTCAAAAAGCATAAAAATCAAATAGTTGTGTATAAAGGTATATCTCAACCAGTAGATTTAGATGATGTATTGTTAGACGACGAACCCGGGGACTCTCAGTTGCTTGACAGTGGGGAGAGAGGAAGGAACGAGGTGGAATTGTCATCCTCACCTTCTCCCCAAGATATGAGATGTTCCAGCAAACTGTTGCGGGACATACCCAGGGTTGATTACAAGCAGTTCTTTTAAGATTCAGTTGTATTTATCTATTAGTGTATTTAATAAGGGGAGGGATTGTTGTGTATCTGTGGTATACTCTATGGTCATATATAGTCTATGGTGATAGTTTATCTATGTGCGTGGCGGAGCCCGCGGATTTTGTAAAACAATTGAATGTGAATAAAGGCGTGTGTCGATAGCCTTCTCTCTTTTACTGATATTTCGTTTGATTAAATAACATATATAACACTTACCAATTATGTTTTAACAATGCTAATGTTGTAGCCAGGTAAGGAATCATTATATGTAAAGAGAATGTGTGAGCTTTAAACTGATCTCCTTTCAGTTCAATTATATCAAAAAGAATTATTGATAATGCTATAACTACAGACTGCCCAACTTCAAGCCCATTGACACCAGCCAGTATATTTATAGCATTCGTACAGAAAACAGCCAACATTCCCATATAGACATAATAGAGTACACCTACAAAAAAAAGAAAATGTCAGTTGTGAACAATCAGTCCTAAATTCATCTTTTCAATACATTTTAAACTACCATACCGATATTGATGGAAACTCCCAACCATTGTCTCAGTGGAATTGGAACCACAAAAGTAGTAGAGTTAAAGTTGACATAATACACTACAAGCAAAGGTAGTGATGCCACTGTTGGCAGTAACAGTTTGTATCTCCATCGCAAGTCTAAAACATCATCAGCAAAGCCAAGGAGCAGCATGCAACAGATCGACAACAATCCAGCCAGTACTTCAGCAAACTGTAATGGAAAGAAGCCACATTATACAAGTCATAATTCTAAAAATTCTTCTATTACGAAAATAGTATTGTACAGTTTTGTGGATAACATTCAGGTGCTAGTGTAATATCTTATCAAATTGTAATGAGATAAAACCCCCACATCCTGTTAAACATAATATTTACTTACTTCATTGTGAGGAAAGTGTTGCGTGTCCATTAAGCCATTGCCAAAAACAACGGGTATAAATAAAAAGCTTGTTATTAAAAAGACACATCCAGATATGACACCTACAGCTTCTGGACTGAAAATAAAAAAATAATATATGTTAACAACTGAAGAGGTTTACTATAAGTACCTAATTACCTAGATGGGATCAAATTGTATATGTACACATAGTTATTTAAATATTAGCATTGTAAGGATACATTAAATATTTACTTACATTTTCTTCTTACTAGTTTTACACAAATCTATTCCAAACAGACCGGCTTTAACAAACAGGTCTGTAAGATTAGGTATTAATTCATCTGTTATAAAGAAGGCTATCGCAGATAATATTAAAAGAATTATAATTTCCCACATCTTCCAGGTTATATTAAAAAAGTATCATCGGCAAAGGGATTTTCGTGTTTTAATAACACGTCTGCCTGTCTCTCGTTTAGTTGACATTAGCATGACACCTATAATTGACGTTCTATCAATCAAATTGACATTGAATAGACTAGAACAGACGAAAGTTTGTTACTAAAGTTTTTTCTAATTAATATAATTTTTTGTTATTGTAAATATTGTGTAGCTGAGCCGGTGTCCGGTAAAGAGAATGTCCGGTGACTTTAGTCGCTCGCTCTTATACCCACTAAAGTAGATTTTCATCTAGTTAAATAATTCATTATAATTTACTTATATCATACTAATCGTGAAACCTATTCGCGCCGAACTGTTCTATCGTAATTCGTCGCATCCGCATCCATTCGCTTAAGTTTGACCCATGAAATATGTAAAATAAGTTTTTTTTAAGTTGTAAATATTTAAGTTTTTAGTTATTTGTATTTTAATACCAAAATACTACTTTGCGACTATTAATATATACAACTTAAAATATATAAAAAAAATATTTAAAACTAAAATATTTACACTAATATATAAATATTTAAACTAAAGTATTTTATGTTGTATATATTTATTCATACTTACACCTTCCACTTTCACCAACGAAACTGATCACGATTACACCTATATTTATATTGGCGATGCATAAACACTAACTAGCGCCTCTAGTGTTAAAATTGTGAAGCTGTCTAAGAACGACACTGGCAGTTTTCGTATATAATTTACGTCACAGAATTATTAAATATAAAACAGATTGGTGCGGTTATTTATATATAAATATTTAAGTAAATTATAAAATTAATCGAATGTTATAGGTACTAATTATTCAGTTAATGTCCTTAACTCACTTCATTACATTCGAATTCAATCCTATATCCTTTATACACCATCACTCCATCATTAAACTCGCATTTGATTCCTGATCAAATCAAATCCAAGTGCCAAGCACGAATAATTATCGCATTCGTATCGTAACAGTTTCTAGTGAGTTCTTCGTTCCGATTGGTTGGTTGACTGGAGCCGGCCAATCAGAGCGCCGAACGCGCTCGACACTATTAAGTTACGAATGCGATTGTTATTCGTGCTTGGCACTCTGAATCCTCGACGACCATAAGATGCACTTATTTCAGTTGTTAGGCCAGAAGGAGTTATTCCATTATTAATTTTTCGCTTTATTGATTTACTTTTTAATATTGAGAGTACTTACGAATCTTCAATAATAACTTCAATCGAATACATACATTATCTTAAAAACCCAAAAATTAAATACAACTCTTTGTTGGTTCTTAGGCGAACTATGTATGGACAACGAGCTATGTCCTTATTCCCAAATCTCCGTAAGATTTACATTGAGGAAAGCAACAATATCTTGTGTTTCTACTTTTATTAGAAACAGGTTTCTGTATGTAATGCTTAGAGACTAATTTTGTATGAACAAATTTAGGGGATGAATTTCAACTGGTTAACTTACACTCGAAAGCAAAGTGTCGTTCTTAGACAACTTCTACATTTCGCCGCTAGAGGCGCGCGGATAATTTTTGCATCGCCATCGTCTAACTGTCAATGTCAATAATGTCATACGTCATTAATCATCAATGTCATCCATCACCTTTATTTTCGATTTCGTTACTTCCAAAGAGTATAATAACTAATAATAAGTATAGGGGTAGTTACTTCGTTCGAATTCTTCGAAATGTGTAATGTCTCATATCGTTTGCGTTTGCGTTTCATAATACTTGTTAGAAGTGATAATAAATAATTCGATAATTTTGTTGGAATGTTCTTGAAGTAGTACTAAAGTAATTTACGTAAGTAATTTACTATTAAAATGAGTACTATGGACGATATAGAAGATGAGGCGAAAGCAGCTGCCGAAAAAATGGTAATGAATATGATGCAGAGACCAGGACAATTAGAAAAGGTAAGAAAAAATGTTCAAAATTACAAATTAGCACTTTTATTTTATCGTTTCTATATTATTTTTACACTGTTTCTCTTTTATCCGACAAGTTTGACTGCGTTTGAACATTGTTCAAATGACACAAAACGCTTGTGGGCGTTTGATACAGATTCCTGAAATATTTACCTTAAAACCATTAGATGCTGATAACATTTTACATTTTTTTGTGTCAACCAAATGAAAATGTTTATCTGATAACCATTTTTACTTATCTAACTTAGCTCTTAAACAACTTAGCATGTTAAATATTTTGTTTGTTATCATATTATCTCTGTTGCTGTGCTCTCTGAGATACCTAATTGCATTTAAATTATATGAAATTCTAGGTAGAACATTATAAAAAAAGAATAACTCATAAGAAGGCGTCAATAGAAGCTCAACTAAAATCAGCTGTACAAGGCAAGCTGGATGGAGTTAGTGTTGGTTTGAAACAGTTGCAAGAGTGCTTAGAAGATGTGCAACAAGTCAGTCTGAAGTAAGTATCTGCTAGTTTAATAATCTCAAAATCAATATCTTCCCTTATAGTTTACCTCTATGTACTTGTTTATTGAAGAAGAGAAGAGAACAGAGGGCTTAGTACAATAAATATTAGTGATTTAACTTATTTGTGCTAAAGTATGTAATTACCTCTGTGGCTCTAAGTGTATGACAATGGCAATTAAACTTCAATTATTTTACTTTAGAATGGATGAACTGGAAGAGCTGTTAAAGAGTGTACCTCCCCTGGTAGCATCGCTACAAGCGGTCAGGGAGGAAGATTCTCGTCATTCACAGTATGTCACTGCTATGGACAGTCTTAAACACATATTTACTGTACCAGAGAGTGTGGCTAAAACTAAACAATGGATTGGAGAAGGCAAACTTCTACATGCACATCAAGTAAGCCTACTCATAATAGATATAAAGGAATAAATAAACAAATGTTTACAAAATAAGTCCTTTATAAAGTAAGTCCAGTTATCTGAAAATAATAAATCTAAGTACTTCATTTTCTTTCAATTTCAGTGTCTAAATGATTTGGAAAACTCCAGAGATGATCTGCTATATGAGCTACATAGATTACCTAACCAATCCTCACATGATAAAATTATGCTAAAAGCTTATTTTGAAGATGTTGAAATGGTGTCCAATTTGCTTGAGAAACAGATAAAGCTGATTTTAGCCAGAACTTTGAATACAGTTCGTAAAGAACCCACAGTTATTGTCACAGCCTTGAGAATCATAGAGAGGGAGGAGAAAAGGGACCAGATGGCATTACAGGTTAAATCTATAGCATCTTATGACTTTATTTACTTTTAATTTCGGATACATCTATTTAATTACGTAATTATACATCTGTTTACAATTTACAGCAACAAAGTCAAACAGGTTTTATGCCACCTGGCCGACCTAAAAACTGGCGCGCCAAAGCTTTCGAAGTTTTAGAATGTGCAGTAGCACAGCGTATAGAAGGCACACGCGTTGACGAGCGCGAGAATAATAAACTGTGGTTGGTACGATATCTCGAACTTACGAGACAACTCATATTAGAAGACTTACGAGTTGTCAAAACATTGTGTGTACCTTGTTTTCCACCACATTATGATATTGTAAACAAATATGTCAACATGTATCACATTTGTTTATCTGCAAGTGTAAGTATTAGTCTATGCATTTAAAATATAATAATTTAGACTTTAGATTTTTGTAGTGTAAATTATGTATAATAACTTGAACCTCTGTTGTTAAGTCTTAAATTTTTTACAGCTTCAAGATGTAGTTACAGGTGGGATAGAAGGCAATGAATATGTTACACTTTTATCCTGGGTATTGAATACATACCCTGGAAATGAATTAATGGGCAGTTCAGAGCTGAATATTGATGTGTCAACTTTACCACCTTTACTTAGTAAGGAAACAATGCAAAAGTTACAAGATGAATACCTACAGGTTAGTAACTCTCAGTTTTAAAGTTTTTTAGTACAAGATTCAGTATATAATTAACTCTAATGCTTATAGAAAATGGAATCTAACTACATGGAATGGATGGAGAAGACTTTGGAGTCAGAGCGAGCAGAGTGGGCAGGGCAGCGTGCACCTGAAGTGGAGTCGCATTCTACCGCGTACCACACGCATGCGCCCGTCATCATCTTCCAAATGATTGACCAGAACTTGCAGGTAAAAAAACTATATATTTTATTGTACTGTATTATGACTAGGGAATTTGGATGCTGTTTAATATATTTAATTGGTTCAGGTTGTTAACTATAACATTTAATCGTCTAAATACATACTATATTATTACTATATGACATTGGACAAAATCTCAGTGCCAGTTTCCTGTAGCGGTATGTTTAATTGCGCAAAGCTACTATTTTTCTTTTTTTATTGCCATTGGTATGATTTGCTGCCCCATGTAACCTTGAACTTGCTACTCAAACAATACGAACAACTAAATAAAAAAAATAACAATAAATAACTTTTCATACTTGTCTGTTGCTGCCTATTTTTTTACAGGTCACCGAAACTATAAGCAAAGAAATAACGTTTAAAGCATTGCTCCTTAGTATTGATCAAGTTACGCGATATGGGAATATGTACAGGGATGGAGTCATACAATTTAAGGTAAAAGACACCTAGAAGACTCATATTGATCCAAAAATAATACACCTACTTTTAACTTAGATCATAAACTATTAGTATTTTTTAATTATCGTAAATAGAACGCCCACTTCGCGGATCGTTCGCGGGTGGCATATTTCACTCACCACATGATCACGATCGTGAACAACAGCGAGCAGATGGTACGGCTGGCGCAACAGACGCAAGCGCGGCACTGGCCTGCCGGCAGACACGACCCACCTGCCGAGGCCAAGTTCGATAAGATGCTTAACACTTTCCAGGTATGTAATTATGTAGAAACTAACTAAGCATAGGAAACTAATAGTAATCCCTTTCAACGTATAGTACTAGAAATAGCGATCAATTTCTAAAATGGTGCACAAACACTTTCAATTTCAATTTCATGGTCATTTATAATAAGTCAACGTCCTCTATGTCGCAGTAAGATTTTCATTTGTAAATAACTCATCGGACTAGCCAAGGTCAAGTGGCGGGTAGCGTCGGCTACAGAAAAAAACGCTTGACAACACTATTACAATTACTACACTACAGATACCTTTACAGACCTGTAAAAAGCAACTTATGATTTTTAGGAAAGTATTAATGGTTTAAATAAAAATTCAACAAATACTTTATACAAAATGTTATTCTTTGGTGTAAGAACATAACAAAAATATTCATATATAACATAAGTTCAACAAATATCAGTCCAGGTACATTGAGCAACAGATTAGTGGCCTTTCTTGTGTCCCCAGTGCTTGTGGTGCTCGTGGCCTCCTTTCTTGCCGTGGTCGTGGTGGCCGTGCCAGTGCTCGTGGTGGCCGCCCTCGCCGTGGTGTCCCTTGTGGTGGTGGTGGTGGCCGCCCTCTTCGTGGTGGCCCTTCTTGCCGTAGTCATGCTCGTGGTGGCCACCGTGCTTGTGTCCATGATGGAAATGACCGCCCTTCTTGTGACCGCCCTCGTGGTGATGGCCACCGTGGTGCTCTTTGTAGCCTTTCTCGCCATGGTGGTCGTGGAAGTGCTTGTCCTTCTTGAACTCGTCATGTTTCTCAACACCGTGGTGTCCTTTGGTGTCGTGTCCCTTGTGCCAGTGGCCGTGCTCTTCGTGTCCGTGTCCGTGCTCGCCCTTCTCTCCGTGGTGGTGGTGGCCATGGTAGCCCTCATCATGATGGTGGTGCTTCTTATGTCCGCCATGCTCTCCATGGTGACCCTTGTGCCCCTCATGGTGACTGTGTCCGTGCTTGCCGTGATGATGCTCATGGTGACCCTTGTGTCCTTTATGGTGTTTACCACCATGGTCATGGTGATGGTGCCCATGGTGCTCGTGGCCGCCACCCTTATCCCAGTGATGACCATGTGACGCAGCGGCTTCCAAGTCGGCGTCCCTTTTCTCTCTAATGTCCCTAGCGGAGATGACGGCAACTATGGCCAACAGGCCAAATGCCACAAGCAGGCTTCCCCTCATGGTTGGTTAGACAAACTGTTGCTGAATGATATTGATTCATCTGTTTCAATGATTTTATATACTAAATAGAAGCAGTGGTTAGGAAATACACGGTTGCTCGATAGTGTCAAGGTTGCTACAACTATTCGCATTTCTGTAGTTGCTTTCCACTTCCTTCCAGGTTGACAATATTTGTTTCGGACTTATTACATACCGTATGGTTGTTTTACGATCCAAATTCGTTTTAATGTTCTAATCATAAAGTATATTATTTATTCAAGCGCACAATCAAACTTAAATAGAGAATCTACTGGCACACATTTTTAACAAGTAATAAATTAATAAGATGTAATAAAAAGCAGTGTATTATTATGGACTGTTATTTAGATATGTAATACGATCTCCCTAACCCTCTAGATAATAAGTACTACATATAACATCTTGAATTTTAGTGTGTTAAAGGATTTTATTTATGTCTATAAATTCTTATTTTTTTATATCTATATAAGCGTGTAATTAATTTCATTTGTTTTAGAATTTAAGAGATGAAGCTGCCCAATTTCTTCTCGAGGAAGCGTTCCTCGACTTGGAAGTACATTTTGATGACCTATTTACAGCGAAATGGTTGCCTTCTACCATTCCTGTGGACACTATTTGTATAACACTCGACGATTACTTCCAAGATTACAATCATTTGAGAGATAAAAATTTCGAGTATGTTATAAACGAAGCTCAAAACTTGGTGTATAAGAAGTATATTACTGCAATGTTGTCCAAGAAAGTGGCCTTCAAAAACGTGGAGGAAGCTCAGCAAGCTGCCACTAAAATAGTCAAGGAGGCGAACCAAATCAGATCGTTCTTTAAGAAGATAGCGCCAGAGGGCGTTAATGTAGATTGGCCCTTTGAAGTCATCAGCATGCTGGCAGAGGCAAGTTTGCGTAATTATTATTTTGTTACATTCTGTTCAACCTATTGTAACAATATCTGATAGATCTAATATTAATAAAAAATTACCAGTTATCTTTAAATATGCATTGACTATCCTAGTTACCTTTTTTGTGTATAACCATGCATAACTTCTTACAAAGTACATGAAATCTAATCAGGGCTGGGTTTGAAGAATACGTAACATTTTTTTCACCATAATTCTAACAAATTAGAAGGTGATAAATAAAGTTATCACATGTTCTATATTAATGATGTGTGTACAATTATAGAAATGAAACATTCGTTTTAAGAATTGTTCGGTCGTTTGTAACAGTTTTTAAGATGGAAGGCAAACATATTGATAACATATTAGTAACTATAACTATTGTAAGATTAGCGCAATAATTGAGAAACAGGCTCTCGTGGTAGGGTTTAGGGTTCGATACTTACATGTGTTTTTATTTATCTTTTCTTATCTAAATTTGCCATAGTAGAATGTATATAGGCGAACATAAATATGTAATTCTGTCTAATCCCATTGGCAAATCCCAAAGTTAATACTTTACAATTAAGGACCAATAGTGCCCCAAATACCAACTTCTATGTACAGCCACATATTGTGCACAAAAGTATTGTTCGATAACTCGTTGTGTTGTGTAGGTACTGCGATGTCAGGATGTGGAGATGTTGTCCCTGGACCTGCACAGCGTGGTGGCGAAGTGCCCCGACATGTCGGAGGAGCAGCTGGTGCGGCTGGTGTGGCTGCGCGGCGACGTGGCGCGCGCGCGCCTGCGCGACACCGTGGCCATCGCGCGCGCCAGCCGGCCCCCGCCGCGCGCCAACTCGCACCCCTCGCTCTTCAAACACATCACCTTCAGCGACCGACTCCTCTCACACTTTAATCTATAGAACATCCACCTCTACTTTACTACACACGTATATTGTTTTTCACGTTTAAACTTCATTTTAATCTAAGATATATTGTAATACTGCTCATGAATATGATTTAGTTTGAAACTAGTCGAGTGTTTCGCGAGAATTATATTACAAATATGTATATTATACTGTCTCCAGCAAATATATAAAAAAACGGTTTGTAAAGAGATGTAGCACATTCCGATAAATATAAAACTAACACAGTATGGCGACGTATATTTCAATCGATAGGTGAAGTTGATAAGTCTGCTTGTATATTACATTTTATAATAAAAATATAACCAAGTTATAAGTATTTATATGCGTAAATGTATAGATAATTTATCAAATATATTTTATTTAATATTTACTTAGTTTACTTTGTATTTTTTACCACAATTTACTACACATAAAAAAAACAATTTCCTCAAAGTAATTTATATTTAAATCTTATAATAGTGACCTAATAACTTTAAACTAAATGAATGTGTATCAGAACACGTAATTAGTGTTCTGATACACATTCATTTATCTTTGCCAAAAAGAGTTTGACGCGGTGACAGCTTGAACTAATATTGATATGGACTGAATGACCCACATTGGACCATATCTCATGAATAAACAATCATCCGAACATAGTACCTCCCCTTTTTAATGTCGATAAATATAACACATATCAAAACCGATTAAGTCGTAGCGTAGCTAAAGACGTAACTAGCCACCTAAATGATTAAAAACTCTTTTTCCCAAGGTGTACATTGTTTATTTAGGTAAAGATAGTAGGTACGCACAAAGTATGCAGATTGCGGACGTCTAGAATCATTAATAAATTGATCGGATAAGTCGTCTTCGTTTAAAGTGTTTCTGTACCTATTATGAGGGTGGATAGATGCGGACACATCGACAAAATGATTGAATATAAGAAGGTACTTTCGTGTGTGATAAACATGACGTTATGGATGTTGTGGCGATTACCTTCGCATGTAGTTGACACAACAATGAGGTCCTGCTATACTTCTTCACGTATCATTGAATACAATTTAGTGGTTATGTCGCGCGGATTCAAGGCCAATTGGTAGTTCGAAGGGCGGGCGGCGCGCGCGGCCGCGGGCAGTAGTCAGTCGCCGCGCGCCGCTCGCACGCACCTGTCCCGCCCGCGCCATGTCCGCCGCGGCCGCGCCACTCCGCGCGTGCGCGCTGCTGCTCTGCCTGCTCGCAGGTAAGCAGCCTGTTTCTACATCTGCCTCTACCACCATAACTCAACGAAACGTCTTAACTCCGATACTCCGCCACCTCACCCTATTTCAAATTTTGTTCCATTGTTTATATTCCATGTTTTACTATGATTACATTATATTTATTCAGACATCTATAAGTGTCGTTATGGAATTTCTCATTGTGTATTGAGAAGTAAAATCAGAGTGAATCAACAAGGAGCGTTTATTGAATAGTTGATGTTGAATTAAGAGAATTTTAGTAGGTATAATATTTTTTTTAAATATAGTATTTAATGCCACCGGGCCAAATTGTAAATTAATTTTTAAGGCTCTATTTGATTATATTATAGGATAAATTATACTTAGATCAACAGGAAGGTCGGTACATGTAACTTCTATACATATACCTACAGTGGTATGGCTCAGATCCCTGATCTAGTTCTCATGACTCATCCAATCATAACACCACAGGAAGACAAACTTTTGTATGCAATTTGCTTTTGTGCGCGCTCTAGGCGACTGATATTTGTCTAATATCTATTTCCTTTAGGGTCGGTTATGTACCTGATGCCTATGATATATATGTAAACATCTTAAATTTCTGCGGTATTATGATAAGTCTTTGTAGTTTGTTGAACTAGGTAGGTATTTTATTGAATAGTTCAAATCGACACACCGCGTGCGCTCGTGTCGCGATGGTATTTTTAACATTCCCGGACCGCCTCAAGGTTAGCCAAGATAGTCGCTTATTCATTGGGATATGACCTAATTTCCTATAACAAATTATTTATAGAAAATTTATACAGGAATGGACGCAAAGGCAAACATTTTAAGATTATAAACATAATGGAAGAGCGAACTCATTAGGTGTTTATATGCGGAAGTTGGTTCATCAGCACTTAAAGTGCAGCGCCAACAGCGCAATGTTTACACAAGTATACTTCACGCCTATCATATCTTAAATAATCACAACCTAACCACTGTGAGTAAACGACATCGCTATTTTTTTCTAAAATCAAAATTATTAACGTGGGTCGTTCTTGCTTAAACTCCAGAGTCCACCAGCGTGTGAGCAATGCGCCTACTAAAAATAAATCCAGAATAATCATCGTGTGTTCGTAACTCTTAGATAATGCAGATTTATTGTCCACCCTAGTAGTTTCGTGGATGAGTATCATAAAGATTGTAATCCCACCGACCGTCAATTTCAATTCTTATATTCAATGCAACAATAATAAAACAATCAGGTACCCACTCTAGCTAGACGCTGAACTGTAGCCAAAACATGAATCGTTAGATACCAATGTAAATAGTGTAAACACTAGTAATTTGTAACGAAGTTGTTTTTGTAAAAAATTTGTACAGTTATATACTTATATATCTCCTCAGTCCTATACCTAGTATTAAGTAATAATACTGAAACAATCGTTTTGTAGTATAATTAGTACCTATATATTTATATTCCATATTGGTATAAGGTAGACTAACCGATCTACCTACCTAATCTAAATCTGTGGTGAACTTCACCTTAGGCTCGTTGACGAACAACCTTGGGAGAGCAGTTTCAAAGGAACGCCATAACATTTTACTGCGACCAACAATCTGCTTGCCAACTTTAACGAATATGGCCCTGCGATGTTTGAACATAAACCATGATTATAACTGTTCTGGATTTAAGTAGGTACTTGTAAATTCTAAATCTGTTTCCCGTTGAATATATTATTATGTGATAGGTTTTGATCCATCTGTCTACCTACGCCTCCTGCACTATTTTCTTTGCGCACAGATTTATTTTATTTAGACTTTATATTCTTTTATCTACATAAAGTAGATGTACCTACTTAAATAAATAATATACTTTACTGAGCTAAATAGTGATTATTTAGTCTTACAACACGAAAGGAATAATGACCCAATTTCATTTATCAAATTAGGGCACTCAGCGTGTGATATGTTTCTCGAAGCAATTATTTTTATTTTCTAACATAAAAACTTAAACTAAATTTCAGGCAGCCACCAACTATCGATAAAGGAATTTGTAGTGCCCAGCGCTGTGGAGGTGGGTAAAGATGCTGAACTGAAATGTCAGTATGAACTGAACGCGGATGAGAAGGAGGTCGCGTTTTTCATCAAGTGGTGGTGGACGCCGGAGTCCGGTTCCAGTTACGACAAGAAACTCATATACCAACGCATAGCTGGACATAACCCCGAGACCCAAGTCCGACATGATAACACTAGCCAAATAGGTATTTATGTTTTTTTTTGTTTGTTCGCCGATTATTCATTATTTCGCCATTAATGAACCGATTTCCAAAAAGGGTATACTCCCGAGATGGTCCCATTTTCATGAGATCAGGATCTGATGATGGAATCCTAGGGAAACCGAGAGAACTTTCGAAAATTGTAGGGGCGAGTAATCTCTATCATGTTTTTCAATTTGGATTTTTAAACACTACAATTTGATAAGGGTCTGGAGTCGACCTGGTGATGGAGCCGACAGACAGTCGAGAGAACTCCTCAACGGTTAATATTAACTATCTTGTGTTTGAGCTTGATACATTTGTATTGATGAGGACTTTACACCTAGATAGAGTGGGAGTATCATTAAGGGTCTGATGATTAAAAAGTGTAATTGTTAAGGACACTCTTCCACGATTTATAGTAACTATCTTGTGTTTGGGCTTGTATAATTTGTATTAATTAGACCTTTGCACCTATGTAGCTTTATACTGAGAATGATAAAATAATAAAATATAAACTGCGTTTAAAAACCGACTTTCAAAATCCAAAAACTAATAACAAACAAAAACTAAAAAGCAAAAAATAACTATTACTAGTACTGATAGGTTTACCCACCCACTGATAGGTTAGAAGTCGGTTTTTTAAACAAAGTATTTTTTTTTCTTAAAAATCTTTTCTACATTTTCCAGAGATAAAAGAAAATGATTCCATCGTGTTATTGAATGTGAACCCCGTGGATTCTGGCACTTATGAGTGTGAAGTATCGAACATCGACGAGATAAGAAAACATGAAAAACTTATTGTTTACTGTAAGTATCACACTAAAATCTTAAGTTAATACATTATATGGACGCTCATCAGTATATATGAATCACAATGTAAAATGTGTTTGTAATGTAATATTGATTTGGAGTGATTTAGATTGATTGATTTAGAGTGTCTTTACAACATGTGACCCACATAAGTATTTTTCTTCTTTATGCTTTTTGTGGGATAGATCGGCAAACGAATAGACTGATCAACTGAATGATAAGCAATCTGTGTCGCGTATGCCGACCCGCAGCATCAGAGAAGTTACAAGGGCGTTATTGGCCTTTTGCAGAATTAGGGATGGTGACACGCTGGGCAGCAGTAGGTTGCTCAGTTAGTGCGATAACCGTGCAGTAGGAATTATTTTTCAATGTCTATTATTTTGTTACAGCGTTAGTAGTAGGTCCTGAAATAAACTACACGTTAATAAATAATGAAGCAGAGGATAAAAATGACGATATGTTGTTAATAGAATGTCAAACTGAAGATATCGCACCCATGCCAGACATGAGCATCATATTTCAAGGGTAAATATGATATTATTGTTTTTACTGAATTTCCTCTAGTGATGGTGATAATTATTTAACCACTAATTTGCCGCTATACCTATCTTACAAGACACGGTAAAAATACTTTGTATCTAGCTTAGATCTATGTACCAGCTCACCAAGGGTCAATGTTCCTAATTAGGCTAAGTATGAGAATATTGTAAACACAGGTTTATTTATAGCCAATATAGGCATATCGTAACCTGGGTTAAAAAAAGTTGATCTTTGAAATTCCATTGCTGATTAGATTTACTGGAAGTGGAGTTTTCATGTTTAGCTTTAGTTGTGTAATTTACGTATCTTTATGGGGTGTTTTAAAATTTCAGGGAAAAACTGAATGTAACGAAAAGTATAGAAGATAGCGATAACGATGGATTTTATAACATACACGCTAACGCCACTGTAAGTACGGCAGACATAGACGTGGGTGAAATACGATGCGAGCTCTGGTACACCGCCTTAGAACATAAGCGGTATGTCGTCATCGAGTCATACGTGGCTCCAGGTACGTAACAATAAGTACAAAATATAGGTACGTAACAAACGACAGACTATATAATATACTTATTTTAAAAACGTAGGCTAAGTTAGCGATAAAATTGAATGCATCAACATGCTTACCTATGTCGCACAAGTGTTGCTTTGGAACGTCTTCACATTGTGTTCTTTTGATTATTCAAAGTGGCAGTAACTTTTCATTATTCATCAATATGAACGGTTAACATTTACATTAAGACTGCACATGTAACGATTATCCAAACAAGTTTTATGTTAGATTCAATAGCATGGTGAGTAACAGCATATTACGCTTTTACATAAAGCACTGGAGAAATATAATCATTAAAATTTAAAGCTACTTCAGAATTCATGTCTCATTTTCTTATATTCTAAATTCGTTATAATAAGTTGGAAAATGTCCTAGCTTCTATTAGAAAAATAATTATTATTGACGGAAGGGGGCCTCAGTTCTAAGCCTTCCTTTATTCTACCCTAGAGTTTGTCTGAAGGTATAGATATGTTTCCAACTCATTATGTCACATATTGAGTATAATTAATCAGTTTGTTTTTTTTTGCAATGATAAACATAACACATGTACATTTTGATAAAATAATATTCTCATGGTATTGCAATGCAGGATATACCTAGGAGCAATGTTTTGTTGTAAACGTAACGTAATAATTGAGAGGTAGAGTAATTAAGTATGGTGGCTAGTCGTAGAGTAGTGTGTGCCACTGTGTGTTGTCTGTATACTAACGTTGGTTGTTGGTAATGGTCGACGCCAGGCCGCGACGCATCGTCCACCACTGAGCTACCCGAGGACAATTCCACCGAGCCGGATCCTACGCACAACTCCTTGCAAAACTACAGTAAGTCATAGAAAACCTACGTAGGAACGCAAGAACACAGTCCACACTTTTCAAACCTAATGACTGAAGTTATTGATGAACAATACTGTGCGCCTAATATGTATTCATTTTATATTTTATTTATTTACCATTATACATATACTTAAACATAGTATATTTTACCTTATAAAATATATTTTATGTAAATATTTCGTTGAGATATATTTTTTACCCATCGGAGAATCCTGGCTACCTCCATGTACCCTAATAAACTCTTCCTAACATAGTATATATTATGTTACTGATGTGCAAGTATAGTTGTACGACTGGTGTGTGATTGTAATCTTTTGATAGTTACAATACAAAAGAAAATCTAAAATCTCGATTGCCTGTGCTGTTGATTTACACATAGTGTTACCTACATTATTCTATATTAGGACACTTATCAATATACTTTTTACTATTATAAAAATAGTTACAAGTATTTATGATAATACACTATCTACATCCAGATTTACTATCCTAAAAGCCAGGATAGGTTTGGTGTTGTATGCCTAGAATCTTAGAACATGTTTTGTATTTGTTTGTACCATTCCGCCTATTCTGACTAATAATATATATAATAATTTTCACTGATTTGCTTATGTATAATTTGAATGCTTTTTTAAAAATTATTGTTTTTTTAATGAAATAATGATAAAGATTGTCCAATTTTATAATAATGGTTAATTTAGTTTGCAATTTGCATCATGAGCACAAGTATAGATAAATAACACTAACTCCATTTGTTGTCATGTATTAATATTACTTTTAGGGCAATACTGACAATATTTAGTAAAATATAGTAATATTATGCGTGGTTAGGTTACTTATATTTTTGTGAAGACTATTTGATTCACACTTATTTATATTCTGAGGAGTTTTAATGACCTAAATCTCACAAATGGCTAAAAGACACCAACATGTAAATATTATTTCCCAAATTGCAATAATACTAGTATGACCAAATTCCTATATTTATAAAGAGGCCTAAAATGAGCACTGAGCCTAACTTCTAACACCTCCTTTCAGGACTATACGAAATGAAGTATTATTAATGTGCAACTATATTATTCAGTCCTGTTTCAAACAAGAATCTCGAAACTTTTTAGGCCACTTTATAATAACACGGTATTTTGAAAAACTTGATATCCAATACCCTACATTACACATGCAAGTCCCTTGTGTTTGATTATTATACCTGAGTACTTAGTAGTTACATGAGTTTACATAGCCCCCCTTCCCCAACCCCCCTACCTATAGGCCGGCAACGCACTTGTAACTTTTCTGGTGTTGCGAGTGTACATGGGTGTCGCCGATTGCATTCATCTGGTGATTCATTTTCTCCTTTACCGACCTATCCCGTAAAAAGTTATTACCTTCATACGTAATGAAGTCTCACTGAATGCTTGTGATTTCTCACTGAAGTTGTATTTCAGGTGACGATGGCATTCGGCTACTCTGCTCATGGACGTTGGTGTCGTTTGCAACAGTTGTGGCGTATCTAGCAACATTCAGGCCCTATCTATTGTGATACTAATTACGTAACTATGCTAATATTAATAATTAAGTGTTAATTTAATTAAGCTTTACCTAGTAAGTACCTGTACAATATTATCTTCAATTTACAATATTAATAAAAATATACGTATTGTTGCAATTTAAATATTTTATTTCAAATCATAGATATAATAAACGAAACATCCCGCCGTTCACGATGGTGTTCATAATAAGATGGAAAGCAGGCAAAAATTGTCGCCTCCTATATTATAAAGACCTATGCAGTAAAGGGCGAACCTATTTCCACTAGATATCAGTCCAGGATCTGAGGTCTCTAAAGCTAAAAAACAATTGGTATAGATGGCGCTGTGGTATATGTCACATAGGCTACTTTTATCCTTTTGTGACGCGAGCGAAGCTCCGGGTACAAGCTAGTATTAGAATAATTCCTTCTGGCAATAACTGAAATAAGTGCACCTTATAAACATATTATTGTAAATGAAATTAGGAATCCTTACTTCCTTACTATAAGTAACAAACTCACTTTCCGATTTATAAATTATAAATCGGAAAGTGAGTTTGTCTGTTTGGTTGTTTGTTCCGCTTTTACGCCGTAACTACTAAACCGATTGCTTTGTAATTTTACAGACGTAAAGTTTAAAATGCAGAATATTGACGTAAGCACTCTCAATATAGAAAATAAAACAATAAAGCGAAACTTAATATTGGAATAACTCCTTCTGGCCTAATAACTGAAATAAGTGCATCTTATGGTGGTCGATACAGTAAAAACTCGATTATCCGGCTCGCAGTTATACGGATTCGATTATCCGGACTACCGACTCATTATATTAAAATTACCCTACAATATACCCTGCGCGATCGCTGCCCCGCGCGTTTCGTTATTGTTTTAGTTAGCTAGCTGTTGTTCCTCTGATTAGAGGCCTTAGTACGAGTTTCTTTTTCATTTAAAGTAATCGTAACGAGTACGCGTTCGGCGCTGTGATTGGACGGCTCTAATCTAATGAACCAACCAATCAGAGCACAGAACGCCGTCTCGTTTTGATTACTTTAAACGAAAAAGAAACTCGTACTAAGGCCTCTGCCTTGTATCACGTCTACATATTTAAAAATGTCAAAACGTAAGAGAGTGGTGTTATCGCATACCTAAAGACAAAATAAATATTATTTATTCATTAAAAAAATGAGAAACCGGTCGGAAGTTAGCTGCTCAGTATGGTGTAGGTACATCCACCATTAGTGATATTAAGAAGAATACTGATTAAATTTTGTTGTACACCTGCAAATTAGATAGTGTACACATCGGAAAATAATAAAGAAAACAAAAAATATACTTGTACCTCCTGTATTTGTTGTTTTTAATAAATAACATACATAACATCGTATGTACAACAGTACAACATATGTATGCACAAAACCCGCTTTTCTTAGTACATTTACATTCGATTATCCGGATTTTCGATTATCCAAATGCCTACCGACAATAATTAGTCCGGTTAATGGAGTTTCTACTGTACTTATATTAAAAATCGGAAAGTGAGTTTGTTTGTTTGTTCCGCTTTCACGCCGTAATTACTAAACCGATTGCTTTGTAATTTTGCAGACGTAAGGTTAGAAGTCTGGATTAAATAATAGAGTACTTTTTATTCCGGAAAATTTTTAAATTCCCGAGGAGAAACAAAAATATTGGTATAGATGGCGTTGTGTGTAATGATATACATTGCGCTATGTCATTTAAAACAAGTCAACGAATTACCCATTAATTGCAAATCTCCCGCTTTAATCTAAATAGAGCTACCTACACCTATTCGGTGCACTTTTAGACTCATTTATTTGCTGTTTTATAAGTTAACGAATTACTAATTGGTATCTATGTATTAGTTACCTACGCTACTTAGCGATAGATGGCAATGGTGTTTTGAAAACTAGGTAACGTGTTTTTGCATAATTTTTCGCTTTAATTTTGGTTCCTACCATTTTACATTTACATTGTAATGGGAGGGAGGATGGTATTTGTGGTAATGCGAAAATACCTCCTTTTGTATGTTGTTTTTTCACGCCTAAACAGCTGAACGGATTTTGAAGAAATTTGGTATGTAGGTAGGTAGGTAGTTTGAGTCCTGGAAAAACAAAGCTTTACCGCGGCAGAATCTCTCACTCCCACGGAAAATCTAAATAGCGCGATATAACCAAACTATGAAAGCTATTTGTTTGTTTGCCTGTCTTAAACGGCAAAACGGAGGTACTAATTAACGTGATTTTTGAACTGAAGGTAGTTGAAGGGATGGATTTTGTGACGCGAGCGAAGCCGCGGGTAAAACCTAGTCTTAAATAAATGCGAATTTAATGATGGAGTGATGGTGTATAAAAGATATAGGATTGAATTCGAGTGTAATGAAGTGAGTTAAGGATATTAACTGAATAATTAGTAAAACATTTGATTAATTTTCGATTTCGACGGTCGAAATTAGCTTGAACCACTATTATAAATGCAAAAAATTGTGAATTAGTGTGGTTGTGTGAATTTTTATTACCCAGTCACATCAAAACGGCTGAGGGGACCGGGATGAAACTTGGAACAGAGCTAGAATATGGTCTGGAGTAATACAAGCCTTTTTACCCCCGGGAACGCGGGCGAAGCCGCTGGCAGAATCTAGTACATAAATAAAACAAAAAATATCAATAAGATCTTATATTTTTATTTAAACATTTGATTCTTATTATATCTTCAAATCAATATTTCAATATAATTTAATAGGTACGTCCATACCTGAACATAATATTAAATACACAACATCTCTAAAATAATATATATTTTTATATAATAATAGCTACACTTATAATAGCTGTTTACTTCAGGGCCCAGTCCGCCATGGCAATTGGCGTGTCGGAATGACGAACATGTAAACTGCAGTCTTGGGCCCCAGATGGCACGCTTCATGTAATATTAAATCTAACCACATCCTCATCCTTATGTCTTACAATCTTTGAACAGTTCAGTCAAATTCTTAGTAAAAAAAAATACAAAATGAATATAGCTGATATAAAAGTCTTTGGTTCGTTAAACTTTTAAAGCGACACATAGACATGAATAGTTCATGTCATGGTGTAGAGATTAGTCAATCAACCAATATTGTGGCAAGGTTGATGCCTATGGTGCGCCAGACGTTCTAAATTGAACCGTCATTTGGAAAGGCTCTCTACATGCACCGCAAATTTAACTCATATACGACTGATAACGATCATCAGTTTCATAAAAAGCGACAATAAATTATATATGCTCTATATCAACTTATCTTCTAATTTAATCTTCTACTTAAACAAAATATAATATGGTTTTTGTTTTTGGTACAAAGTGACATCTACTACACACATGCAATAATAATCCAACACGCGTTAGACCATCGTCATAACCGTTCTGCGAACAAAATTTACGGATTCCCTAAAGAGGCCATTTGAAAATCAAATGATCGCTCCAACAGATGGACGTAGATTATATTGACATAAAAACAGTCTTCATTCATTAAAAAAAAAGTTATTCAAACTTACTATTAAGTTCCCAGTCAAGTTTCAAATTGAACAAAATTTTAACAGATAAAATTTATACTTTCTTTTCTATAATTTGGCACCTACCGATTTAACATTCTGCACCACCCAATGGTCGACTGTTAGAAAATGCCTACGGCATTAAGTCCACCAACTTCACCATATGTGCAATAAAGTTTATAAATAAACAATGATATTCTATTAATAAATAAATAAAAAAACAAATTATTTTAGTGATTTTTGATATATTATTAAATTTCGTTTATTTATTGACTGTTTTTTTTTTTTTTAAGTATTTATTCACATTAGCGGATTTAAAGAGCATCAATTCATCGATTTTAAATGTGAACACAGTACCTGCATCCATTATTTTATTTGCAAAGTAATGCACAATCTATCCTCCTAAGTTAAAAATCAGTGTTTTCATCACACATCTTGTTTTATCGCAAAAAGAAACTGTTTATTATTTTGCGGAGATAAGGGTGAATTTGCTATGTTCCAGATTGACCCTTCGATGATTCTCAACTCTGCGCTAATGTAAAATAATTTTAAATAATCTTTGTTACATAGGTCCTTAGTTTTTTTTAAGAATCGGGCTGCCCGTTACACAACGATCAACAACTACTTACCTATACGACACATATTTTTACTTATTCTGAAATATTTACACCTTTTTGCGACATTTTAATTAGACAGACAAAGCACTTAATACCTACTGTTACAACTAATTCGTCAAAAATCTCAAATCGCACATTTTACTATTCACTAAATACATTGTTGACCATTATCACCACTACATACGTCAAAAAATAAGTATACAATCTTTATTGTACTCTAAAAATAGGTGACACATTTGTTTCAATTTTTAAATATCGAACCTTAAACCGAAGATTCCTGTGGTATAGATATGGTAAATCCATGATAAATCTTTGCTTGCGTTCGAAAAAGTTGAGAGATCAATACAATGCAGGTCTAACATTAATACAACAGACACTTGCTACACTTATACAATGATATTGTTATATGCATTAAAGGATTTGCTTTGGTTTTTTTACATTGATGGGCCGAGATTGCCCTCTAGGTGGTAAGTGATGATGTTTATTCTATTTAATTTAAGTCATACCTGTTATTTTATATCTGAATATGAATTTACTATGCAATAATTCAATCTTTGAATCTATTTCACTAAGATGCACATTGCAGATACACATCATTTAATTGTATCAATAACTTCCTAGGTAGAACTAGTATGTTTTGATAGAATTACTTTGGCAATAAAATGCAATATGTTTACTTGTAATCAGGAACTACAAATAAATGTGTACACTAAACACATTATTGTTGATCATAAAAGTGTACATTACATGATGTACCTTGCGTTTAAATTATATTATCTATAATATTTATAGGCTGCCTAAAATAATATTTAAAAATGATCATGTAGAGTCTAGATACCTACAACAAATAAATAGAACAGACTTACGAGTATATAAACATATATATATATATATATATATATATACGTGTAATAGGCAAATTAATAATGCAGATCTTCTCAACAAACTTGACCGTCTTCTAAATAACTGCATTCGATTCGTTTCTAACCTGCGTAAATACGACCATGTGTCTGCACAGCGATCATTGTTGAAATGGTTGCCTATTCGTCAGCGCAGAGAGCTAAGGGCACTCACAACTTTATTTTCTCTGCTTGACTCTCCCAATTCTCCTAACTATTTAACTTCACATTTCCAGTATGTATGTGACAACCATACTAAAAATCTACGCTCCTCGCATAATCGGCTATTGCACTGTCCTGTCCATCGCAGTAACTTTACTCATTCTTCTTTCTTCATTCAAGTCATTTCTCTCTGGAACACGCTTCCAACGAATGTCAGAACCGCAACCAGTCGTCTGAGTTTCAAGCGGAGGGCGCGTGAGTACATTAGCGGAAAGCTGGCAGTTTCATAACATCTTTCATAATTTTTCATCTTGTTGTAACATAGGACAAATTCATATACGAGTCACAAATATATTTATATGTATAATGATATTTATATTATATATAATTATATATATCTATACGATTATATTTACGTATTTTATGTATGCTTTTGATACCCTTTTTTTTTTAATTTGGATAATTACCACTATTTCTCATAACAGTTTTGCAGCTTACCACCTACCACATACATTTCTGCACTACCCAAAGGATGACTGGCAGAGAATGCTGTTAGCATTAAGTCTTCCTTATGCAATTGTATAGAACTTAAATAAATAAATAAATAAATAAATAAATTAGGTACCTGAACCATACTATTTTAAGTTTCCTATAAAAAGGCAGTATTCCCACAAGAAAATATCAACCACGCCGTATAATTCTCTCATGGTTAGGATTTTTTGATATTTTATTTTGTGGCAAGAATATTCTTGAAATGTTCATATTGAGAATATACAGATAGATATAATGGTTTAAATTAAAATAGGTAAAATTATTAATTCATGTGCCTAACTACCGACATAGCTGAGCTCACTTTCACTACTTAAAGCACTGTAAACTTACTACAGTATGTTACTGTCTTTCTTACCAGCTCATTAGTTTTGTCATGGTTAATATATCATGACTCTTTAGCCTCTTGTAGCTTTTATTAAATTTACTAATCAAGCATGTTTAATGTCAAATGCTTAGGCCGACCTTACACCATATATGAGGCATTTTCAAATTCCTCCACTAATTGATTTTTACGAATATGCAAGGATACTTTGCATCCTTATATTTATATACTATACAATTACATACGTTTACAGTTTTATTTACTTAATAGTCGATATATTATTATCTGTGGGGTGTACAAAAACAACTTAACCTCATCAGAAAAAAAAGGAATCATGATAGAATATGTCTATAAATCAATTTGTGCATGGCTTTAAGATACCAATTCGAATTCAATATGCAGGTAGTGGTTACTGGTATCATAAATAGTAGTATGTAGTCGCACTTAAAATACATCCGGCAGAGCTCTCATATTTTTAACTATTTATTTTGTTTTTATCATTAGTAGCTGGACTTCCGCAAATAATATTACATGAATTATGCCTAGTTTTTCGAGTACCATCTCCATCGCAATCTGTCCCAGCAGCTACAGATGTCAATGCGACCGTTTTATCAAAATCAATAGTGGTGTATCCTATGGCAGCTGATGGGGCAGCTGTGGAGTTGTTGGCAAGATTCACTTTTTCTACACTGCACTGTGAAACGAGACGTCCGCGGGGCTGAGATGAACATGAAGCAACACTTTCATTTTTTGAACTGCTGAAGGACTGGCTCTCAGGCGAAGTTAAATCTCGCGTAATCTTAACAATTTCCTTATTTGAATCAATATCCAATATCGCGTAGTTAACTTCCAGTTCCTCCACAGGTGACATTGATGTAAATGTATCAGATTCAGAAAATTTTTGGTTGTGTTCACTTGGTGCAGAAAAACTTAATATTTGTTTGGCATTTTTAGCATTTTCACCCATATCACCTAGAGACAAGTTTGCATAAGTATTTAATATCTCTGGTTTATTCCCCACAGTTAGATTGCAATATTCCACTTGTTTAGGTGTTAATGGAGTGGTAGGGACAGTATCATTCTTACTGATATCTGGGAGATTAGAATCAATGGGAACAATGTTCATATAGAGCCTGGCAGACTCCTGCTGCAACAGTAGCAGCTGCTGTTGTTGGTACTGTTGTTGCTGCTGTTGTTGTTCCAAACTCAATTGTGCATAATGTTCACTAGAGTTACTCAATGTTGGTGATAGAGGGCTGTTCATTTGTTTATTGGAACTATTATCATTCATGTATCTACTTTCAAGGAATCTGGTTTCATCTTCAATGTCTCTCATTGTGTTCAAAGCAGTTTCTTGCCGCAGCGTATTCCGCAGGATTGCTAAATCTCTATTAATATCATTTGAGTAAACATGCCTATTATCTGGGGCACGGTTCTCCAGCACACTTTCACCCTGATTGTTATTGGGTTCCCTCTTAAAATCTCTTAATTGGTAGACATTGGTGACTTGATTTGTATTGGATTGAGATCGTGGATACAGAGGCATCACTTCTAAAATATCTGCACTGGATGGTGACCTTGGAGATTGAGAAACATTTCGTGCAACTTGTGCATTTGGTATTATGCTTGGTAAATTATTGTTCATTACAGGTCGAGTATTATCAGGTTGGCCATTATCTATAGAAGAACGATGAACTACACTTGCCTGCAATGTTTGCCTGCCTTGAGGTGAGGGAGTTAATCTTGATACAGGATATGGTACAGAATCATGTATCACATTTCTTAATTGAATTTGTTGCTGTAGTGTGCGAAATAATAGAGATGCTCTTCGACATCTAAATGCATATATGCCTTCCCCCGTCTCACATCTTCTGCCTGAAATGATTAAAAACAAATTGTGTAAATAGAGTTTAGTATATGTTTATTAGGAAGAAACTCTGCAGCCTTTAGTAATCAAACTAACTTGAATGCCTACAGTTTTGTTAAAATCAGATCCTCTCAATAATTTTCTTTGTTAACACAATTATTTTGAAAGTTTATTTTCTTATAATCCATATAATCTATTTATCTATTTATTACATATTGAAATTCCGTTGAAATTCATCCCTAAATTTGTTCATACAAAAGTAGTCTCTAAATATTGGAAATAAGGTCTATAATGTAGTTAGTGGATAGCGGTCACCAGTGACCACTAGGGGATGTAATGGGTTAAAACTTTATTATAAGTTAAATGGCAAGATAACTCTTTCATTAACGAAATAGAAGGATCCAAATATCGAAACGTTAATAAGGTAATAAGCATAATAGTTGTATCCTATGTGACTGCAGCAATGTACTTCTGGTATATACCTGATTCAAAGCTGAATATGTCCCCTTCAAATCCATATCTTCTCAATGAATGCAATGGCCACACTGTAGAATCTCTGCCTTCTCTATACAAAATGATATCAGACTCTGTAATCTCCAACTGACCAGAGCATAAATCGGCACCATTTTCGTCAATATTTACAACACGAAACACATTAGGATGCAAATCTGAAGTTTCCTTTTTGCTATGTAAACACCCCATTACATTTCAAAGCCAAGTGCCATTCATATAAAACCTAAAAAATTTAAACAAGATATGTTAAATCTATTTATTATATTCCGATATGAAGATACAATAATTATCCAAACATCGTCATTTCAGGTGCGAATTGGAAACGCAATTTAACTTGACTGCGTTAAAAAGAAGAGCGTATGGTTATTTACTAGAGTGATTAAATTCAACGCCTACTAAAGATATTTTTATTTGTAATTATTAATGGATGGAAAAAAACAGTAGTCCTTTATCGCTATCTTTCTCATCAAAATTTGTTTATTTAAATATTATGGAAGCATTTACCAAAGTGCAGAGGTAATAGAGCCCTTTCTTCTTTCCTGACTTATGAACAAAAGATATTATTGTAGAGAAGAGATGAAAATCTTTATAGAATAATAAAATAAACTAACGAAACAGATACCCAGGTACCTGTGCTCTTCTGTGACGTGACAGTGACACTAGTCACTACTTAACCTTTGACATTGAGTTAATAGAATGCTCGAAGATGTTAAAATCTTTGAGGATGTGCGTTTTTATCTTGAGCTTCGTTAGTATTTATTACTAAAACTCATTGACTCGAATCAAGATCTTAAATATCAACATAGCCGCGGAGAATTTAACGGGTTACCGGGGCCCCGGCTCGAAGTGCAGGAGTAGGAACGGGGTGGTTTTTAGAGTCAGTAAGTGTCTGACACTCCAGATTAGTCATATCATATCAGTGCTCCAGATACTTCCTCTCGGGAGGCAGAAGAAGTCATTCGATGATATTCACCCCATAAAAAACTCACTACACTATTTACTCGTTTACGGATAATTCGGTCCGCCTTTCGTATATCAGTAACATTAATCTTTTATTTACAAATTATAAAAACTTAAATAAAATAAATACTAACTATTATAAAATAAATATATAACTTAAGATACAAAAAGATAAAAATTAAATAAAAAAAATACTAAAATTAACTATCGAAAAATTCGTCCGTATCGACGCCAGTAGGGAAAGCACCAGTAAATAGTAATATATACCAGTCAATTTAATTTGGTGAATGAATACACACAAAAATTAAATTATTACGATTAATATTGAAAAAGTGTTTCTTTTTACTATTGATTTACTTCGACTAGTAATATTTTATTTACCTACTGGCTGATAATATCAGCTGATGTTGTAAACAATAGTCGTGCGATGTGTTAATTTGCCAATCTATGGCCAAAGTGCACAATCGCAAGTGACAACTGTGACAAGTACCATTTTGACTAATTGGAATCTACTTGCTTGCATTTTGGATTTTTTTATTTACCTTCTCTGATCAATCATTTGTGATAATTTTAGCCTGTGTTCATTGTTTAAAATATATCATCACACTATTTCTATTGAAAAGGAGTTTGGGTCTCAAGAGCACTTTTTCCAAACAAAGAATAAACTAATATTTTCAAAATGTCTTGTCAAGTGGAACAAATAGCTGATTGTGGCGATTTATCCAGTTTAGGAAGAGCTTTATTTATATCTGAAAAAGAAGGTATTGAATTACTCTTGAATAATTATCAAAATCCTCATTTGGTTGTTGTTATTTCACCATATTCAAGTTTCAGATGAAAATTGGCTTCCCCAGTGTACCATATCTTTGTCTTCATGCAGCAGTTTATTGGCAGTTGGGTATAAAAACCGTCTGTGTTTATTAACCAATCAATGGATTAGTCTTACAAGTAGCCGCACATTCATTATTTCATGGAGTGGAACATTACCTTCAGATATAACAGCTGTTCTAGCATTAGCCATATGTCCATCACAGCATTCCTCCCAGGTGAATATTGACTTATCTTTAATTATCTCTTTAATATGAGTTGTGACTAATCATTGTTGTATAAGATTCAAGTATTAGTTTCTGTGTACCTACCTAAATCTATACTAATGAATGATAAAATTATCAAAATTTTGTGTGAAATTATACTTTTACTGTATTTGTTGTTTTCAGACACAGTTAATATCCATATTATTGTATCTGAAGTGTGGAGTGCCCCAAAGTTAAACTTTTACTTACTGATTCCCTCTTTACTATTACAGAATGGACCTGATTGGTTTTGTATAATAGTTGGTTTAAAAATGGCAGTGTTGGTTTTTATACTGATACAGGACACTTGCTTTTGCTAGAAAAATTAGATGACTGTCCAGTTATGAAGATTTCTTGCCATACTGGAACTTATGGAACCTTGCCTGATGATATACACATCCTCTTTTCAACTTGCGAGTGTATTGTCACAGGTTCAACCCTATATCAAACACTCAGGAATGCAAAGGCACAACTGGCAAGAGGTATTTATTTAATATTATATAATTCAAATTGTAGTATTTAAATGATAAATATAAAAATACAAATAATAAAATTATAACATCCAATCCAAAACTTGTTTATAATAATTTATACAGTGAGGGCTGGTATTCAAGGGGACTATTCAGTCGACAGTCGTAGTATCAATATACGAAAATGGACATTCTGTGAACAAGAGGTTATAAATGATGCTTCTGTGGTGGGACTAGACCTCAAGAATACCTATGATCATTTGTTAGCAGCATCCACATATGGAGGATATGATGTTTGGTAATATAAATTTTGTATTTCTTGCATTCTTTTATACAAATTTGCTATAACTGCATAACTGGGGGAAAAAATATGCTTGTTTTGTTAGTTCTAGTACGCAGTAGTCTATTAATGGATAGTCAATTGGAAATTGCCTAGTAACCTCCAACTACAGAATTTCCAACAATGAAAAGACTAAATTATTACAATACAAATAATGAAAAGACTGTTATTTTCAACATATTTTTTTTTTGTAAACCTCTTTTCCTTGCTCATTATGTATTTGTATTACATGAATACATTTTTTGTTCACACATAAGAAGTCAGATTGAAGTAGTATGTTTAAATACATTATTTAAATGAAATTATCCAAATTACAGGTATCGTTCAGTACCAGCAGTCAATACTTTAATACTTGGAACGGGTGTTAAGCCATATGTTGGTTTTCACTATGCTCTTGAAGGTGGAACAGCACCGCCACTTCAAGACGTAGCTAGAGCTGTTGCTAATAAGATCAAGTCAGCACTTCCGTAAGTACCCCTTATTTTACTTCATTTTAATATTCAAAATGCGTAAGTTTTCCATGGTGACGTTGTGTTTCAGAGACGAAGTCGACGAACACCAAGTAATTGGGAAGGTTCCAACAGTTATTAGAAAAATAAAAAAAAACTAAGTCATGTAGTTTTTAAATTACAATGACTTATGGGTTATCCACAAAAAAGTACACCCAGTACCAGTTTTTGGACTCTTGTTGCTACAATTCTTTACTTTTTCGTCTACATTTTGTTACGTTATCCTGAATAGTGCTCCAGTATTATGAAATCATAAATTCTGAGTCAACTGCTTTAGTTTGAAAAATAATGTCGTATTTTTCGTGGATAACGCATAAGTCATTGTAATTTAAAAACTATATGACGTAGAATGTTTTTTTACTTTTTTCTGATAACTGCTTGCCAATCACCTGGTGCCATTTGATCATCGACTTCAGGTATACCCTGTATATTTATTAACCTTTTGAACGCCAGAGCAAAAACGCATGAACTTGCCCTCAACGCCAGGCCACAAATTCACCGCAAATACCTACGAAAAAAATAGGGATTCCAAAACTTCATCGATAATCAATTTTATTTTCATTTTCGTCTTTAATTTCGAAATATAATGTCCTTATAACATTGAAATTTAATTCAACATTACATTTCTTCCTATTAAAGTAATAGTTATACACTATTTACAGACTTGTATAATACCGTAATAACAGATATGAGACCACAATATATTTAAATATAATAACTGTAGGTACAACACTATTCTTGATCTGCTGTCTTCATATTGTGACCATGGCGTGGACGGCCCGCCATTTTAATAACTACTTCGCTTCCGAAATAAGGATGTGGCAACGTAATATCTCGTTTATCGATGTTCTAGTACAATATTATTTTATAATAAATGAAACACGTTTTTTAAATCAGATTTATAATTCCGAATGTAACAGGTACTTAAAAATATATGATTGAAATAGGTTAAGAAGGTAAATAAAAACTATGAAAAAATAGAAAATTTTAATAAAATGTTATACAGTATGTACTATGTATACATGTTTTTAAATATTAAGTTCTATAAACCTGGCATAAAAAGTAACAAATTAAAACAATTAACGATTATATATAATTATCACAATTACCAATCAGTCTTATACTAATAAATCTTTTGAATACAAGAAATTGAAACAAACTGACCTCAGACAGTAGAAGAGAAATAAAAATTCAAGTAGGTATTTCAAGTGTGTACTGTGTACTCCATCTTTACCTACACCTTCATGCTTTATTCACTGCTTACTCCTCGTAAAGACAATGACAGTCAACTATTTGACGTACCAAGGTCCGCCGAGTCCGCCGACCGCTAGTTGGCGCTGTCATCGCGCACCCAGCGAATAGTAAGCCATGTGTTATCAGGCATAAAAAAGTAACAAATTAAAACAATTAACCATTATATATAATTATCACAGTTACCAATCAGTCTTATACTAATAAATCTTTAGAATAATAGAACAACATTATACAAAATCTGCATTGTATTATCTTATCATCTAATAGTAAGCCATATGTAAATAAAATTTAATAAAAAAAATTTTAAAATAAAAGCAGATAAAAATAACTTACCTCTAAATCAAATTCGTCCAAAGATTCTGTTTCCGAAAATTCTTCGTCATCTGAGACTCCTTCTAATATGCGAAGAAGTTCTTCCGTAGTCATTAAATTCCCACTCATTATAATAGTCACTTAATATAAATTTTGAACTCGATATCACAAGTAAATTAATCATAAATATTATTCATTCACTTCACTAATTTGTGGTCGCCGCGCTTGTGACGTCACGATATTGTCGTCTAGTCGTGACCATGGCGTACAGGGTACTGATAATTCGGGTTGCGTTAGGGATGCGCTTGAGTTGGGATTAGTGAATATCGAAATTCGACCCAACCAAATTTTATTTTGACTATGTAGCTTATTGAATGATTTTTAAGACTGGTTTATAAAATTAATGCTGCTTTATCCTAGTACCAAATTATACCTAAAATATAATATTCCAGAGGAAAGTTTCGAATCGATCTTTGATTTGAAATAATGATATTATCCAACATGCGCTACATCACTAGCGGTCACGCAGTTATGACTCTGGCGTGTGAGGACATTCTTTTTTCAGGGTTTATTTCTTTCTTTTTAACGTAAAATTTCTCAATATTTATAATGCAATTTAATTAGTTTTATGGAAATAAATAAATTTTGGACCTTCTATTTTACAGGTATATAAATAAATAGGCATTAAAGTAATGTTTAAATAGTTTATTTCGTGTTTTAATGTACCGCTGTTTTTGTCACATATTTGTGTCGTTGGCGCTCAGGGACAGTTTTCGCTTGTCACGTATTTGTGACCCTGGCGCTCAAAAGGTTAATCTTTAAATAAATGTTTTTTTTTTCTTTCATTTAAGACCTTTTGAGGATATGGTAATTAAATGTGGGTAGAATCAAGTGTACGGTAACACGTGGCACGACATTTTATACGAAAATGGAATACTTGTTTAATTAACTATTTTATTTTATTAAAGAGGCTGGCTCGGAGGAGGCTCCACAGAAAATACTACAGTTGGAAATGAGCCACTGATTCGCTCCGAGGGTCTATCAATGCGCAATGGCTTGTTTGATGGACAACGTAATGGCAACTCAGTAGCTGTATCACCTGATCGTCGACTTGCTGCCATTGTGGACAGCTTGGGCCGTGTTGCAGTTCTAGATGTGACTCGTGGACATCTAATTAGACTCTTCAAAGGTTGCAGAGATGCACAATGTGCATTTGTTCAGGTATTGTACCTACTGATAAAGTGTCCGTTTGGTTTAGCTGTCTTTAATGCGGCGAGAGGAGTATTTCATTTGTGCCATGAGAATCAAATTTGGAATAATATATTCTGCAAGCGCATTTCGCTCGTCGTAAGTGTGGGGGAGCCGACGTTGAAACAACGCTTGCGTTGTGTTTCGTCGTGTTAGTTAAGTTACCGGAGGCCCAATTCCTCTCCTCCCCAGTCTCCTGAATTCCCGAATCCCCATACAATCCTCAAATTATCAATTCTCAAAAGGCCGGTAACGCATTTGTAACGCCTCTGGTGTTACAGGTCTCCATGGGCGGCGCCGATTGCTTACCATCAGGTGATCCGTCTCCTCATTTAACGGCTTACCCCCCAAAAACAAATTCCGGGAGTTCCAGGCACTAGCCAAATAGGGTGTCAACAAAACTGGCTAGAATAATATCAGTGTCAATTTTAAAGTCATTTTGTCGTCAACTGAACTAAAGTGATTATTACTTGCTATTTCTTTACAGATCTTTGAAATGGAAGACAAGAAACCGAAATTATCTATTGTAAAAGAACTAAAGCGAGCAATATTCCTAATTATATATAATCCCAAAAAAGGCCTCATTGATATAAGAATAATGCAAAAAGGAAACAGGGTGGCAGCTTTTACTGCGACCAAAAACGGCCTTCTTCTGTACAATACATGCGGCCTAGTAGGTGCGGTGAAAAACTATACGTACAAAAAAATAAATTTGCCTGAGTTTCAATGTGTATTAATGGACCCAGATGGAACATTAAAGAAGTTTAATATTCCATTCTTTTATGCTCTGGAAGGAGAATATTCTCAAAGATCTAAAGACCTCCACGTTTTGCGAGATCTACGCGAATACCTTAGAAAAACATCTTCAGACTCTGAAGATTTTGTTGAAGAATTACTAAAAAAAGTCACTGAATTAAAAACACTGGATTTGAAAAAGCATTGTTTAGATAAAATGTTAGTAAGGAAGTATGAAATAACTCCGAAAATTGTCATGACTTGTCTAAGTCTGTTCTGGGATAGCATTGAAAACGAAGAATTGAGTGATCAATTAATTGAAATTAAAAACTACTTTGCAAATCTTGCCCTAGCAACTTTATTCTTTAGACATATGAACGGAGAAAATGTTGATGATATGCAAGATTTAGTAATTAAAGTACACAGCTACAAAAATATATGTACAGAAAGAACTGAAATACCCAGATCCATCCACTCAGAAACTGAAAAAGGTGAAATGGATCAAAGTACTGAAACTCCATGCTTTGAACTTTTGGAGGATGATAATTGTATCTTGGAGCGATTATTGACACTAGCAAAAGAAATTAATTACAAAGAACAACATGCTAGAGTAACTTTTGCCGTTAATAACACTAGTGCATACAAAGAATTCCTTTCATGTTTCAATTTAGATTCTAAAGATGAATGCATACGCTTGAAGTCTGAAACTACTACAGATCAAATGAATACTCTAGCCAGTAGTACATTTAAATCTATATTCAAATTAAATGATGTCACATTGTTGAGTGATTTCGTAAGAGAGTGTAATATGGATCCTAAAGAAATAGTAAAACTATTAATTATGCAGGTAATGAACATGCCATTACAAGATATTAATTTGGAGCTCATTGAGAAACTGATACAAGTTTTATATTTCCTGTGCAATATTATAGAAGAAGCAACACAAATAGCTTATAATGAGACATCACCATGGTGGCAGGATGTTCGCGATATATTAGTAGATATGCCATGTCCTTTGAGAAGCATGATAGTGGCAATGGCTTGTAAAGCAGTCAGTAGAATATTTGAAATAAAATGTCAAGAAATAGATGACACTCTGTGGGAATCTGTTACTGAAGAAAATGCCAAATGGGGTATCCTAATTGGCAAGTTGGAAGATATTTCCATACTTAGTATCATACTCATGTTCAAAGATTCATTAGCTGAAAATTCTTTACCGAAACTCCAAATGACTGAATTTAACATAAATCTAAAATACATATACACAAGAGGAAATGGATCTGTTACAGAATTAATAGCGAAGTGGTTATGTAGTATGGGCGTTGTTCCAGAAGCAATCATAACTAACGAATTACTTGAAAAATATGCTGGTGTTGATTTAGAAACATACTTTGATAACAGCGACGACGACCATGATTACATTTATATTATGAACCATCGTTCATATCTTGATGAAAATCCTGAAATATTTAAATGGCTTTCTCTTTTGAGACAACAGTTTCCGTTGAGTACGTCTTCAAACTACATAATTGCTAATATGTGTTGGGAATATTCAATAGCTTGGCAAAAGTCTATGCAAAATTGTGAACTTCTCAATACAGTCAATCATTGTCTAAAGTGCATATCAGATTTACATATAAGACTAGGTTTATATTCAATAATATGGTTTACATACATCAAGCATGTATTTGAAGCAAGTTGTCGGCTGGTAAACAAAGTGGGCCGGCTACCAAAGGATCCATTGTGTCTTCAAGATGTTGGATATGACAGTACAACTATGATTAAATTTCTCGAAATTGTTACAATATACTTGGGAGAATTCTTAGACTGTTCACATATGTCCATTAGTCATGATAAAATAAGCATTCAATATGAACAAATTTGGGACGAAAGTACCCCTTCTTTAGTGGAAGTGGCTCAAGATAATAAAAAAGTTAATAATGATATATTAAATTTGAACTATCAAATCTCATGCACAGTGTACTATATGTGTCATTTTAATGTAAAAGTATCTAAACCACTAGACAGCTTGTACGATATTGACTACCAGTACATATTTGATTCATTAATTAATAGTAAACACACTAGAGAAATAAACATGAGACCATCAGAAAAACTAAGAAATCCAAGATTCAAGTTCTTAACAAAACTTATTCGGTGTGCTGTAGATACAATAACTACTAGAGATGAACTTGGATCACTCCAATATAATTGTGGGGAATGTTTTCCTTGGATTGAGAAAATAACTGTTTTAGCGGAGTTATGGAGCATCGACATTGATTTTGTACGACGTCAGCAGGTAAAGTCAAATACACATGAAATTGTATCATGTGAGAGTGACACTAGCCTATATATATAGCCTTTGCATTGTTTGCACATTGTTTTCTTGTACATGACCTCTATCGAACTTAGCTAACACAATCTTATTTCAGGTTATAGCTTTATACCACCTTGGATATGACGTATTGGCTGACAAAATAATAACTTTGATTAAGGAACCAGAAGTACTGGTCACACCTATTCTAGCAATAACAACACAAAGATTCAAGAGAAGTTTGGAACAATCAAGCAATCAACCGGAATGGATAGTTACAATGCCACCACATCTTTACAAACGTCTCCAGAATGTAGTGAGTGTTTTGTACTTTGAAATTGTAACTTAGGATTTGTAAAAGCTGCCGGCGAGAACCCGACAACAGTCAAGCCCCAATAAAGCACTATGTAAGGTGACTGCTCTTATTCTGGTCTAGATTTATTGGCTGAATTACTAATTGCTATGCTACAGATTGCAAATACGATCCTAACCGGAAATATTATTTATTTGCCCACAAATTGTTCTAAGTCTGTTTCAAATAAAACTTATAGGTATGTAAACTTAACTCATAATGTTATTAATAATTTGTTTTCTTTTTATAGGCATTGGATACTTCCATACCAGCTCATCCATCTTTGGCGACGACAAAAACAGTCCTGAACAGCTTGCTTTACCTAATAGATCAAAAAGAAAACTGCTCAGCAAATCCTCAAGAGCTTAAAGCCATAGAACTCTTTATGGACAACTGTGACGTGTTGATTGCATATAAACTACACAAAACATAAAAGTTCCTGACAAATTGTAACCTTAACATACCTAAACTAAATTAATTCTGATATTCTATTGAATAGGTAATAATGTTTAATTCTTGAAAGTCGCATGAGAAACTCAATGATTAATTAATAAAACATTTTAAAAGTAAATTCATCCTATTAAAAAAAATATCTTATTCATTCATTCATCTCAATTTGTTTAAAATGAAATCAATAATTATCTTCTTAACTCGTTGAGTACCGTATTTATAGACACAATTAAAGAACAATAGGTTGCGGTCACCGGTGACCGCTTGGTGTTTGACACTTGACAGTTTAAACCATATTTATGACATTCATGTATATGTACTGCTATATTTGTAATAATATAATAATGTAATAAAATTATTCAATTACTTACCAAAACTTTTCATGTTTCTATTCGTTGTAGGTATTTAGTACTAGAAGACTTTATAATACTATAGGACTTTAATAATATGATTTTTTTAAGGGGGCAAATCATCGAATGACTGCTCCCGCCTGGGTGAGGCGGGAGGGAGTGTCAGACTCTTACTGACTAAAAACCACCCCGTTCTTGCTCCTACACGTCGAGCCGGAGCCCCGGTAACCCGTTAGGTTCTCCGCGACATAATAATATGGATGGCGTATGTTACAAATCAATGTATTAACCTCCCCGAAATAATGGCTTTTTGAGGCGCGCGCGAATTGCTACGCGCCGTACCTACGCTCGGTTTTGGTTCCGGTCGGGCTGCGAGCTACCCGTGCTCGCCGACAGCCGGCACGTGCTTACCCGTAGGCCTCGTCAAATTCTGGGTATGGAGTAGTGATAAGATAGAATCCACAATATCTACTAGAAACGCACAGTGCGGAAAAAGCCTTTTTTTATGTTATGCACTTTTTATTCGTGAAACTGTTCGTTTACATTATTCTAACCCGACTTCGATACGAGTTTTAGTTATGAAGAAAAAAATGTCATACGTGAAATATCCGTAAATCCGAAAATGTTTTATTTTTTATACTACCTAACCTATATTATGTAGCCCTGCAATTTTTCTACTCTTAACATATCAGTGTACTCAACTCCATATTTATTTTAGGTACTCTTTACTCAACTCTTAGTGAAAAGTGAGATGTTTGTTTTTTTCGTTTTTTTTCTCGCTATAACATCGAAGTAGGCCTGGTAAATTTGTATACCGAACATGATTTTACAGGAAACGAAAAAACTATTGCCTGCTCACGCAAACAATTATTTAAAGTCTATCTACGTAAAAAAAGTAAAATCGCAAAAATGTCAGTTAGGGAGTTCTTGTCACTTCATCGTCGATACGCTATTCTATCTGTAGTATTAAAATCATGACCTAATACTTTAATGTATATAGATCAATTTAACATTATCTTCAAGGTTCTCACCTTTCTAAATCCGATTCCTGTATCCGAAAAAAAAAATGTTTTTTTATTTGTTTTGCTTTTCCTTATTATTGATTACAATAATTTCTGTTTCAAAATAATAATCCATTCCTGGGTCTTTGTCGCCAATAGGTCTTAATAGAGATAATACTTCAGGTGGTAAAGGAACCTATTTTGCTTTCCTTTTTCGTTCCTTTATATTAAACTAGCTGTGCCCGCGACTTCGTTCGCGTGGTTATATATATCCACCGCACTATATACATCCACTGTGGGATCTGGAGGCAAATGTGCTTACGCGCGTGTATTGTCTGCGCACGGCACGTGCGGAGGCACGTCGCCGGGGCGAAACTCCGCTGCCGCGCCAGATAAGTGCGTGGCGGGTAGAGCTCCAGCGCGATCTCATGGCGGAATGGCAGCAACGGTTGTCGCAACCGAAGGCTGGGCTCGCTGCCATTGCAGCGGTAAGTCCCCTCTTCGAGGAATGGCTTGAGAGACGCTACGGCGTCCTCACCTGACATGGAAGATTCGGGACGTACCTATATCTGATGGGGCGGGAGGAAACGCCCGGGTATCATCAATGCGAGGACCGCCCTGAGGACACGGTGGAACACACAGTAGGGGAATGCCCTGCGTGGGCTGAGCACCGCCGTGCTCTCAGGGACGTGATCGGCGATGGAGACCTTTCGCGTCTGGCCTTAGTGCGGATCATGATGCGGAGCGAGGGGGATTGGGATGCCGTCTCCTCCTTTTGTGAGGTCAACAGTCATGCTAGCTAAGGAGAAGGCGGGGCGCGTGAGGCAGCGAAGCGCTGTCATCTTACAACCCAGCAATCGCGAAGGACACTCCGGGCGTCGGGGATCGCGGGAATATCTCCGGCCACCGTAAGCGCCGGCCTGTGGACGGCGAACATGAATGGCTTGCCGCCCGACCAGAACCAGACCCGAGCGTACGGCGCGTCGCGTTCGCACGCGCCTCAAAGAGCCATCAGACCACCACGGATGGGGCCCAATAAGGCTGATGCTGATTCGGAGCGACAGAGAACTTGACGGTTTACCGGGGCTCCGCCTCGAAGTGCAAGAGAGAGAACGGGGTGGATTTTAGTCAGTAAAAGTCTGGCACTCCCTTCCGCCTCACCGAGGCAGGAGAAGTCATTCGATGCTTTCCCCCCATATTTTGTTTTACTGATGGTGTCATCACATGATTTAAATTTATTATTTCATCAATATTCTGAAAATGAAACACTCAAGAAGGTGGTATGGTATTTTTTGCCAATAGACATTCTGAGACATACTAAATTAAGTAAAAACGCGGGTTATTCACGTGAATATACTGAGAAAAGCTCTACTAGTTTCGAACCACAGAGGGGTTCTTCCTCATGAGCAGTCGCGGCGACGTCGCGCAGCTCACTGATATCAGTATATTCACGTGAGTAACCCGCGTTTTTACTTAATTTAATAGAGATCCTGACTGTAGTATATTTTTATTTCGTAATATGGGTATAGTTGATTACGTTAATGCTTCCCTATACAGGGTGGCCAAAAAGTCGTGGATCAAACGAAACAGGGAGACAAAGGAGGTAATTTCCAACAAAAAATCTTTCTCCAGCATGGCCATAACTTCATTGCACGAAAAGATATGAATTATTTTTGTTTTTTCCATGAAACTACCGAGATTTTTCACAATTTAATCAGTAGAAAATGAAATTGATTAAAAACAATAAAACAAAAGGTAACAAAAGGATTTGCACCTTCATATGAAAAAACGACCATAAAACCAAAACTAAAGATCAAAGAATAAAGTGTTGTACCTCGTTTGAATCAGCATTAAACCAGCAAGTTTTTTTAGTACAGGGTCACTTTTCCGTAATACATTTTTTTTTCAAATGGTGCTCTTAAAGTGAGAAGTAATTTTTTGTAACGCTTCAAAATTTACGGAAAATAATTCATAGCTCGTTAAGTTTGATACCAAGGCTGCAATACAATTTTTGTAGGATTGATACATAATCGAGTCATAATACAACACCTTTTGTTTTATTGTTTTTAATCAATTTCATTTTCTACTGATTAAATTGTAAAAAATCTCGGTAGTTTCATGGAAAAAACAAAAATAATTCATATCTTTTCGTGCAATGAAGTTATGGCCATGCTGGAGAAAGATTTTTTGTTGGAAATTACCTCCTTTATCTCCCTGTTTCGTTTGATCCACGACTTTTTGGCCACCCTGTATACTATATTAATTGGATATACAAAAAGGTTGTTGTTTTTTTCTGAGGCATTTTCAAGGAAAATATCAAAGCAATATACATAACCAATAAAATTTTAAAGAGCGGTGCGTCGAACAGTCTCGTATGATAGCGAATCGTCTGTTCGTGGTCTCACTGTAACTATTAGTTAACTAACTAATAGTTACAGTGAGTATAGCTATTGACACTATTCAAACTCAGAAGTAAATACTTCTACTTGTTTTAAATGTCAAGTAAGTAGTATCTTTACTTCGGACTTCAAACCAATGACCAAACGAAACCAAATTTAAGCCAATACTTTGTCGACCAAAATAGAACAACAACAATTTTTCATTCAACCAGAGACCTTTTACACTCAAGCTACAATCAATCGGTAAAGGAAACACGGTTGAAGGTAATTCTCGCGCGGAAAATCATACACTGCACAATACCATCTATCGGATAGAGATTTGAACTATCAACATTAGTTCTATTTTTAGTCTTAAGGTGTCGTTGCAAGTACTTCTTTACTTCTTAAACTTACTAATTTAATCATATCTTCTGATAGAGTGCACCGATTTCGATGAAACAAAAACTAAGTGATACCTCAAGTTTCGTAGAATTTTTGTATATACGCATTGTCTGCATTTTACGTGATACGTAACAAAAACCTCAACAAAAATTATGTAAATGGGTTCTGTTAGCTACCTATCCTTTAACAAGCTGGCTATTATTTTTTGTCAATTTCTTCAATGTACCTACAAAAATTACTTTTCTACAGATTTATTATATAGATAGTTAGATTTGAACACAATAGGGTCAACTTCTAAAAAAAATTATTAGGTCATGAGGTCATGACTTATGATGACAGACAGGGTATACTCAGAGAGGGTATACCGATTTACCGGGATAAATTTAATCGGCCCATTTCTTAGAGTATTTTTTCGATGATATTGCGAGAAAAAAAACGAATAGTACGAAAAAAAAAACATTTCGATATTCACTCATAGTTGGATAACTGTTGATATAATTATTAACATTTATCAGGGTTACGTAAAACAGCACCAAATACTTTAGTTTTCATATTTACGGACATTCAAACGTTTGAATTGTTTTCCTTAAAACTACAACCGTATCGAAGTCGGGTTGGGACTGCAGTGCTTAGACTGATGCAAAGAGTTTAGTAGGTAGGGGAGAATGATGTAAACTAACAGTTTTACGAAAAAAAATACATGACCCCAAAAAGAGCATTTTACCGCACTGTGGAACGCAAATAGTCGTTACCTACGTTACGAATGTACTTGATAGAGGCAACTGTCAAGGTTGTAAACAGAGTAATAAGTCTAGGAGGTTGAAAAGAAGACAGTATAGTAGTAGTACAATAAGTACAGGTTCAATTTCAGTCATACGTGCATGACGCTGACCAATGTCCAAGGAAACCTTTATTAAAAAATATAATTATAAACGATTTGTTTGTGGCCAAGGTTTAAAAATTTAATGCGTGACTTCTGTCATTGTACAAATTTGACAGTGTCAAATTGTCAAACTGTCAATCTCTATAAGAGCTCAAGTTCGGTGAATCGATGATAGTGAGTGAAACAAATGAAAATATCCCAAAAGATATTTTAATCCGATTTCATCTTGAATTTCACTGTGTTTAATTAACTAAATAAGTTTATAATCATGGCTCCGAAAGCTGGTGGTGACTCTGCTAAAGTTAATTCAGCGGTATATAAAGATAAAAGCAAACCCACTGATATTCGGCTGAGTAACATAGGCGCCGCTAAAGGTAAAAACATCTGCAACTTATATTGAAGATTCTTAAGTATTTATAACAAGATGAATGTTAATTGATTAGTAATATTCAATGATAACCTGAAAACCGAAGGTTTACTCTGTAATTAAAGAAATCTATACCGTATAACCAAAATAACTCGTGATTTATACTTAGACTCTATGGTATATCTACACAAATCTTTGTTATTTTATACGTTATTTAATAATCCGTTAATCGATATTGATTATTTATTATTTCATCTACAAGAGTCGTTCTGTAACTCGTATGGGACATCAATTTCCTAATACGTATTTACGACAACAAAACACTACCTTAATTTTTTTCTGCATTTTATCACAGAAGGGGATTATGTGTTTATAAAGCAAGTATGCATGACCATTAATTAGTGATACTGATAGTTTATTTTATTGGATTTTTGTTGGAATTCTTAGAAGTAATACAAATAAATGTCAAACATTGACTTGAAAATACAGCATCCTTCCTATGTACTAAATATATACAAATAGCTACTTTGGTGCGGTTTCACCAGCTCTGCTTGGCTCCTATTGGTCATAGCGTGATGTTTTGTAGCATATAGCCTTCCTCGATGAATTGACTATCCAACACAAAAATATTTTTTCAAATCGGACCAGGAGTTCTTGAGAATGTTGACTTGAACATGAGATATTTAAGGTTTAATCACAAACAATTGAACTGAGCCATGAATGCTGGAGGTCTCTACTCTTCAGACATGAGAGATAGGTCAAGTTTTTAAGTATATAAAGATGGATACTAGTCTGATGAAACAATATCAATGATTTATGGATACTTGTATTCATGTAACCAACCTTTTTCTTGGTTGCAATGTTATGGTCTTCGTTAATTGGCTAAAACAATATTCAAAGAATAGCCACATAAAAAAGTAAATGGATTGAGTTTTACATTCTGGCTATTTTGGTGCAATTTTCCTAAATGGTGTACAGTAGAAACTCGATTAACCGGACTAATTATTGTTGTTAGGCATTAGGATAATCGAATGTACTAAGAAAAGCGGGTTTTGTGCATACATATGTTGTACATACGATGTTATGTATGTTATTTATTAAAAACAACAAATACAGTACAAGTATATTTTTCGTTTTCTTCATCATTTACCGATGTTTACTCCCGTCTACACTATCTAATTTGCAGGTGTACAACAAAATTGAATCAATATTGTTCTTAACTCTTTCAGTCTTGGTGGTCACTGTAGCTTTTCTTAGAAATTCAATTTTTTAAGTATGCTTCAAATTACTTTGCATTGGTTTTTAAGCATTTCAGTATAATTAAACAAAATATATTCATAACCAGTTAAAAGTGTGACTGAAAGAGTTAATATCACTAATCGTGGATGTACCTACACTATACTAAGCAGCTAACTTACGACCGGTTTCTCCTATTTTTAATGAATCAATAATATTTATTTTGTCTTCAAGCGATAACACCACTCTTTTATGTTTTGACATGTTTAAAAATGTAGACGTTATACAAGTCGGAAGCCTTAGTACGAATAATCGTAACGAGTACGCGTTCGGCGCTGTGATTGGCCGGCTCTAATGAACCAATCAATCAGAGGCCTTAGTAAGAGTTTTTTTCGTTTAAAGTAATCGTACCGAGTACGCGTTCGGTGCTGTGATTGGCCGGCTCTAATGATCAGAGCACGAGCACGTTTCGATTACTTTAAACGAAAAAGAAACTCGTACTAAGGCCTCTGATCGGAGGAACAACAGCTAGCTAACTAAAACAATAACGAAACGCGCGGGGCAGCGATCGCGCAGGGCATATTGTAGGTAATTTTAATATAATGAGTCGGTAGTCCGGATAATCGCGAATCCGTATAACTGAGAGCCGGATAATCGAGTTTCTACTGTATTTCTAAAAAAATCATTTCTTGAGACCTAGTAAGCCTAAACAATTCTTAAATCCTTAATCTAAATATCTCTGGTCTTAAAAACCTGAAACAGATTGGTGCTTCTTGATAAAAACAGGGTGGGCCCTATTTATTTTTGACGAGTTTAAGTTCATAAAACTGAAGAATAAGTAATGTTTTTATATTACACTGGTGTCATGCAATTTTATGAAAATACAAAATCACGAAACTTGATAAATTTTAACTATCTTAATTTATATTAATTTCAGCTGTGTCTGATGCTATTCGTACTAGCTTGGGCCCTCGTGGTATGGATAAAATGGTAATTTAATGTCATGTCTGTTTTTATCTATTTTGACTTTGACATTATCGGTTGTTTATTACTATAAGGATGAAATATTTACAGATACAAAGCAGCAATGGTGAGGTAACAATTACCAATGATGGTGCCACTATATTGAAGCAAATGAGTGTGATTCACCCAGCTGCTAAAATGGTAAGTATCATAACTTAAATAAATTTTATATGTTTTTTTTTTTATTTAACACTTTTTTTGTACAACTGTATACAATGGCGGACTTATGCCGAATGGCATTCTCTACCAGCCAACCATAGGGTGATGCAGAGAAGTGTTACAGTAGGTTTTAAAAGAAGTTTGCATCTATGTATTGAAAAAAAAAACGAGGGTGATAAATGTATGTACATGTTGGAGAAACATTGTCATCGTCATTTATGATTGCGGGCTTAGTGGGCGTCATGAGGGTAAAATGCGAGCACAAAACACAATTATCACAATAAACACTTTTAATTTAGATAGTAACAATAATTTTATCTGTTTCACAATAACGCAAAAGAAAAGTTAATAATTAGGACTGAGCAGCGGGTTCAGGGCACCGATCTTACAGTAAATCACATAAACGATCCAACTCGACCGATAGCTAATTCATGCTCTCCCGCCAAAACTATCTCCTTTTTTTATCAGTAAGATGGCGCCTCGACCCCGCTCGAGGCGCGTGCTCCGCACTGATTGGTCGTTACTTAGGAAGTCAAATTCAAATTATTAGTAATTCTAATAAATCAAATTAAGAATTTTAAGTGTGACAAATCAATTTAAACTCATTTAGGCATTTTAATAAGTGAATATAAAACAAACAAAAATTAATGTGTGTTATGCAATGCAAGTAACAATTAACTCCCAGCTTCCTCCGACATACATATAAAGGTATCCTAGTACATAAACTACATACATATTAAATCTGTTTCTGAAACAACTCTTGAATCTATGCATGGTGTCTATTCATAATTTTCATCAATATCTTAATAAGCTTTACAAAATGCTTTTACTGATTCTGTTATATTTGTATTTTTGTATCCTGTCTTTTTACACAATTCCACAGTAACTGAATTTGTAACAATAACATAAAAATGTAAATACTTGAGGTCGTACATACACAATAGTGTAACAATTTAAATGAATATTCAGTTGGTGGAGTTATCCCGTGCCCAAGACATTGAAGCTGGTGATGGCACTACATCAGTAGTAGTGATTGCTGGTGCTTTGCTTGATGCTGCTGAGAAACTGCTTCAGAAAGGAATTCACCCAACTGTCATCTCTGATGGTTTTCAGAAGGCATTACAAATGGCTTTACAGGTATGCATTTTTTATAAATACTCTTGTTTATTATTTCATAAAAATAAAAAAAAAATACCTAAGTATATAAAAAAATAATTTTTCAAGCCATTAGCCTAATTTTTTTATCTTTGTTTAGGTGGTTGAAAACATGGCTACTCCAGTGGACTTGTCAAATGAAGATGCTTTACTGAAGGCAGCTGCAACATCTCTCAACTCGAAAGTTGTTTCACAACATTCAACAATTCTGGCTCCTATTGCTGTTCAGGCTATTCGGGCAGGTTAGTGAATTGCTGTTCCACAAGGGTTTTGAGAAATTAAAAATCTTACTTATTTATATTTTTGCCATTAGTGTTATTCTAGAGGTGTAGGGTTTGTTGATTTCTTCTGTTATATTTTTTTCAGTTATGGAACCAATAGTTGGTGGTGTGGGTGCACGAGTCGATTTACGCGACGTCAAAGTTATTGAGCGCATTGGAGGAACAGTGGAAGACACTGAATTGGTTCAAGGGCTGGTAATCCCACATCGTGCCTCTAATGTCAATGGCCCACATAGAATTGAGAAAGCCAAAGTTGGACTCATCCAGTTTTGCATTTCTCCACCAAAAACAGATGTGAGTGCATAGCATAAGTATAATATTGATTCTATTTTATATTAATATCTATAATATTTCATTTAATTACAATTGCATGCAAATCTGATAACACTCATATGTTTATTCCTCTAATTTTTTAGATGGACCACAATGTTATTGTGTCTGATTATGCTGCAATGGACCGTGTCTTGAAGGAAGAACGTCAGTACATCTTGAATATTGTTAAGCAAATTAAAAAAGCAGGTTGCAATGTCCTCTTGGTGCAAAAATCTATTTTACGGTAATATTCCTTATTACAGAGTTGGAGTATTTTTTACTATAGATGAGAGTGGCAAATTATAAGTTATAATTTTTTTTCTTGCAGTGATGCTTTGAGTGATTTGGCTATTCATTTCTTGGATAAAATTAAGACAATGGTAATTAAGGACATTGAACGTGAGGATATAGAATTTGTATGCAAAACTCTTGGGTGCAGACCAATTGCTTCTCTGGACCATTTTACAGCTGAAAATCTCGTTAATGTTGACTTGGTTGAAGAGGTGAATGAGCCTGCTGGTAAATATATCAAAGTGAGTACTTTTCTCTGTATAATATTACTAGCTTTTGCTAGTGGCTTTGCCCACGATCTTGGAGGATAAAACTAACCTTTGTTTGTTGCCCAAACATAATCTACCCGTTCCAAATTTTGATCCCGATCCCTTCAATAATTTTTTCGTGATAGTGTAATAAACATACACGCACTTTCGCATTTATAATATTATATATAGTGCAATGTGGTGCATATCCTATATGGGCATGGGAACATTCCTTTAAATCTTATTACTAACTTACTTTGTAGATGCGTACTAGTTTTTGAGGATAGAATGTCAACTCCGTATATTTACGACACCCAATTGTAAATATAATATATAGAAACATACGAGGCGGGCGCAGCCGCCATTAAGTGCGTTCTCAGCATTCGAATGATTGCATACATATGTGTAGTATATTACTATGTATACATTGATGTGTCCCTACATCCCTACTAATAACTTTTTTTAACTTATTCTATAAAGCATGATTAACATAATATTTCTACACCAGCAATGGTAGTGTATGTGAAACAATATTTAATGTAAAACCTCAATGTACCATATACTTGGAAATAAATGACATTCTATTCTATTCTATTCTATTCAAAAAATATTATCGAAAAGTGAGTTTGTTTGTTCCGCTTTCACGCTGTAACTACTAAACCGATTGCTTTGAATTTTTGCAAACGTAAAGTTAGAAGTCCGGATTAAATAATAGGGTACTTTTTATCCTGGAAAAAATTGATATTCCCGATTGAAAACAAAGGGTTGGTATAGATGGCGCTTTGTGTATTGGTATGTATGTGTCACATAGGCTATTTTTTATCCTTTTGTGACGCGAGCGAAGCCGCTGGTAAAAGCTAGTACTTTATAATTACATATTACAATGTTTACAAAAAATATATAAGTTTTATTACAAAATTTCTGTAAATAAAAAAAATAAGATTAATTGTCAACAGGCGTGAATATCTCTAAAATGATCTAATTATAATAATCCTTACATGAATATAAATTTTTTAAGTCTATAGGTATTTATCTACTAATTTGTGTCCATTTGCACTCACTATAACACTAATACACTTAACATTTAAACACAAAGTACTTTCGAGTCCGGTGACATCACATACCCAGGGTAGCGGAGATTCTCTCAAACGCTAACTTTAAACTACTTTTAAGTATTTTTATAAAAATATTTTATATTATATAGCCTTTATTATTTTTAACAAACACAGACTAATATTGTACTCTTGCTCAGCGTTGCCCGCGTGGCAGCACTGGCAGGGTCGCCATGGTGCAATCAGGGAGACGTGTTGTTGTTAGGAATAAAATGACAGAGATGGCACGATATTTGAGCACGACTTAAAATTGAGTAACGTTTTAGTATTCCGGCATTAATAACTAACTTACATTACCTACTTACTTATAGGACGAAGTGTCACACACACTACAATAGTTAGACTACGTGATTCAAAATCCTGTGAATGGTAATAATTATATTGGTATTTGTAGATGAGTGGATGCTCTGCTGGTGGGCGTACCGTATCAGTGCTTGTGCGCGGATCCAGTGGCGCCGTTGTGGCTGAAGCCGCGCGGTCTCTGCATGATGCGCTTTGTGCCGTGCGCTGCGTGGCACGTCGGCCCGCGCTAGTGGCAGGCGGGGGCGCACCCGAGGCGGCCGCGGCTGCAGCACTAGCACGTGCTGCGCTGACCGCACCAGGCGCAGATCATTATTGTCTTCGCGCCTATGCCGATGCTCTCGAAGTTGTGCCCTCCACGCTTGCAGAGAATGCTGGTGAGTAGATTTACATATGATTGCAATGAAACAAATAATGTGGACACTTAGGTTGACTGATTTGAATTGACTTAGTGATAATACTTATCTCATTCGGAAAATTATAGGGCTAAACCCGATTGAGACGGTAACCGAACTGCGCGCGGCCCACGCTGGTGGTGCGGAGAGCGGTGCAGGATCAAACGCTGGTGTCAACGTGCGGCGCGGTCGCGTCACAGACATGCGCCAGGAGCATGTACTGCAACCACTCCACGTCACCGCCTCTGCTTTAGCGCTCTCCACTGAAACCGTGCGCGCTATACTCAAGATTGACGACATTGTAAGTATAATAATTACATTAAAAAATATATATATCTTTATATTCATTAAAAAGGGAGTTTACAAAATAAATCTTAATTAAACGATATAGATCTCATGTATTTGAAATACCTGTACTAGGAGAATCCTGCTGTCTTAGCCCATTTAATTTTTATTCCTCATAAAACTAACATAAGTTTTAGTAGAATCCAGTTTAGTCTAATTTCATTAGAGTCATACATAAGTCATAATCATAACTATATATTTTCTATATGTTTTAATAATCATGACTTTTTTGTTTCAGGTAAACACATTAAATTAGGAGCAAGAAGCTTTCGCTTTATGTTTATTTTAGTGTTTTAGTGTTACTGAATAATTTCAGCATTTAAAACTAATGATACTAAAGAGTTAGTATAATAACTATTTTAAACACTGTCTTCTTAACCAATAACTGCGGTATACGAACAAAAATATTCTATTCTGTTTACAACCAACTAAAACTTAATGTTATTGTATTGAAAGATAAATTGTTTAATATTGATCTGTAATAATCGGTTATCAATAGAGTTGCACTCTATATACCACAACATGAATATAGTTTCACTATTACTGCAATCAATAAGTTGTTTAATCATTTTACGATACACATTTGATTTTTTGTCTTGTTGACCAGATGATACACAATGCTTATGTTATAAAACATGAAAAAACTGTTTCTTTTGCTTAAAAATAATTTGAGTATTATTATATGAATATTTATTTCTTAATAAAACCAATATTAACGAGAACTTTTAATATTCATTTATTAAATTAACCTTTCCACATTTATATGTGTTGTCAGTGTGTGCTGTTCATCTACATTCTGGACTTGAGTATAGTACACAATTGATTCTGTACTGAGATTTGTAGTAACCTATGTCGTAAGAGAGTAAAGTTGTCTCACCGGCACCGAGTAACGAGTAGAGCTAGGAAAGAACATGCAGTGAATGCGTATAGTTACAATAGTTGCTGTTGCGAGTGCTCGCCGAAAATTGAACAGTCAGCTATCAACTTTTTATTTATCATCTCTTTTGTTGATACGGCATGTATATCAATTATGTATACGTTTCTTGAACGTAAAAATAGCCTATAGTTGGTATTTATCTTGTCGGCGCGGGCGGTTGGACAAGTGTTATTCCATTTTATATTTCAGAATAAATCAGTGCTTGTCATCCTCCAGATCCATTTAGTAGGTTTTGTCTCAGTATTAATACCCCACAAAGATTTGCATAATATAGGGTGTTTGGCGCATGGAGCGACACTTTTTTTTTATGATTTGGGAGGTCTTTGGCTACCTTTCACCCGAATACCTTTCATCTTTAATGTCAGGGTTGGTCACATGATCTTTTTTATTGAAATGAAAAATTTTCCTGTTATCAATGTTTACTAAAAAGACATCAGTAGTTATAACTAATAGATTCCAGCTATCAAATTATTAACTACCTACTACATGTAGGTAGTTAGATTAGTTAAACCAAAGACTACTATAGTATACTGGCTAAATTAAGTTACAGACATGTAGTTAAAACTACACTTTCAGAAGGAGTGTATCCGGATCCACTCGCGGGGGGAGGCGACGACGCTCGGGTGCCGCCTGCCCGGTCCAGGTCACCGCCAACAAAAGCCGCCATGGGTCACGTCTGTCCGCCGAGGCTTCGCCATACCACCACTCCCAGAGACCACCTCATAAACGCCTTCCTCGAGTTTGTCGCAGTAATAGAGGCAACAAAACAAGTCAACTTGTAAACTTGCAAAACGATCCTACAGACATACCTGCAGGGTAACGAGCTGTTACTGAATGATAAACTCGAGGCAGCGGAGGCAGTCATATACGACAACAGTAAATTGAGAGTATTGAGAGGAGCTTCTATAAGTCGTAGTATGGTAGTTTACAACGCCACCGCAGGATTTGTGTCTCTGAATGAGAAGGAATCTGATAAACGGGGAGTTGTGAAATTTAAAACTCCTTAGTGGTCGTTGCCAGCTGCACCAGGATTATGTTAGACGATGGGATCTTGGAAATTGTAAGATCCATTTCGTAGCCTGGGTCGGGCGGCGTGGACTTTGGGGACTGGGATTCACTGGACAAATGGAGTGCCGAGAAGCGGCAAAACTACATGAATAATAAACGAATTCGAAGCGGAAAGGGATTTAATCGTCACCACAACAACTGAATCAGCAAATGACCTCATAGGCAAACTACCCTACCGAATCGGAGGATTAGTCAAATCCTAACTCCTAACAATGGCGTCCATTTTAGTGAACGGATTAAAAGAGCAAGAGAACTGCCACCGAATCATAGTAGATGAGTCTCTCATAAATTAGGTACTTTGGGGCCATTGTGATGGCGGCCCGAGTAACTCAGGCCAAAGAAAAATACTTACTAATATTATAAATCGGAAAGTGAGTTTGTTTGTTTGTTCCGATTTCACTCCGTAACTACTAAACCGATTGCTTTGAATTTTTGCAGACGTAAAGTTAGAAGTCTGGATTAAATAATAGGGTACTTTTTATCCCGGAAAAATTTGATACGGTCATGTGTATGTGAACGTGTATGTTTGTAAACGCACCCACGACACAGGACAGGAGATAATCCTAGTGTGGGGCAACGTTTACTTAAAAAAAAATCTATATTCCCGAGGGAAAACAAAAGTATTGGTAAAGATGGCGCTGTATGTATTGGTATGTCACAAGCTACGTTTTATCCTTTTGTGTCAATAAATCAAGTCAAAAGCTAGTCAACAATAAATCAACTTCCCATCATTGACCACGACAACCTCTTCCCCCTCATGGTTGTAAATGACCTACACACATCGTGGCTATTGGCCAAGAACTTCTCTGCACTCACAGAAACCCTATGGATGTGGCATATGCTCTTAGTACTGTGTACAGTGGCATATATTCGTCCGCGTCGGGTGTGAGATCCTTAGAGTTAAAAAGCTTCTCAGGGTCGCGGGTACTCAAATTTCCCCCGAACACGTTATACCTGGTACCCACTCTGGTAGAATAGGAATCCTTTGGCTGGCTGGAGCAGGTCAAATGGCTCATCGCGCGAGTGGGCTGATCCAGTATGGTTAATGTAAATGTAAAAAAAACATGTATGTATGTAGATAGTAGACACCAACTTCTTTGTGAAAAAAATGTGGTTAATGTAGCACGTAAGATTTTTGTAACAATTAATTTTGCCTATTTCATAAAAAAAATGTAATTGAATGACAAGGGCATGGACAAATCCGTGGAAAATAAGAAATCTAATATAATAAAAAAAACTACATGTAGTTAACTATGCCCTACACTAAAATGATTGTAATTTTGGAAGGAAACCTATAAAACAATAATACTATGCCTGACCAGAATCCAATCTTTATCCTGAAATCTGATGGTTGCTAGTCGTGCGTTGACAGTTAGTCGAGTTGATCAATGTTAAAATTTTGTCACTAACGGTGGTGTACATAAATATCTATATCAGCCTCTACACAGGTAATATATTCCATAATAATATAATATTTTTAAGCACTGGTACCTTAATCTCAAGACAAAAATAAGTATCAATTTTAGCACATATTTACTATAGCAAAAATTATAAAATATTACACTTAAAAATTAACGTTGATATGGATGGATTTGGTTGGCAGCTTTGATGTTGGTTTTGATAGCTGAAGGTGCTTTTGGCAAAGATGGAGCTGTCTGACCAAGTTGAGGGGCTGGGCCTCGTGATGGCCCCATGCCTGGAGCTACACCTTGTGGTACTATTGATGGGATCCCTGGACGCAATCCTTTGCCAGTACCCACAGCAGTCACCAAAGCATGAGTGTCAGATATACTATGGGTTGGTTGCATACCTAGAAAAACAGGTTTTATTATGAACAAATATTCATTTCACACCTATCACACAATAAAAAAGGTTATATCAAAATTATGAGGTCTATTTAGATAGTATATGGACCAATTTTTTAAGTGCTTACCAGCTGATCTCATAGAATCTCCATCCCAATCTTCTCGCCCTTTTGATATTATTTCCCAAACATGGCTTACTACTTTGGTGAATTGAGCAACTTGTTTCTGAAATAAAATAAAGGAATGGAACATCTGTGGTATATGCCCGGTATATGGCAATAGGCTGGCCCCCTATTACATGGGGCTTATAACATAAATAGAGAAAAGTGGGTGTTACATTGGCATTAACTGGCCAAATGTGCACCTCTGCCTATCCCTTTGAGGATAAAACGCGTGATGTGTGTGTGTATTCTTATTTTTGACTAGCTACTTCCACACGGTTTCACATGCTCTGCTCAACTCCTATCGGTCGTAGCGTGTTGTTTTATAGCCTTTAGCCATCCCCGATAAATGCGCTATCCAAGACAAAAATAATTTATTTATATCAGACTTGTAGTTACGGAATTAGCGCGTTCAAACAAAAAAACAAACTCTTCCGCTTTATATAAGAGTATAAGTTAAGTTTTACCTGTGCAGTATCATAGCTTAGTGTACTGGCTTTATGGTTAAATTGCTGTAGCCTTTGTTCAGCCTGAGGTTCTGGTTTTGTACGCAACAAATCCGGAACGAGATCATGTGTACAAGCTGGAACACGTCCTTCAGTTAGTCGAGCCAATGCTTCGTCACGTTCACAGCTCAATTGTAAGGGTAACACAATCCGAGATTTCAGAGACGCTGCCAGTTCTACTTGTAATATCTTACTTAATCCAGTCAACTGAAAATAGTAAGTTTTATTTCATGAATATTATTATGAAGTGAATTATTAAATTATTACAAAAGGAGATTATAATTGCAATAATAATTAACGTATGGAATATTTATTTAGAATACTTACATGTCCTGATAAAATTGCATAGTTATCCAGAAATGTAGGCCAGTTTATAGTTTCGTATTCAGTTTCCAACTTGTTTATAAGTGCCTGAATTGCAGTCTTCAAATCATTGACTCTGATTAATATGGCTTGAATTGTAGTTTCCAGTTGTTTTTCTTCTCTTTGTTGCATATTCATTTTTCTTAGTGACGCAAATTCCAAGATAAATTAAAAATTATTTTATTGCTTTGTGTATGTATATTCCTCAGACCACCAGTCATTCCATAGACTATCCCATACTTATTATAATCTTTGCAATTGCATAGAGTATAGCAAAGAGTACAATAAGTTTAGTTTAGGGATAAGATTTGCCAATCGTCAAAATTTATGCCAATCAATTTGAAACGCCATCTGAAAATAGGATCCTAATATATTTTTTTTCTTACGTCTATAGATAATTATAAGTGTAGCTAATGCCATTACTACCAACAATGTACCTTGCAGGTTGGTACATTGAAGGTAATACTGGAAATAGCTGTCTGGTAGCTGCAAAATTAAAGAAGTTAATAATTACAATATTACAAATTATAATAAATTATTATTTGAATTTAAAATAATGTTGCAACCTTGGAACTTTGTGGCCACTGAAAATATTAGTTTTGATACCATTCAATTTCGGATTCGAAAACTAGATGTAGTTGACGGTCCGATTTTGTAAGCTGTCAATGGCTGTAAGTCTGCCTAAAAATTAGGGATCCTTGGTAAAATTTGCACAATGTAACCGTAGGTGTAGAAAAATGAGTCTGTAAATGTCTTTCGTAGAATGTACTGCCGAAACTATTAGCGCTAGAACAAAATAATGTACAACAATATTGAAGAACATCATAATGTCTACAAAAAACTTCGCGGTAGCATAGTCCAACTATTGTAGTTATTTTACTACAACAATCCAAATTTACAAAAATAAATAATTGTCTACCCCGTGCGAAGCCGGGACGGGGTGCTAGTAATTATTAAATATAATAATGAATAAATATAATATACAACTTATAATTAACTTATTGATACTAAGTAGTATTAATATTATAAATACGAAGTTGGGGTCGCGACATATTATTTCTTCATATTAAAAGGGCAATGGTATGTACGAATAAGGTTGAAAAACCCTGTATTACTCGTTTCATCGCTGGTTCTGGTGTATAGTCTGTTTTGTTTGTTTTTGTACTCTGTGCGTTGACATACTCTGTGTCAAGTCAATAAGATTTGTCATTTGAAAATTGAATTGATCGTTCGTTCAACAAAACAAATCCAAGAAAGAAGTTGCACGAAGTCACGAACCGAACGCATAATTTGGTTAAACGTAAATATTGTTCCACGTTAGTAGACAGTGTGGTGATTTAGATTTTAAAAATTTAATACAGAATTGCACATGAGACAGCAGAGATTTTTTTATTATAAAATGTCTGCTAACTATTAAGTGACTTAATATTTTATTGTATTAACTTTTCATTGAAACCAATTATGGATATTTCAAGTCATAATTTGGATAAAAGGCCTACCCCTTCTGTACCTACACCTGATTGGACTAGTAATGCTAACAATGAGGTAAGTAAAATTTTACTCGAAAACCGTTTATATGTATTTCACATAGCAAAGGAATCACCACGTTAATTACACTAGCATTTATAAAATTTTCTTTTACTGTTTAACAGTGGAAATTGCCTCCGTGGAATCAGCAGCACCAACAGCACTACCAAATAATGACAATAATTCATCATCAAAAAATATGCAAGATGTGACAAATGAATCTGCTCTGAACAGAGTATCTGTAATTAGCAGCGCTACTAACCATTCAAGCAGTATGCATACAAATCCCAGCAACACTCCTACTCATAGTGGAACATACTCTTCAGTTATAACTCCTGCAATGTCCACTTCACAGTCCCTTATAGCTGGGGAAGTAGCTCTAACTCCTACCCATAGTACCTTTACACCTCAGTCGGTCAATCCTCACAGTGCAATGACTGCTATCACTCCTATGGTTAGTGGAACAGACCAAGCTCGAAGCAGCATTAAAGTACAGTAAGTAGATACTAAATTTCAATATTTTTATTTGGATAAAACAGTCAGTACTGTAAATATTTTTAAAAACTATAAATATTTAGAACTCTTGACATTTATTTTGATCTTTTTTACAGATCATATGAAAATTATTCTAGTCCCTAAGACGGATACATATTATGGTATATTAATCCAAACTGAAAGGTTGGGTATAAAAATTCAATATTGCCTTTTGTTGTTTCAGAAACTGTGTATCAACAATACACTTAGGTTGTGAATTGAAATTATTAGATATTTACTGCAGAACTAGATTCTCTGAATATAATCCAGCAAGGTTTCATGGTGTAGTAATGAAAATCATTGATCCGAGAGCTACAGCACTGGTATTCAGGTATTAATTTATTCATCTTCTTATTTGGTGACCTAAATAAAAAAAAAATCAGGTAAATTTGTTATCTATGACTTTGGTGCTATTGAAAATTTCATCAAGAACATTCACCACAGCCATAGAGCAACACGGAGGGGAGTAGCCATTGCGTTATAAACCGATACAAAACTGTCTGTCATTTTTTGCGGGGGGAAATTACACATTCTCAAATTCTCACACAAAAACATTCTATGTCACTACGAAACTCACACTATGACAATTGAAAAATACACTGACAATTTCACACACACATTTAAACAATCCCTGTCGTTATAGTGTAATAATATGACGCAACTACACTTACACCCGCAGTTGTAACAATTATCGATACGCATTATCGATAAATTCAATAACTCCGTTAAGGAAATTAGCTTTAAAAATTTATTTAAAGACAGATATTATTATTGACTTTAATTATTATACCCTTTTTTATACCTAATTAATTATTATACCCTTAACTACCTACTAGTACAATAATCAGACAAGATAATTATAAAAAATAAAATTTTCATTTTTTGAAATAAATTAAATTACTAATCCCATTTAAAAACCAGTGATGAAATACTGATACGGAACTATAACTGGTTTTTAAAATAGATTAATTTTCTATAATATGACGAATACATTTTTGGGGGTTTGTTTTTTTCAATAAGTTAGAAATTATTTATCAGTATATTTTTGCATTATTAATCTTGCTAATTCATCTTGATTTGAGCAAATGGCAATATTTCTTGTGGGAACCCAGGTTGGTCTGTTATAACAAAATGTCTTACATATATCTCTTAAATTTGGATCTTTAGGAAATCTGCAATAAATAAATAAAATAATAATAATAATAAATATAGTTGAAGTTCTCACTCAGTATTTTTTATTTAAATCAGAAAACTTAATCCCAAAAAATCTCACATTTGACTTCACCTTTTACATTTTTATCGATAACTATCTACAAACAAACCGGCAACAACGCTATCGCTCGGCGACAGCGAATTCTAGGAAAAAAACTCGGATCTGTCGCTCGACCGATCCGCGTTTTGTATGAGGACGCACGGATTTGTTGGTAAACAAATCCGAAACAAGACGATTGATAATATTGTAGTTTTTTTAAGTTTATAAGAAGTAAATAGCAATAATGTGATTAAAAATTACTTAATATGAAAGGTAACACCATGTTTTTGTAAATTTGACGTGGCAGATCTCTTTTTGCAGCAAAAAACAGAACAATTCGACATTTTTACGACGCCGTCGATTCACTAACGCAACTAGATTTAGTCTGGTGAGCAGTTGAGTTGCAACTAGTTTTATTGTACGCATAAGACCATTTGGACTTATACTTTGACAGAGGGGAACGCCTGCGTATGGCTACTCCCCTCCGGTCCGCCGGTGGCCCGTGTTGCTCTATGACCACAGCCATACTAATATTCCTACTTTTTACCCACCTGTTTTGATTATAAGTTTTAATAATAAAATTCAACATTTCCAGGTCTGGTAAAGTATTATGTACAGGACTAAGGAATGAGCATGATTCCTACATAGCTGCAAGAAAATTTGCAAGAATTATTCAAAAACTGGGTTATCCTGTAAGTTTATATTGTTAATATTATTATGATAATGTTTGTGTATTATGTTAAGAAGTTGTCTTGGTAAGGAGTTAAAAGAAAATGTAATTGAAATTGTAAACAAATAATATTATTATGTTGCAGGCAAGATTTCTAGACTTCAAAATACAAAATTTTATTGCTACGGCCGACTTAAGGTTTCCAATACGACTAGAGGCACTTCAACAGGCACATGGGCAGTTTGCCTCTTATGAGCCTGAATTGTTTCCTGGTCTAGTGTACAGAATGGTTCGACCAAGAGTAGTTTTATTAATATTTGTTAATGGCAAGATAGTGTTTACAGGTATGGATTTTTCAATTATCACTAGACTTATATAAAAGTCACGTAGATTGAGATGCAGTGGCTATGAATTTAGGGTACTTCTTTCCATCTTTATTTATTAATTTTTCACCTTTATTGTTTTGATAATTCAGTTGAATTACATATATAAAAAAGAACAAAATTAAGTTAATCCAATGAAAAGAAATCCAGATTGAAGTACTTATGTCACATCAATTATACCTAATTGGGTGCTTATATTCAATGCTTTTCACCAGTTTTGTTATGAACATGTAACAGGGGGTTCATGTAATAGGGGGTAATTCTATTGCCTGTTGCTCTAACTTAGTGTTAGTAGATAAATAAAGCTAATGATTTTGAACTGCCATCCTAATATGTTTTTTTTTTTCATAGGTGGAAAAACAAGAGGTGAAATCAATGAAGCACTTGATATTATATATCCAATTTTAAGAAGTTACAGGATAAGTTAGTTGCTTGGAAGTTTATATCCATAAACATCATAAACATACAAGTTTATATCCATAAACATCATAAACATAAATAAATCTTAGTATCCACTGGTTTTATCTTTACTATAACTTACTGTGATGCATGTATTATAAGGTGTATTATTGTTTATTGATTCAGTGAAACTTTTTAAAATTTCAAGTAAATAATATATTTACACAGATAATTTCTTTTTAATCTGCTCTCAAATCACATTTTGATCTTAATAGAAAGTACCTACTTGTAATTTATATTTGATGTCCTAATAAATAATTGTAAGTAAGAAAGTACTTTTTTCATCAGTTTATTCCAATATCACATCCTATTGATACAAAAATAATCACTGGCGCGTTGGCTGGCCAAGGGATTTTTGCTCAGTGTCGCAGTCGTCGGGTTTGATATCCACACAGAACAACCCTTTGTCATCCACAAACTTGTTCCAGATCTGAATTTGTGTGTTTGTAAACCCACCCACGAGTACCCACGACACAAGAAAATCCTTGTAGCGCAATGTTTTTATACACAGGGTGACTTATAATTCGAAGTATTCCTCTCGGGAGGTGATAATACAACTAATTTCCTACAAAATTAGCCCTGAGGTCTCTGGTCTGAGAGCTGCTTAGTTTTAATTAGTTGTCAATACATCAACAAACTTTTTTCTAATAGTTTGTATGCTTAGTCTAATATAATTTTTTTAAGCTAAATGAAGTTTTGTATTGGCAAAATCGTGACTCAAAACAAAATTTCATACTAATTGACTTGCTACTTTAAAACTAATGATAATTCTGCCAGTTTTAGTAATAATAAATGTTTAATGATCTATTGACAACAAACTAAAACTAAAATCATTTAAATCTAACCAGTGGTTTTTTAGTGATTGATGTTTTTGTAGTTCGATCGGGATTTTTTCATCAAAACCGAAAATGTTGATTATCTCAGAAACTAGCTAATTTCAGACCAGATACCTCAGAACTTATTTTGTAGGAAATTAGCTGTATTATCACCTCCCGAGAGGAATACTTCGAGTTAAAAGTCACATTATAATCAATTTAAAAAAGTGGAGGTTCTCAGTTTGATCTCTTTATATGTTCTGTGGTTTGACCTATATGTATGCGTATGTCTGTCTGTACAGACAGATGTAACATACATACAGATATAGAAAAATAAGTAAATCATCGAATAACTGCTCCCGCCTGTGTGAGACGGGAGGGAGTGTCAGACTCTTACTGACTAAAAACTACCCCGTTCTTTCTCCTACACTTCGAGCCGGAGCCCCGGCAACCCATTAGGTTCTCCGCGGCTTCGAATCGGCATCAACCCCATCCGTGGTGGTCTGATGGCTCTTTGAGGCGCGCGCGGAACACGACGCGCCGTACGCTCGGGTCTGGTTTAGGTCGGGCGGCGAGTCACCCATGCTCGCCGTCCGCAGGCCCGCGCCGCGCTTACGGTGGCCGGAGATACTCCCGCGATCCCCGACGCCCGGAGTGTCATTCGCGATGGCTAGGTTGTGAGGAGGCAGCGCTTCGCTGCCTCACTCGTCCCGCCCCCTCCTGACTACCTCCTCCTGCTAGCATGACTGCTTCGCTAAAGAAGGAGACGGTATCCCAGTCCCCCTCGCTCATTTGTTACACTTAGGAGAAAGTTTTAGTAAGTATAATCAACCGACATTATAAAAAAAAAGTAGGTTTTCTTAAAAGTAGTTTATGAAAGAACTTTAAATAAGGTTATTTTCTTTACTCCTCAGTTATGTTATCAGCCCCCACATGGGTAAACCGAACATTTCTCTAGTCACCTCTAAATTAATATCGTAAAACGTAATTCAAGTATTAGCTACGTAGCACCATGGATCTTGCAACATGTTACATAACATTAGTTATAATTTTTCAAATCAGCAACTCTCTTCGTACTACTTTTACGGGACATCCCTGGATTGTATGTTACTTAATTTATTATTTGTTTTTTTTTTTTAAGTTTGCAAACCTTTTCGTTATGACTTGATTTTATTAAGCTTATTTTTTAACTTCAATATCTTCTTTTTTTATTACTAGTGCAAAAGGTCACTTTGATATTACGTACATTTATGTTACGTTATCATTAGCTATTAGACAAGAATAACTAATCCCCCTCACCCCCCAATTAGAAAGAAGAGACAGTAATAGACAGTAATATATAGTACAATTAGGTTTATTATTAGCTTTGCCAAATATGCCATTGTATGCACAAATGAAAAAGCATGAGGGGTATTAGCAGAGATGTGAATTATTTAAGATACAAGTATCTGAAATACAGATACAAGATACAAAATACGTATTTCGATCTTGTATCTGAAATACTTTATTAAAAAACCATTTTATATCTTGTATTTAAATACATTCGTTCTATATCTTAGTATTTGACAAATACTTTTTCCGATAAGATACTATTAGAAAACTTAAAAACTGTCATAGAGTTTACCTTGCTCTTTGATATTAGTAACTTATTTGTTTTATACCACATTGGATTTTAGAAACTCAGGAGACAGGAGAAATAAGGAGTACCACCATTACAATTCACCTTATATTGTTAACATCGAAATCCAATTACAAATTCAGAACTAGCTAAACCATAACTATTAATTGGAAAGAAAAACAACAACAATAACACATGAATAGGCAAATTGACTTTCAAATAGAATAAAATTCCCTCAACCAAATACACCGTCTCAATAATTTCCGAGTTCCCGCCATCTTGACTTTTTCATTGTTCGAACCACAGATTATATTTTCCCGCTACGCGATGACATTTCGTTCCTTTTTGTCTATGCTTCTAACACGGCCTCTCCGACTGGAGCACGTCCTCGTGCTCCTGTGTCGCACTGTCGCATATTTACAGCACACGCTCCGTAGCAGGGACATCACCGCGGCTTCTGGCAGCTTGTTCAGCTGTGAACTCTATACTGTTTGCATCTGAGAACATAAGAATTGGATCGGGACGACGGTGGTTACCGGCGGTCACATCGATCCATTTTAAATCGTTAGCGCAGGTCACAAAAAAATAGCCAGAGGAGCACAACATTAGCTATCTCGGTTAATGTGGACCACATGATAGGCATCATATTACCGTATCACATGATCCATGGAAACAACATAATCATCACTTGAGAACATAAGGATTGGGTCGGGACACCGGTTTTTTCCGAAGACACATCGACCCATATTAAATCGTTAATCTTATCAATTACCAAAAACGTGACGTGTGAGTTCAATACCTTCTGCACCTGAAATTATAAAAATTGTATCGGGATGTCGTTGGTTACCAACACAAACAACTACATGTACACATTGATCCATAATAATTCAAAATATAGTCAGAGAGGAAGCACTACGTTAGCTATCTCTACTATAACAACTACATGACAGGCACGACGTTAGCGTATCATGAGTCACGAACACAGTAAAAATCAATAGTGAACTAGAGGCACGACGTTAGCGTAGTCACATCATAAAACATACTCAGAGAGGAAGCACTACGTTAGCTATCTCTGCTATAACGACTACATGACATAGGCACGACGTTAGCGTATCATGAGTCACGAACACAGGAAAAAACACAATCAATGGTGAACCATAGGCACGACGTTAGCATAGTTCACGATCATAGAACATACTCAGAGAGGAAGCACGACGTTAGCTATCTCTGCTATAACGACTACATGACATAGGCACTACGTTAGCGTATCATGAGTCTCAAACACATGTGTAACATAATTAATACCTACGTTAGCATATTATTCAAACGCACATTACACACACAATACACATCAGATATCACACAATGTTAGCGTATCATATTGTGTGGGAAGGTAATTCTCAAAGAAGACAGCACACATTTCTATAATTATATGCTATCCACATAGCACTATGAACTCCGCCACAGTCTGTGTCGCGTGTTCACACGGGTCTGCCTGCTATTAGCAGTCGTAACACTTGGCGCTGTAGACTTCACCACAATATACGGGCTACAAATGTCTGAGTTGATCTTGTCAAGACATTCTGTATCCGCTCGGACACACCTGACTATGACTTTTAGTTCATCCTAAATATTTTTTTTTTTTGATGGAATCCTGTAAATTTCCACATTATCACCGAATCAGCATCATCATTGATCATCGGAAAAACTTACTTCAATTTTTTATCACGCAATCAACATGGTACTCATGTCGTCAGTATGTAAAACATTGCCTACCAGTAAACGTTACTTATCGCGAGTCAGCTAACATAAGTAACACTAGATACGTGGACATCGGTGTTGCTAAAAATAAAGAGAGTATTCATAAGATCCAGCATGAACCCTCTCAAGTAATATATCAAGGTAACAAACTCGATTAAAACACTAAAAACTGGGTTGTGTACATACATATTTGAAATTTTAAGCAACAAAACGATTAACAAATTAGGCATCATCTCTCAACATACAATGATGTATCCTGACACTCTTCAGAGTCTAGTCACGTTTCTAGGAGGAACAACCGATCAAATCAATCAAAATCATTTATTCATTACATTTTGGGTAAATAATTATGATCACAGTATTAAGATAGTACCACCAAAATCTGCCCTCACAGGCGTATGAAATATTGTTAGCTTAAGTCAATAAAAGTAATATAACAAAAAAATAAATAAATGTCAGTGCTTAAATAAATAAAAGTTAAACTTATAAATGTCCTACAAATTACCGTCATTAAAGAAGTCGTTTACATTATAATAACATTTCTTGGATAAAATTGATTTTAATTTATTTTTGAATATACTAATATTGAAATGTTTTATGTCGTTTGGGATTTTATTGTATATTTTTGGCGCCATACATAAAAGACTCTTTCCCATAAGACTCGTTACTGCTGTGTGAAGACACAGTTTATTATTGTTCCGCCGATTTCGCGGCACAATATCACGCAGCCGTTCGAAAAGGTGAGGATTTCTATACACAAACATTGCTACCTCAA